GGTATCCGTGCCGAACACTGATTAATTTAAATTATACCAGAGCTCCCTTCTTTTTCTGAGAGGTTGGTAAATATTTGATAATACTTGAAGGTATTTTATTGAATATTTAACAGCCACATAAAATAAAGGAAGCTTTTAAGATTATTCTAACAACCTAGAATCACACATGCATCAACATGCATGCGCATTGCGAGCCGACGAGCCGGCTTGATAACGCCGTTTATATTTTCGAAGGATTGGGGACCTTCCTAACTTATAAAGTAGTTGCTTAGCCAGGCTTACAAAATGTACGTAAAGAGGAGAAGCGGGGTACATCCGTTAAGAGGAACGTGTGATGCGACGATCTATTACAGGTCCGAAAGCCAAAAATAAGGCCGAATATTTTAGGCGCATGAGGAACTATAATGGCTAGTTAAGATTTTAACCTTTCTTCTTTCTCAATCGGCCCTACAGCGACGTTTCAATTGGTCCTAGCAACAAGGTTTCAATCCACAACCCACAACTGGGGTATATGGCGAGAGGTAAATGACCTCGATTGTATTGTCTCACTGCGTTATTCGGGTCTGAACGCCACCATCTTTAATTTATCGCGGGGAACGGCGGCCCCAGAAACCTAATCCTTGGAGGTTTGGAAACTTAAGCATATCGTCCATAATCTCTCATGGCGGCGCTCATGTATATAAGAACCAAAGGGTCGACCAGAAAAAGGGTTTAAGTCATAGCTACCTCCTGGAATCTACCCATTGGCCCGAGCTTTCAACAATCAACAGTCTTGTTTCTGATTACTGAAAATGGTGACCATGAAGAGACTTGCCTTTGCGGCTCTGGTGCAGGTTGCATCAGCAAAGGTTTGGCTAGGTATTATCCCTCTACCTTACCTATTTAGACCATATAAATTCTCGAACTATGCTAACGTATATTGATAATAGCTGGTGTAAATATTGGTAAGGAGATCACTCTGATACAGAATCTCTGACCCAGGATCTTTCAACTGACTATATTTGATAAGCCGGCTTTGATTTCGGCTGCGGCAACACAAACGGAGACTACTCAAGCTCCAGCGTCACCGCGCCTTTGTCCTCCCAAGGACACGCAGATGGCCTTGGGCAGATGAACCATTTTGCTCGTGACCATGGTCTCAACGTGTTCCGGCTCCCAGTTTGCTGGCAGTATCTTGTGAACAATGTCCTTGGTGGCAATTTGGATGGTAACAACTTCGCTGTGTATGATCAGCTCGTCCAGGGTTGCTTGGCTACAGGTGCTTATTGTGTTGTTGACATTCACAATTATGCTCGCTGGGGCGGCCAAGTCATTGGTCAATCGGGTGGTGCTGTCACCAATAACCACTTCGCGAGCGTGTGGTATCAGATGTGAGTGCATTCTTGCCGATTTCAAGTTGGATGGGACTGTTTCAGCTAATTATTTTTAGTGCAGCAAAGTATGCAGGACAGCCAAAGGTTATCTTCGGGGTTATGAATGAGGTGAGAAATTCCAGCGATCAAGTAATACCCCGTGGTATCTAATCATTAACAATCATCACAGCCTCACGACCTCAATATCAATGACTGGGCCACAACAGTTCAGTGGGCTGTTGATTCAATCCGCAACGCCGGCGCCAAATCTCAAATGATTTTACTCCCCGGCACTGACTACACGTCCGTGGGTGGTCTCATCCCCACAGGATCTGCCTCCGCTCTGAGCGCCGTGCACAACTTGGATGGAAGCAAGACTAATCTGATCTTTGATGTCCACCAATACCTTGATTCGAATTTTAGTGGCACGAGCCCTGATTGCAGCACCAATGGTGTGGCTAATTTGGATACCCTTGCCGGTTGGCTGAGGAGCAATGGGAGACAGGCGTGAGTATATGACCTCCACCTTTATTTGAGCGATTGGCTAATTTGTTGGCTTTTAGTTTCCTGACTGAAACTGGAGGTGGAAGCACGTCTAGTTGCTATACTAATCTGTGTTCTGAGTTGGATTGGATGAAGTAAGTTTAGACGTGTTCTTTAAATAACACTCTTCGGTTCTGGGCAAGCAATGTCTAATATCCTATGCAGCTACAATGCCGATGTGTATCTGGGGTGGATTGGATGGGCTGCAGGATCGTTCGACACAAATTACGAACTATCAGAAACACCTACATATTCAAATGGAGTGTGGACTGACCGGGGGATTGTGGCAAATTGCGTGGCAGGAAAGTTTAAGTAAACCGAGGCATAGATGCCTCGGTGCATACCTAGACGCGGGCCCTGTTGGCAGCAAGCCTTCCAATTCGACTAAACCACGTCTCTATTTATCTGTCGACTGCTGGTTTCGACATCCACGGGTTATTGCTTCTACTCCGAGTAATAGTACTCTGCCTCACGTTTTTGTAAATAGATTTGAAACCTGCCATTTTCTAAGGCATGAGCATTTCCAATCAACTTACATCGCCAGCCTCCCCACCGCCTACTGTCCCCCAATAGTACCTCTGAATAGGCGGTAGCCACTTGCATGACGCTTAACCTATATATAGAGGGCGGTAATAGTTATATGCAGCATCACGTGTAAATAGCAACCACGCATATGTCGTCGCGCTAGACACCGCATCTTCATGGACCATATATAACAGGAACCCAGACCCTTAGAAAGAGTCCAGCGATTAGTTTTCCCAATACAAGAGGATTATACAACATAGCAGCCCAGAAACGTGAGTTCCGAATTCCTTGTCCACTCCAAGATCCTTACAGAACACCCCTTAGCCTAGACGAGATAAAATGGCTGGCCGCTGCGTTCTCTGTAACACCTGGGTAAAGACTAGCGGTGATGGGCATAGGTGCCCAGAATCTAGAGCCACAGTGGTGCTGCAACCACCGACAACAGAAGCGAAGGTAGTGGACGGGGCGGAGGCAATGGACAGAGTTTCAGCGGGAGAGGCGGTTAACGGCAGAGACGGCGGTTAAGGTGGGGAAGATGTGGGGAAGAGTCGACCGTGAACACGATCTACATACTAGAAACGGGAGACTGGTTTTTGCGAGGCAGAGTTCTTGGTTAAGGTTTATGGTGATTGGGCACGAATACTTCGAGAGCCATGCTGCACATCCTCCTGACTTGAAATAAGTATGGTTGCCTAGATAGGCGAATGAATATATTATCCATGGAAATGCTCTATTGTCAGACCAAGCTACTTCCAACAATATTATATTCGAGTCAAGATCAACCATAGAGAAGTATACGATGGCATGCGATACATGCGCTAGTATCGCCTCGACTACTGGCAAGGGCAGTCCCGTAGAGAAGAAGGAAAGGTCGGTATTAGTAAAATGTGGCTCTCTACAGAAATCTGCAGCGAATGGGTGTCTCAGCTGCAGCCTAATTCAAGGAAATGTGGACGGTGGGAAGAGTAGGGAATCAAACGTCGAATCCCTTCGTGTCCGCGTCGATAGGTACTCCGCTTTACGGCTTAGTAGATAGATCTGAAATCCGCCTTTTCCAAGACATGAGCACCCCCAATTAACTTCAATCACCAAACTCCCCGCTCCTCACTCATCTCATCCGATATTTGCCTCATTTGTTTTATAATGAATCCATACGCTTCGGACCCAGGTGATATCCCCGCCACCGACATGTATGCAGACGTACCGCTATACGGCCGGTACTTCCCCAGGCCGGACGACTTTCAGGTCGATCTCCAGCATATCAACTCTCTGTCGACTGCATCACTGCAATATTGGGCATCGGTTGTTGAACTCTGCAATGAAGCCGTTAGGATATACCCCGCTGACGAGGGCGGCCGCGACGTCTTCGCTCTTGGTAGCGTCATCGTGAAGTCCAGCCATCTTCACAATTCAGGCAATGGCCAGATTAAGGAGATCGATTTCTCATACGCTGATGCCAACGAACTGCAGGCGATTACCATTGCCAAGAGCATCTTAAAAGACGTTAGAGTACCAGAGATCCTCTTTGCCGGCAAGGTGCGTGCTCTCCCCCCCTGTCTCTCGCTACTTTGCAACATCTCACACTTGCACCCCTTGAAGCTCAACGGCCGTCAGGTGCTGGTCCAAGAAAGGCTCCCGGGCGTTGGTATGAACATCGCATTGCCATACCTATCGCAAGGCCAAAAGGAATCATTTAGACAACAATCACGAGAGATACTTCGCCAGTTACACGACGTGAAGCCGACTGATGGACGCCATAATCGCTCCACGTCCTCCAAGACCCCAACATCCTCAGAAATGGCCGTATTTATGCACGAGAAGGAGAAATCCTCTTCTCAAGCGGCAATACTGATCCGGACTTGGCTTTCATGCACAATGACTTCAATGAGTCTAACGTCATAGTTGAAAATGATAAGATTGTTGGGGTTATTGACTGGGAGATGGCTGGCTTCTTTGGCTGGAAAACGGCGGGAGAAGTCCACCGCAAGATCAGAACGCCTCAAAGGGAGCATTTTGCTAATGCCAATTTGAGTGAGGTGAAGATTCAAGAAATTATGCATTGGAATGATCTTTATGATGATGGTGCGCCTGAGTTGTGAGAACAGATGGACTATATAGAGGAATGCTACAGTGCAACCGCTGAAGAGGATTAAGATATGAGTGCAATGAATTACATTTTCTATAAATCGAGTTCGAACCAATTTCTAGCAAATTCTGTTCAATATATCAAAAAACAAACTTTCCATCCATGTAAATGTTGACTTCAAAAACCGAATGTCGAACGCACCATCCGCCAGTTTGAAGTGAGTCCATCCTACCGCTGCCAAAAATCAAAATCAACAACTCGTGGCAAACGCTTAACCCCCTAGCTTCTTGTATCCACCCATCGACCGAAGTCTCCTATGCTTCTCCACCTGCTGCTCAAATAACGCATTAGCCACTTCCCTTCCTGTGCGCCGAACTTGTGGACTGCTTTCCCCAGCCGAAGGTCCCGCATCCGCAACTCCGTCGCCGGTGCTCGTCTGAGTCGGCCGCGGCATGGGTGGCCGAGTTGTCACCACCGACTCTTGACCATTGATTCTTGCAGGCTCGACCGGAACACCACTTCCTGCGGTCGAGGGTCCAGCACCCGCAGTCCCGTTGCTGGCTCTCGTCTGAGTCGGCATCTGTGTTGGTGACCGAGGTGCAGCTGCCGAATTTTGGCCAGTAGATGTCGAAACCCCCGCGACTTGGGCCGGTGGTGATTGGCGCCGCGTCCGGCCTCTCGCATGGCCCCCATTCGGCCTGGTAGTCGCCGCAGGAACTCCGGTCGTGCCAGTGGTCGGTGCGGGAGGTGAGCGTGGTGGACTGGCTGCTTTGGTATGCGTCTTTGCCTTGCCTTTCGTTGCAGGCTTTGTCCTCGGTTCTCCAGACGGCCCAGGGGTAGGTGGTCGTTCTAGAAGATTTGATGAACCGGCGGTTTTCTTGAACTTATGAGGCGGACTAGAGGATAGTGTAGGCGTGGTTGACAGGCCGGCGTCTGTGGTAGCTGTGGTCTTAGGTGAGTTGCTGCCGGCCTTGGGGCGCTTGGATGGACCAGAACGAGTAGGACTAGGCGGGTTGCTCCGGAGTTTAAGCGCCGAAGACGATGGCGACGGCGAAGCAGCTAGAGGATTAAAGGAGCCGTTGCGAGCTCTTTGAAATCCAGATGACCCGTTATGGGAGCCGTGTGCCATAGAATGGCTTGACCCCGACGAGCCTCGTGACGGCGTAGCAGTTGCCAAAAACCCATTGGATCCGGTTGGCCTGTACGGCCCCTGTGACGGCCCAGAGGACGCATTGCCATTTTGTGACTTCTGCGATCGAGCATTTCCATTACCGTTCGCAGAACCATTACTATCGCCATTTCCCTGACGCTGGCGCTGGGCCCTGAGTTCCGCCTCCTTCCGCTTTCTTATATTATCAGGGTGGAATGGTAGGTGACGCAGCGGTGGTGCACGATATTGTTGCGGCGCATGACGCTGGGGAGCCGGGGCGCTTAGAGCCTGTGTTGGAAGCTCGGGCTCTGGGGGCTCGGAGACTGAATCCTGGGACTGAAGAGGTTGCTGACCTACTCCTGGATCCGGGGCGATTACAGTCTTTGCTGGAAACTCGGGTTCCAGGAGCTCGGAAATTGGGTGCTGGGGCTGGAGAGCTTGCTCGTATGCTCCTGGAGCCGTATCTTGGATATAGGCGTGGCTGGGTTGATACTCAAAAACTGGAGCGGCAGGATCTAACTCTTTGGACACCGGCGTATTGGAATCAAACACTTCATCCCAGTCGTAAAATGGCTGGTCCATGTCCCCTGGCAGGGATTCCGATGAGGTGTCGAGGATAGGGGGCGGGGAGTAGTGGCGGCGGCCATTCGGCGGGCCCAGACAGAAAAAAAACTCTTCGTCGTCGTCGTCGTCGAAGGTGATTGCGCCTTCGTTGTTCTCGCGAAATTTGGCGATAGACAAATAATGCTCGAAGAAAAATTTCGAAGGCAAAACCTGTTGACCTGCGGTGGAGGATAGACCAGCCAAAGTCTCATAATCTGTGGTATGGACTACACTTAGGCTGTTCAAAGCGTCAAGTGCATCTTGCTGAATCCTCTCTACCCCACTAGGGATATACATATGCTCAACTTGAGTATGTCCCAGTGCATGGGGTAGTCCATACTGAGAAGTCGATGATGAGCCAAGTGGCAAGTCTGGCTCATGAGGCCACAAGGCTCTGATGGAGATACGCTCGGGATCGGCTGAAGGAGATGAAGATTCCTCTCCTGTTGTATCAGATGGCCAGGCCATGGGCTGCTGCCCAGAGGGCAACGATGACGGACTAGGCGGTATGTTGCGAATAACACCCCTCAGTGTTTCGACAAATTTAGAGAAAATACCGCCTTCATCCTGTCCCACAGGAGCCATTGTAGCCGAAAAAATGTTCTTATGAACTGAAGTTTAGAGAAATGGCGGACAGCTTCACACGAGGTGACGAGGTGTGCAATAAGCAAGTCGGGAGGTAATAGAAACGGTTGCAAGATTGTGAATCAAGGAGGTGTCGTTAAAAGTTGTATGTATTTTATAAGGTACAGATATCGCGCTGTGTTGCCCACGTAGTGTTCTATGATACAATAAAAAAAGGAAAATGATCCAAAAGAGAATGAGAGCTTGGAACGCCTAATATACATGCTTCATGTTCAAATGGACTGCCATGCCACCCACCACGGGACTTTGACAGTCAAATCGACTAACACCACGAGCGGCTGGGCCCACTAACCATGGTAAAAGGTCCCACCCCCCAAGGAACAGCAAGGGGAAAGGTACCAGGGCAGGCAAAAGTGGTGGGAAGTTTCTTGTCTCTGACGTATAACATGGCGCCGCCGCTGCGTCTAGTCCTGAATGTCAAACCTTAAAACCCTGGAGACAACCACCCTCCCACGCGCCCACCCCCGTAGTGCATAGTAAGAGTCATTGTAAAAGCCGCCGCGTTGTGTAAGCGTGATAGATGCTGCGCTTGCCCGTTGTGTAGTACCATGCCAGTCGCTCCTTCCCCATCCAAGTAAATCCGCAGTGTTGGAAATATATGACTAGTGAGTGTGTGCGAGATGTAAAATTAACTCTTGAAAAAATAGCATTCGCTCTCTCCCGATCTTCGTAAAGCGCGGCGTATCATATGGAAGCGCCATCGTCAAATCGTCCGTCATATCAGCTGTATTCCCTCCATTCCCCCCACCTCGTCGTGCGTATTCTGACGCATACCTCTCTAGCCGAACAGCCAAAAACGCCCCATTCCCAGTTCGCTCCCATAGTAGTTGCCTTAGCAGATCGGTGGCTCGCACTTCAGAAGCTTGTTCGTCACTAGCTTGACCTCGGGACACCACTCCTCAATCAGTGTCATGTTCTCGGCCTGGAACTTCTCCGGTTGATGGTATCCAATTGGGAACTCGTAGTACAGTGTCTGCACCGCAAAGGTCTTGGCCACATCCTCGATAGGTAGGTTGGCTCCGCGCTCTCTCATTCGCATGAAGTACCATTGATCCTCGTATCTGTCCGTATCCTCCTCCGCCTCCGGGTCCAACGGGTGCAGCGCAACATCCGTAGCAATAATATCAAGAATCAGCTGGCGATTGCGCAACGAGAGACCTCCATTGTATCCCTGCCCATGCCACTTTTCATATTGAATCGGCGCACCAACAAGGTCGTAGTGCATGAAGTCGTCTACGCGTAAGTGTGCATTGCCGCAGATCATGGCATCGGCCTGGAAAAGGAGAACGTTCTTCGCTGGGGCGAGCTGCTCCCAGAACCAGGGCTGCGTCAGGAACTTCGTAACGTCGAAGTGTGTCTCAAACTTAAGACCCACTGGAAGGGAGCGGATCATGATACGCTTCTCCTCAAGGGAGCGGCGAAGAGAGGAGGAGTTCTGGATGGATGGCATGGACGTGTAGAGGACGACGGGCCAGGCAGGGCCAAGGACGGCAGAGTAGTGGAGTATCAGGGGTATCAGGTTCTCAAGCGGGCGGTCTTCGATGATCACAGCGACTCTGTCGGACTCGAAGTAGGTGCCATTCGCGTATGGTCCAGGCGCGTTGGCGGCCAGGGACTTGGTCTCGCGTAATAAGTCCGCAATCTCAATCATAGGCATTGGCGGCAGGACAGGCGGCGGCGGTGCTGCCGGTGCTGCTGGTGCTGAAGGAGCAGGAGCGGTCCTGCTTATACCTGCGACGAGCCATACGAAGGCGAGAGTAACGAATGCGGCGAGGAGGCGAAAGCGTGCGTTGCCCAAGAGGCCCGACCTGTCGACCCGCTCGCGGAATTGGATGGTACGAATGCGTGCTCGCTGGAGAAAGGGTAGACTGTCTACCTTCTCTCTCAACACGCTGTACTGCCCGCGCGCATCGTTGAAGCTGGGTAGTACCATCGTTTTTTGGTGATGGGCAAGGTTCTTATCCAGGCCAAGCAAGGGTGTCGGATACGTTGGTCGTTCGTGTCGTGGTGTGATCAAGGGTGCTTGATGGTCCGTAGCGACAGTGGGTGTTATCTTTTTATAACAGTATCATGAGCGAAGGGTATATAGTAAAAATATTATCGGATTGCAAATTCCTGAGATGAAAAGAAGGAGGCGGAATTTGCAGATTGTGATGTCTTGACGATCTGGGCAAATTGTTCCTCTCCTATCAAGGATGGGTACACCGCCTTGGCGGGTGGCTGGCAAAATTGCCGTTTCGAGGTCTAGAACCACATATGCTAAGCATCTTGAAATCTATTTTTAGAAATATTCAAGATAGGTCATTAGGAGCATTTTCACTTGTACGAAGTACTAAATGAAGAATTGTTGTAAACTCGAAGACATAAAACTCATTATCCCTTATATCTCTCAGGAATCTTCAATATGCATTCATAACCACCTAATCCATCATCATGGTATCATCACCCCCATTGCCTGCTGGTCCCTCAGGTTCAATAGCCACGCCCCTTCCTCTACCTTCCAGCAATTCCCTCCTCACCTCCGGTCCAATCGCCGAATGACCCTTCGTAATTAAGAGATCTAGCAGAGCCTCGCGCTGATCCTCCGTAATATCATTCCTATACCTCTGCGCAAACGATAACAAGCACTGATGCCAGATAACAGGCAACTTTGAGACCTTATCCCCACCCGATCCTTGCACAGGATCGCCACGGAAACGCAAGAAGTGGAAAACCAACGCATCGATGACCTGGAACGGCAGAGCATACTTCTTCTCGAGCAGTGTCTTGATGAAGATATTTGTTGCGCCACCGCCCTCCGTCCCTTGCGACGTCTCCTGCGCCGCGATGTCGCAGAGTCCCTTCAACGCCGCCGCAGAGTGAAGCACGGGGATCGAAACTCGTGCGAGAACAGCCGAGATAATATGCGCCTCTCTTAAGGTGCACATTCCACCTCCCACCAAAGGAAAGAGGAATCCCTTGAACCACGCAGCCGGCTTGTACAGGCCCTTCTTGAGCGCCTTGAATAAATGCACATTGAGCTTCTTGGTTTCCTGGATATCTTCGCGCACGCGCTCGAGGATGATGTGCTCCATGAAGATCTGGGCAACTTGAGGTGTGGAGGAGACGAAGATCTTGGTGGCTTCGTAGCAGGCGTTCGGTGTCCATTTGTCGGGGCGGGTGAGCTGGATAATTTCTTCCCAGTGGGGGACGGTAGGGAGAATCTTGAAGGGCTTGGGGAGTTTCCCAGATTTGTAGCGGGAAAGGAGGAAGCCGATCCTGAAGCTGTTAGCAAAGCCGTGGCTGAGAATAAGTGATTAGGTATGCTTACTTGGTGTACACTTCGACAACCTTAGGAGGCAATTCAAAGTCCTCGTCTGGGACGGCGCCATTCATAAACTGTGCGTCCCCACGTCCACCCTGCGATGCCTCGTGCGCGGCAATCTTCTCCAGTATCAGATCAGCGAGATTTGTCGACTCTCCACCTTCGTCATCGTCCGCCTCGCCGCCCCAACCTTGTCGCAATAACGGATCCTCCTGTGTAGGGAAGAATTTGCTGTAGGTCTCCAAATCCTCTGGGTCGAGTTCTATCTCTTCAACGATCTCATCCTCATCGCCCCAATCCTCGGCAACATCTTGCCCCGCATCGTCCGACAAATCTTCGTCCTCGAGCCTCGACTCAAAATCGAACGCTGTATTTTTGGCTACGCCGCTTCCCTGTTCCTGTTCGTCTTCGGCCGCTAACTCTTGTCCAATTCTCAAAATTTTGCGCGACGCTTTCGCATCCACGAATTTCTCCCCACCATCTTCTTCGTGCCTCGATTTTCTCTTCGGCGCCTTGTTCTTGAGCGGGCCGGTCGCTAGGAGGTCATTTTCGAGGGCATTATGCCGCCTGCCGGTTTGAGCAGTTCGAGACATGGCGAAATGCAGGTTGGGCTCGAGGAGACCGACTGGATTATAGCGTATGTGATCGTAGTTTCCAGTTCCGCAAAAAAAAGTTGCGATAAGTGCGCCATCTCTCATATCCGATAAGCTAGCGGGGATATCACGTGATTGTTGACATATCGATTTCACCAAACCAATTATTTCTACCTTCATACAACACAACGCCAACTCGTCTCGAGTTATTATTTTTAATGATGGAATAAGTAGACTTTGTACGTTTTTATTCTTAGCGATAGGCCTAATTTTTATAACAAATAACACGATATCTCACGATGGTATGGTGACAAGAGCTTCGTGATATATCACCAACAGGATGGGACGCTTAACTTCTCTAAAAAGGCTCAACAGTCTTTGATCTGAAGGCTTCGAAGTGCCATACCATTCTTACAGGTTCTTTATTGGCTTGATACTACAGTCTTTAGGTCCCATCACCCGCTCCAAGGCAGCCGGGGAGTTCTGTCTTGTCGTTTTCAGCTCTCGCAACTTCGGCTTTGAGTCCAAACCACACTATTATAAGTATGAGACGGCTTCGACATCCTTCAGGTATAGTAGTGGCCGCTTTCGGTCTTTCTTTGTGTTGATTTTATTGCGGGTGGGGTTGCTTTCAACTCGAGCCGGACAGTCCGTCCTTTGTCCTTTGTCTATTTTCTAGCTAGGCAAAGAAACCAAACATGGGCTATTTCTCATCCCCAAAACCCAAAGGTCTTTCTAATATTTTAGTTTCGCTTCGAGTTTGAAAGTTATACCTTCAGTTTCCTACTCTACACGTTGCGTCTTGAAGTAGGACTCTTGCTTCGCCAATCTGGCATCGAACATCACGGCGTCTTTCTCACATTCTTTTATTCCTGTCATATCGTGCCTTAGCGCTCAATATCCTCCGAAACGACACAGGCAATCATGTCGACTGTAGAGGATAGATGGGTGGAATATAAGCACCAGGAGAAGAAAGTCCTCCTGAAAATGTGTGAGGAGTTAAACATCGACATCATATGGAAGGCTTGGAAAGACGATATCATTCGGACCATTATAGACGTGCAAGATAAACTCAAGAACTACGATCGCACAATGAACAGAGCTGGATTCATAACTGTGACACAGTTTGTCACGGGATATGAAAGCCTGGAACCAGTGTCAACATCCAACACCCGCAGTGTGAGAGCGGAGCGATATGGGCTGTTTATGAAGAACGACCTCATAAAACGATGCAGAGACCTGAATGTCATTATGGGCTGGAGATCAAGCAGAGACGACATCATAAAAGCTATATTGAACGCGGAAGACGAAGCAGGCAACAGTGTATACATAGTTGGGCAAATAAGGTCTACATCTGAGCCAACAAACCTTCCTGGAGACCAGCCTATGGACAGACAATACAAGTATTATAAAGAGAAAAGCAGAAGATATCTCAAGCGCCGTTGCAAAGTATTCGGAATCCCCAGGTCCAAGAGAAGGCCCACTTCGCAACTTACCCGCAACGTCATGGAAGTGGAAGGCAAAGCCTCTGGGATGCAAAAAATCAAACATGTTTACATCCCTCAAGGCCCATATGCGCCCCTGATGCCGTCTACCAAGTTAATCCCAACGCCAGCAACCATGCAAACTAACCGGGCATCCACGCGAAACATCAGCTCCTGGCCAAGCCCTCACCAGCATCCACGCCATGCAGACATCACAGTGTTATACCCCGTTCCAACGCACAATCTAATCGCAGACAACGGCCTCCCCATTACCACGACGACGCCGCTAAACCCCGTCTACGAGCGGTACCGAGACCAAACCCAGATGCCAATCGAGCTCTCGTATGAGCCCCTCTACCGCACGGCACGCATGGAAGAAGCCGCCGCGATATACAACGAGATGTCCCTTACCCAGCTTCAAGACATCGTGCGAGCCCGCGGATACACCCGCGGCATCGAACAGAATTCCGGCACGAAATTAGACTGCATCGATATCCTCCTCGACGACGACCGAAAACAGGGGTTCCTCCCCACAGCCCCCGCTCCCGTCTACTCGGTGCAACCCGGCCTGCTAGCGGCATTGAACCCCGCGCCGGGGATCTTCATCCGCGTACCAACGGTGATGCAAGTTGACGCCCTGAGCATCCTTCTGACGTCGCAGCTGGAGCCGGAGGAATTCCAGTTGGAGAGAGAGGAGTTCTATGAGGAGTTTACGCTGGCGGAGATGGAGAAGGAGGTCTTGGCGAGGAGGGTCATGTATGTGCCGAATGTGAGGAGACAGTTGGTGAGGAGTGATATGAGGATGTTTGAGAGGGTGAGGAGGTGGAAGACGGGACTTTCTCCGAGGGAAGGTGAAGGTCAAGGGGCGCAAGGGGGGACAGCTGCTGCTGCCGCGACTGGGACTGCAGCCACAGTGCCAGATCCACCAGTTGCAGGTGCTACAACTACGACTGCGACTGAGACAACGGTGACAAACCCGCCAGTTGCTAAAATCACGGCTGCGACTGCGACCACTGTGACAAACCAACCCCAAGCGAAGTCTGTGGCCTGGGCGCGTGGTGTGGATGGTTCAGGATGAGATAAAGTTTGCCATCGCCCCTCAGAGGCTAATAGTGGGAAAGTCATAGTGAGCTAGCCAGGTGTTTCTTATTCTATTTATGGGCTACAAGCAGTAGGATGGGGTGGGATCTATTATTTGGAGTATGTTTTTGGGCGTTATAGGCATTGTTTGGATTTGTTTGAAATAAACGCTTGTTATCATATTTTCCAGTCAATTCATCTCTCATCATCCATTAAAGTATCCCAAATACCGTAAAGACTTCGCATTCTCATCTATCCAAGTTACCCCCCCAGTCATCACCATTTATCCCAATCCCCATCCTCCTTCTTCTCCTCCTTCTTCACCTCCTTCTCCCCCTTCTTCCCCCCCACAAGCCCCTCCCTTTCCTCCCCTCTCCTGACGCCCAAATCCCCACCCCCCCTCAACGCATTCGTCCCAATCGTCCCTCCACCCTCCCTCTCATCCGGCCTCCCAAACCCATCCCAGAAATCCCTCTTCGACTCATCCAACGGCCCGCGCCCAGCACCACCACGCGCACCCCCGGCGCCCTCGCCTTCCACGAAGCGGTTGAAGGAGTCGTTGAATGTTCTGCTCGCGCCCTGGGCGCCGGTCTGCGCGGACTTGGCGAGTTGGGCGGCGGTGATGCGGGCTTGGGCTGCGAGGTCTGCTTCTGCGATCTGCACAGCTGTTAGTGACCGAACCACATAAAAGAAAAGACGGGCAGAACAGGGGGAAATTTAAAATGCGAACTCACCCTCTGCGCAGCAGGCGCAATATACCCCTCATTAACCTGCCTAGCCGTCTTCCCCACCATCCCCCCAAACCACCCAAACCCCTTCGTCAACGCCGCCACCGGATCCCTCTGCAGCTCATCCAGTCCCGGCGGCCCGTCCCCCCTTGCCGCTGGCGCCGGCATCTCCGATCCGAAGCCTCCATACTTGCCTCCCTGGCTGGGATGCACATCCGCAGGGCGCGCGGCATTCGCTTCTCCCAGTTTCGAGAAATACCTATCGTCGACCTTGGCCTTCGAGCTTCTGCCGCCAGTACTCCCACCATCGCCGAGAGAGGGGGAAGGGGATGCACGGCCTTGAATCTGCGTCGTGGCGCGGGGAACGGGCTTTTCTTGTCTCGGTACTACCGGTTTCGGCGCACCGGGGACATACTCCCTCCCCTCCACCTTCGCCGTCAACCGTTCCTTCCACTCCTCCCCCACCGCACTCTCATATCTCTCCTTAATCGTCGCGTCCTCAAACCCTACACCCGCGAGTTTATTCTCCTCATGCCCCTCGAAGAAGTCGCGCCAGGGCTTATTCCCACCTTGACGCATGCGTTCTATCTCGGCGGCCTTGAAGGCGTCCATGGTGGTAGAGCGGACGAAGGAGACGTGTACCCCGAGGCCGCGGTGCACGCCGGCGCAGGAGAGGCAGATGAAGATCCCGAATTTGGGGGAGGCCCACTGGGGGGAGGGGGCGGAGCAGTCGGCGCAGGTGGAGTTGGAGTTTGTTTTGGCGATTTCGTGGAGCTGTGTGGGGTGTGGTCAGCGGGTGTGGTTTTGGGGGAGAGGAGGAGGTGCGGGGGGAGGGAACGGAATGGGGAGTACCTTTGATCGTGTCTCGGGATCAACCTCCCACATCGCCTTGGACGCCATTGTATTTGTAGTCGAGGCCTATTCCTGCCTCTGGAGAAACAGGTATAAACCCCCTTCTTCCCTCGTTCTCGCCTCGAACTCGTCCCTTGCCGATCCTTTCACACGTAACGCCGCCCGTCACCGCCTCAAGTATATCGCCCCCCTTTCAAATAAACCCCACACACAACAAAAGCCTCCTCCGTATTATCAACTCGCCCCTCTGTTGTCGTAGCCGTAGCTGTAGCCGTAGTTATTACCAAACGCCTCCCGTTCTCGACAAAGTTATAGTTATAAATCCCTTTTCCTTTGCTGGGGTAGTCGCAGTTGCAGTTGGCAGTCAAAAGATAGGAGACAAGAGAGGGGCGAAGCGGCCGCGGTCGCTTTTTGTCCCTGTCCACAAAGACCTTGGTTGGTTGGGGTGTGGGGTCGCATATTTTTAGCGCGCGATTGCCGTGCGTGCGGCGCCAAAAACCCAATTCGTCCTGCGGGCAGCAGTGGGCCAGGAACGCGATAGCTGGGGGGCCGGCCAGAGATGGATGTCTCAGCCTCGTCCGCCTTGGATTACTTACGGCCTAGATGCTGCTCTAGCCTAGAACGTGGCCTTGTTGTCTCACGACGTCGTCACGGGTTTAATTCCTTTTTACAGGGCGTCCGGGGTATATCGACATCTTCGAAGGCTGAGAGTATCATATTACAATCATCATCGGATCACGACAAAACATTCACTCATATTACTCAAAGTCAGAATCCCCAAAATCAACTTTTCATTTCACAACTTCCCCCTCTTCACCCCAGACCAGCACAAAAAGGAAACCCCTAATGTACAGATCCAGCTAAAAGAAAAACGGTCCGTAGTAGTAAGACATTTGATGGAGGAAAAAAAGATATTGTGTAGTTTGTCGTTTCAAAAAGTACAAGCCATGGGAATTGTAGGATATAGCCGTCGCTTCTAGAAGAACCAAGCCTCGAGAGAAGCCGCCAGATCTAACAGTGCCCATCGACCGTTTCCCAAAACCCCCCATAAAATCATTTTTCCTCTCCTCTCCCATTAAAATCATGAAATAGCTAGTAGCTGGTCATCAAAAAACAATTTTAACGAGCCATTACCAGCATTTCATTTCCCAGTGCTTCCGCCATACGCCTGGAGAAGTAACAATGTATAAAAGCAATGCTCACGCGAAAAACGGATGCAGCACTCCCCATCATTACGTCTCGTATAATACACCAGTCACCGCTTAAGCAGTGGTGGTCTCCTCAACAGTGGCGGCAGCGCCGTTGGTCTCCTCAGCAACGGGAGCGTTCGCGTCCTCATCGGTCTTGTCGGGGCTGTCAATGGCAACCTTGACAGCGATCTCGCGACCCTCAATCTCCTTGCCGTTCATCTCAGAGACGGCCTTGAGCTGCTGCTCCTCAGAGGAGAGAGTAACAAAGCCGAAGCCACGGCCCTTGCGGGGCTCGTTGCGTGCCTGGAGCTTCTTGACCATGAAGCGGGGGATAGGGCGGAGGGCGATCTTGGCGGAAGATGGCTCGTAAGCAGCGAAGAGCTCCTTGAGCTGTACGAGAAATGTATTAGCAAACAGTTCAATGATAGACGGGTCAACCTTGCGCGGCCGACTGGGGGGAATAACTAACCTTCTCCTCGCTCAGATCGTAAGGAAGGTTGGCAACCATAACCTTGTTCTTGGATGGGATGCCATCGGCGGGTGGGCCACGCTCACGGCGCTCACGGGGAGCACGAGCGGCCTTCTTGTCGTCCTTGGCAGCCTCATCAGTGGTAGCCTGGTTGGTGATGTCCTGGAGAGGGAGAACCTCCTCAGATGCAACCTCGCCCTCGACCTGCAGTACTGTTAGTGTTGTGTATTGAGAATTTAGAAAAGGGAAACATACGCGGTCACCAGCACGGGCAGTGCGTCCACCACGGCCACGGCCGCGTCCACGACCGCGTCCGGATTGTCTGCGGCGGCCACCCTCGGTACCCTCAGCAGCGTCACCTCCACTCACGACATTCTCGGTCTTCTCGCCGGCTGGCTCAGGCTTGCGGGCAAGCTGAACGGAGACCTTGCGCTCAAGGATCTCCTTGCCGGAGAGCTCAGTGATGGCACGCTCGGCCTCGCTGGGTGTAGAGAGGTCGACGAAAGCGTAGCCGACTGGGCGGTCGGTGCGTGGGTTCTTTGGGATGGAGGTCGATTCACTGTCGGAAATAACGTCAGCAGCTGTTATCCAAACGTAGCCATCGATGGTATCCATCATGGCGGTTGCAACTAGATCGCCCAGACGGTATTGACATGGGTGAACAGGAGCGCATCGAGCTGAATTGGTGACTGTTCAGAGGCGATGTGACATTGTCACGAGACATGGTAGGTGGCACCTTCCACAACTGCTCGATGCGCCACCGTGACAAGAAGGGGTCAGAACACGGATCAAAACTTACACAAGGTATCCCTTGAAGAAGTCGGTCAACTCCTGCTCGGTGGTCGCGTAGGCGAGGTTGCCGATGTAAAGTCTCCGTCCCTCAGCGGCGCTGGCCAGAACTGCATCGTTGTGAGCAGCAGTGGTCTTGTCAGCGTCGGTGGCGATGGTTGCGTTGCCAAGCTTGGCAGTAACGTCGTTGACGGCGTCAGTAATCTTCTCAGCGATGGCAGACATGATGAATGATCGAGTTGATGAAGGTTGTTGGTTGGAGGATAACTGATTGATTTGAAAATTGAGGTTGGGATTGTCGACGTTGTCTGTTGTTCGAGAGATTTGACTGTCTTGAACAAGATTTATGCGAGGGAGGGATGGCTTGAAGGGTAGCTTGGAGCCCTAGAAGGAGGATGTGGAAGGGGAGTTGGAGGAGTTTTTGGAAGTTGAATTGTCTTCGATGGAATGAAGTTGATGATTGAGAGGAGGGAGAGGGAGAGGGAAGGCGAAGAAGTAGAGTAGGGGGACGATTATTATTATTATTGCGCCCAGAGGGTCCTAGCTTCCGCCGCCTTCTGTTTACTGTGGGTGTGTGGGAGTTGGAGGGCGATAAAATGGGTAAATTAGGGAAGGAGTAATTACCCCAATTGGATGGAATTAAGCGATATTGGGATTGAATGGTGATTGCACTTGCTGTATGAGGACACAATGTGGTAGTTTAGGGAAGGCGGTGTTTAGTGGCAAAACAACGCTGGGAAAGTGGTCGATTGCGCCTGGATATTGTGTGTGTTACTACTACTGTATGTACGGATAATGTATGAACATGGGAGTCTGCATCTGTCACGCCAACGTCCAACTTCACAAGCAGAAGGAGCAGATATGGCATCAACATACAGGAAAGAGCAGACAGTCGACTATACTGTACTGTACGCTATACACGGGACCATATACGGGTTTGCCTTGACCGTATAGACAACCAGCGAGAGAGCCTCATCAAACTCGTCCCTTCCGCCAATTTCTTATCCTCGCACGCCCAGACCAACGAACGAGGCTGCCATCCCGACCTATACCACGCGCGCCTCATGCAATCTCCGACTATATATCCGTTGCCCCTGAGACACTGCGACGTCTGTTTCTTGACCGGTGAGCCTTCACCGACTGGACTAGCTGGCTGAGTGGGAGTTATGTGTAGCGTCGACAACCTCCTGTCGTGCCCAGACATATGGAGACGGGGGAGGAGGAAGAAGGAAGAACCACAAATACCTACCTCGACCAGGCTGCCAGTCTCGAAAACACTCCTTTCCCCCAAGGCTGAACACATGCCACGCAGGCCTTCATATCCAGGGACCAGGCGGTGGGAAGCCACGGACAATTACCCACATACCTCCTTCCCCATATAGACACCAGGATTGGCTGAGTGATGGAACATCTACATAAAGGACCCCCGGCATGACAGTACTCCATACAGCATACCCCTATCAGACGCACTCTCCCTTCAGAGATCCCATTCCAGTCCCTCTCTCCATTCCAGTTCCCCCCTAGAACCCATATCCCCCTATCCCAAAGCAGATCACCGACAAAGCGCCCACACAGCGCCTGACTCAGACGGCGAGTAAGAGACAAAGAAATAACATATGCAAGGGGATTTGCCACACTGCATGCGTCGCGCAAACACACGGTTCCGTAAAGTAAATGAGAAGCTGTAATTTGTTTGACTGCAAGATCACATGCTGGTGCGCGGTGGCTGATATGCTATCAAACAGATCAATGCGCATCTCCACATGGTTTGATGAGGCGTGGGATGAGATGTCATGCATGAAGTGGCGAGGCTGAGGGGGAATCGTACATACACACGCAAGGCTGAGGATGGAGAAAAGATGAGTCGCATGTAGTTTTTATATTGACGTAGGGACGCAAATATGGATGTTTTTTGATAAGCTGGTTTCTCTTACAATATTGTTCGACCTGAGTGTCTGTGAATTTTGTCTACTTGAAATAACATATACTGTTTATTTATGCTATACTGCATGCTGCTTGATGCTGGAATACGCATCCGGGGTACCCCGCGGGGCGCAAATACACAAAGTCGCCACCAACAACAATACAGCAAAAGAATAACTCCCCTATACCGTTATAAAATAAATATCCCTCCTAAATACCCATCCAAACTATAGCCTCGTCATCCATAAGTAAAGCTTTAGATCCCGTGACATCCGCCTTCCCTGCCGGCCCTAATGCAGGTACCGCCGCCGCCGCCGTCGCTCCTTCCTCACCCCGCCATCCCCCACCATGCACCTTCCCTTCCCTCCACCGTCCCTTCACTCCACAACACAACCAGCACAACAACCACCACCGCCATGGCCACCACGGCCCCCGTCCCCATTCCCATCCCCTTCCCTCCCACGCGCCACGAGCGCAGTGCTCTGATTCTGTACGCCTCCGAAACCGGCACTAGCGAAGATGCCGCGCATCTACTTGGTGGGATAGCGCAGCGCCTGCGGTTTGCGACGCGGGTGGCGGCTATGGATGGAGCGGGTGTTAATGTTGTATGTGTTTGTCCCTATTATATCTTATCTATCATATGCCATACCCTACGGCCCTCTCCCCACGCTCAGCGGCCGCTCTTGCCGCCTCCACCTCCCCTCCCCCCCACGGCACTTCCGTGCTATCCATACCGGCATCCTGCTGTAACCATAACCTAGAGAGAGGTATTAACTTAATTTCGTAGAACGAACTCCGGAAGTATACGATTGTCGTCTTTGCCGTCTCGACGACGGGGCAGGGCGAATTCCCTGCCAATGGAAGGAAGTTGTGGAAGTCGCTGCTGAGGAAGAGTATCCCGGCTGGTTACCTGCGTCACGTGGATTTTACGACGTTTGGGTTTGGGGATCAGTCGTATGTGAAGTGAGTCTTCTATCTTTCTTTCTTATCTTAGGATTAAGATGTTTGTTTTTCTTTCTTCTTTGTTGTGGTAGTCGTTGTGGTCTTGTGTTAGCGCAGGAGCGAATGTGGTGTTTATCCCCCTATTGTTCGATTGCTAACACCTGGAAGGTTTAACTGGGCTGCGAGGAAACTGCATAGGCGGCTGCAGCAGTTAGGAGCTAACGAGGTTTATGCGAGAGGAGAGGGAGACGAGCAGCACGACGAAGGGTGAGTGAAAAAGACGTTTTGTTCTAGCTGATTCTGAGGACCCTTAACCCCGATCTGCTGATCTTCTCAACTACAACCCCCGAGTTCTTGCACTTGCCGAATTATTCACTCTTTGGCTAGAACACTTCTGACACCACACAGGACGGACGGTGCGTTCATACCTTGGTCTCTAGGGTTTAAGAAGCACCTCGTGGAGAACTATCCACTTCCTGACGGGATAGAACCTATTCCAGACGAAGAGTTTCTGCCACCAAAGTATATTCTCCAGATCTTGAATCCTGAGATCGATTCTACTACTCCAACGCAAAACACAACATCTCCCAAGATGAATGAAGGCACCAATGACCCCTGCCTCAAAGAAGGCTTCGATGCAGCCGATCTCATCACGGATGAGACACCACCCCCAGATGATATCATCAGCATCCCTGGCCACAAAGTCCTGACGCTCACAAAAAACATCCGCATTACAGCCGCAGACCACTTCCAAGATGTGCGCCACATCGTCCTTGAGATGGAAGGCAACATCCACTACGAACCCGGCGACGTCCTAACCCTCTTCCCCAAGAACTTCCCCGCCGACGTCAACTCCCTCATCGACCTCCAGGGCTGGACTTCCATCGCCGACAAGCCCCTCCAAGTCATCGACAGCGCCGCCCACCCCACCTCCCCCCCCTTCACAGCCGCAATTCTCGACCTCTACTTCCCCGTCGGTCGCCCCCCCACCCTCCGCGACCTCCTCACCCACAACCTCGACATCACCGCCATCCCGCGGCGCTCCTTCCTCGGCGCCATCGCGCACTTCACCGACGAAGAGACACACAAGACCAAGCTCCAAGAATTCTCCAACCCCGCCTACACCGACGAGTACTTCGACTACACCACTCGCCCTCGGCGCTCGATCCTCGAAATCCTCCACGACTTCCCCACAGTGCACCTCCCCTTCCAGAACGCCCTAGCCCTCTTCCCCCGCCTCCGCGGCCGCCAATTCTCAATCTCCTCGGGCGGCGCCCTGCGCCAGCCAAACGGAAAGGAAACAACCACCTTCCACCTCACCATCGCGCTTGTCCGCTATCGCACCGTCCTCCGCAAGGTCCGCCAGGGCGTGTGTTCGCGCTACATCGCGTCTCTCCAACCTGGCACCCCTCTCGCTTGCACCCTCTCCGATGGCTCCCTCAACATCAGCGCCCAGGACTCGCCTATCCTCCGTCGCCCGCTCCTGATGATCGCCCCCGGCACTGGCGTGGCGCCTATGCGCAGCTTGATCTGGGAGCGCTCGCTTGTGCTCGAGCAGGAGGATGAGTTGCGCTCCATCGAGTGCGGGAGCGAGAACAGCTACGAGGGAGCTCCGCGCGCCAAGACGGTTTTGATCTTCGGTGGACGCAACAGGAACGGCGATTTCCTATACGAGCACGAGTGGCGCGACTACAAGCTCGGTGTCGAAGTCCTCGCGGCGTGGAGCCGCGACCAGCGCGAGAAAGTGTATGTCCAGGACGTGATTCGTCGCGAGGCGGCGCTGGTGTGGGCGATGCTGAGGCCGTGGGAGATGGTGAGGGGCGGGGATATGCATGATGCGGAGAGGGGGGGTGATCCGAATTGGACGGGGGATGGGACGGTGATTGTGTGTGGGAGCTCGGGAAAGATGCCGGTGGCGGTTAGGAAGGCGATTGTGGATGTGTTTGAGTTGGGGTTTGGGGGGGATAAGGAGAGGGCGGAGCAGGGGGTTAGGTTGTTGGAGAGGGAGGGGAGGTATTTGCAGGAGACTTGGTAGTTTGGGTATTATGATACTACGTACGTGTTTTTCGGGTAATGTGATGGGGGGTTGGGAGGAATTATGGGTAGAGGTTAGAGAAGAAGGGGTTATGGAGTATAGAGCCAAGGAATATAGGGAAGATCAAGAATGAACATATTCCACTTCATGCATCTATTTGTAGTGTATTCGCATTTATTGTATTGTGTGTAGTTTCTCAGTTGTTTTTGGCTCGATCTCTCCAGACACATGTCATAAATTCTCCTTTCTGACACTCCTCTGATCATCACTCCGCCGCACACCTGTGTCAGTGACGACGGCGAGCTCAGTAACAATGAGAGTTTCTGTTACCACCGCTGTCTCAGTTATGATCTTTGTTTCTGTTATCTCTCGAGACTCGGTCTTCGTAGTCGTGAGGGTGTCTATATGGGCTTCTCCACTCCCAATTGCAGCTTCACCTCCTACTTCAACATCCGCATCAGGAGTCGCAGAGCCAGAAGCAATTTCTGAGCCCGGCATAGCGGTCGTTGTCATCATCCCTCCTCCCCCTGCGACCACCCCACCACCCGTCTCCTTCGGTACCACACCTCCCCCCGTCCTCGCCGGCGTCTTCACCCCCTCCGCCTTCTCTCCCACCACATCCAGCGTCTGCGGAATCTCACTAACCACCGACTTCTTCCATACTCTCTCCTCCCCCTCCCCCTTCTCCTTTTTTCCTTTCCCTTTCCCTTCTTCTCTCCCACCCCCACCCCCCAACGCATAACTCCTCGGCATAACATCCGTAACGACCGCCTCCCTCCACCCCCCCCAAAACCCATCCCCCACCAGCGTCCGTCTATTCGTGAATGTAGGCACTGTCAGCGCGCCACCGGTGGCGGTCACGAGACAGGAGGCGGAGGTGGGGAGGAGGTGGCAGTAGGCGTCTTCGGTGTAGGCGGGGAAGAGGTAGAGGTATTCGCTTGCGAGGGGGATGGAGAGGCGGGTTGTGGTGTGGGTGCGTATTTCGGATCTGTGGGGGGGGGGTTAGTTGGTTGGATAGTTGAGAAGGAAGGTGGGGAAGGAACGAAGGAAGAGGGAAGGAAAGTGTAAAGAAGGGAAAGAGCGAAAGAGGGAATGAGAGAAGGGGGCAACGAGGGAAGTAGCGAGGGAGGGAAAGCGCAAAAAAGGGCAAGAGCGAAGGAGGGAATGGTGGAAGGTGTGAGGGGGGATTAGAGCAAAAGGGGGAAAAGAGCGGAGGAGGGAATGGGGAAAGGGGCGAAGAGCGAAAGAGCAAAGGCGGGGAAGGAGTGAAGCAGGGAAGGAACGAAGGAGGGTAAATACGTAGACGGCAACGACATTGTCGCATGCATGAATGTCGGCCCCGAGGTAAGGTAGAAAGGTATAGGAACGCGGCACCCATTGAGGACAGTAGGCTCGTGGATGGAGCAGGCGACAGAGTACGTTGTTGCGGTGTGGTCCTTCTTGGATGTTAGTCATGTCATGAGACTATAAAATAGTAGGAATAACACTCACAGCGTCAACGATAGATGCCAGCAATGGATGTCCAGGCGCGAAGTAGGGCAGGAAAAGCGACGTCGTCTCTTGCGCCGCTACGACATAAACGAAGGTCGCAGCAGCTACTACCTCGACAATTACGGTGCCACGCATCTTCCAGCAGCAGCAGCAGCAGCAGTAGCAGCTCGCGTGCCTCAACCAACCGGCCAAATGTAGGTGATCTGGATCTCCCACTGCAGAACCGTCAACTCCTCCAGCAGCAGAGAAATAAAAGGAGCAGAGTTAAAAAACAGAGGGGAAATTTCTCGGTGATAAATAACTATGGGGGGAGAACAGAGATCTGGTCATTTCTTCCAGCCAGTTCCCCAAAGGATTCCCGATGCCGCCCAGGCACTGAGGACTGCAATATGGGTATTTGCATGCCGAGCTCTCATAGCAGTTCCATGGTTGGTTAGACCTCAGCGTGCCAATGAACACGGTAGTGCGAGATGACCATACCAGCAGCATCGTTAGTAATACAAGTAGCAATAGTAGTACTGTATCACGATGGCCCAACAAAGTGCCCCGGCACCGGAAGGCCATAATATCGAACACTGTATATGAAGCAAGACGGCGCGCTTAGCGAGGGGCTGTGCCCCTCGGCGTGAATGGGCCTTGGTCTGGCGGTCAGCATGCGGTGTGTCGGACGGGTTTATATGGCTTTGCCAATATGGGAGGAGGAGGAAGTCAGGAGACGGGCGAGAGTGGCGATGATCGGCGGTATATTTGAGGCTGGATGATTTAGCCGCTGTGCGTTTGGGAGAGGAGACGGGGTACAGTAGTGCTTACTGTCTCTTCAACTTATATGCTTCGCTTTGGTAATGAAGTTGGGGCAGGAAGTGGATATCTTATGCTGTGCTCGCTGTTGGGAGCTGGGGAGAATGAGGCGTTGGTGATACTGGGGTTTGTGGTGGGATGAAGGGGAAGGTGTTGATGGATACGACGTTGCGGCGGAATTTCAAAAGACTGTCTGTCGTATACGTATTACTAGGACTTCAATATCCCAAAACGGATATCAAAGGAGCAATGCCTCACCCGGATTCAGCCTGCCAGGCTTCTCAAATATATTACTCGCGCTTTATCTTAATATATTCAATATATTTATTTATTTATCCTATATATAATTTGTTGGGATTATTTCCCATCATGTAGCCTCTACAATTAATATACAAATAATTTATACCAAAGTAATATCACACACAAATTATCATATTCGCTAAATAAAATCTCATATAAACAGCAAATCATAGCGCCTCTTACTGTAATATCCCCAAAATCTCCGATTCGTCTTCTTCTTCTCTTACCCCATATCAAACCCCTGGATTTGCAAGCATCTGGACCAAAGAAACCCATGTCGCGTCTATTTAGTAAGACAGCTACTATGCTTAAATTCCCACTCAATTCCCCATCAGGAACATCGCTTCCCTGATGCACTTTGCGATACTATATATACACAGGCTATTGTGCCTAGCAAGTTGCCAAACAGGCGCCGGGAATAGTAATCTCGGGTTTCTCCTGGGGAAGAGTTACATACGTAGACCCATTCAGCAACACGAGAATGAACAGAATGCAAGCACATCCGCCCCTATAATGCTTCGGATGAAGTACTTCTTTAGGAAGCGTTAGTATTATTCGTTATATAAGATATAGCTACTAACTTATCAAAAGGCTACGATGTATAACAGCAGCGCCTTAGTTAGTTAACGTAAATTAAATTACTTAACAATAGCTAACTTTAACAGGTACTATAAAACTAAGTTCCTAGAGGCATTTAGCACGTTCTAAGATAGTAGATTAAAGTATAATAACCTTTAAGGCTAGGGCGTTAGGAGGTTTAACACATATAGAGAGATGAGGACTATAACATAGTCTTATCTATAGGCATAGGTTTTAAGGAGCAGCTAATGTTACCTAAAGCCCCTAATGTTTAGAATCTCTTCTAGGATAGTGTAATAGCGCAGCTTTATTAAGCTTCTATGTCCTTACTATTACTAGATAGTAGTAATAGTTAGAAAGATCATTAGCACAGGCTAGAAAAAGACATAAAAGGGTAGCATTTCTACCTTAATATAGTGCTAAAAGGCAGGGTGCCTAATATTAATAAGGTGGACTAGATAGCTAACCTCTAGGACTAGGTACAAAACAACCTAAGTAACATAGATAGGCTTACTAGGGCCTTTAAAGCAGTCTCCTTCTTCTTTAAGCTTAACGAGCCCCTAGTATATAAGGGTATTATCTACATGTACTATAGATCTATTCTATCTTAAAGTCCTAGTAGTTAAGCTCTTATGTAAAACATAACATCTAGATACCCTTATTCTTAATTTATAATAGATAACAAGGTTTCCTTAGGATTGCTTAGCCTTAATAATATCTACTAGGGTTATAGTCGTTTCTAAAAGAAAGCTACAATCTCTATTTAGAATCTAATTAATACTCTTGTGTTATAGCAGGCTATTTCAGCAAAGCATTAGCAGATTTCCTCATCCTATAAAGTAGTTTAAAGAGTGATAGAATTTAAAGGCCACGTTTAGTTAGGCAGACTATAGTGAGGCTAAAGCTTTATCTAGCTCTAATTATAGCTGCGTTTATTAATGTCGCCCCTTAGATTTAACAGATAGATTAGCACTAAGGAAACGACCCTAAGCTGTAATAAGCATAAGGAGGAGCAAGAGGCGCTGCTTATAGACTGCATTAAAATTTTATATTAGAATAAACTTACGCTAGCAAAATTTCAAGTTGAGAAACGTGTACACTTAGAGCTGTAATTATATAGTGAGTTTTAAAACTAGGCTGAAAGTCGCCCTATTTTATAAGCTTTAGGCAGCCTTAGCGTTTTAAGCATAACTACGCTAAGGCTGCCTAGAAGTTCAAGGGTAATGCTTCGATATAGTGATCGCTATATCACCTTTCTTCTAAGAACCCTTGATTACATTTATAGTTCTAACACAGCACGAGTCTGTCCCAACTCACTGCCATTAGTCTAAGAAATTCTAGATTTAATAAGGCTTGACTTACAAATTTACACCCAGCTACTAACGTGCATCCCTACATTAAGAGAGACACCCTGTGACAGGACAAACTATTAGTACTTTAAATTCAGTTGATTCTAAATTTGTGAATCCATTGAAAATTCTAGTATTTTTGTCAGTCATGTTATGTAACTACTCCTAAACAGTCAAAACCCCAGCTACTCTAAAATTTACGATCACGTTGTCGCTGTCACGCCTAATTGCAGAGGGTGTCAATTCGAAGTATAACAGAACCCCCTTGACTTACAGCACCACCATGACCTCTTTGCGCCTTTCAAACTTATATAACACTTTCATCTGGGCTTCCGAGCCTCACCACTATGCTGAAAAAATATTTTTAGCCTTATGGTGGCCAGGGAATGCTGTCTCAGGCGACGTCGTCACATGGGTTGGTACCTCCAAATCAAGCGATCAAGGATCCCTGGTCATGGTTACGGTAATTACAATGTATAAGGTACTGAGGAAATATTCTCCTATCATCTAATTATTGGATAGCGACTAAAGATGATGGCCTGTGCGTTTCAGAGTTCGCTGATAACCTTCTCCAGCCTCCAAATTCTGGAGCCACTGCTCAATCTTTGGCCAAGACTTGCCCTCTGTGCCAAGTTTATAAAAAAGTATAACTTGTGCGGGGAAGGCCATCATTATATCCGCTGCCGTAACCTCATTCCCAGCAATGTACCTAGTCGAGGTCCTTGATAGCGCGTTTTCAAGCCAGTCCATGTCATTTTGGATAGGTTTCAGTAGCTTTGCCTCAACCTCTGGCGAGACAGAGCCTTTGGCACCAAAGAATACCTCAATATGAAGCATGAGGCTGGCTTCAGAGGCCCATATGAATTCACGGACCTTGGCGCGCTTAATTGGGTCGGTAGGTAGGAGTTGATGTTGCGCATCGTATTGTTCACAAATATAACTGCATTAAAATTAACTTGCTGCCTGAATGTAAGACCATGGAATACAGCTGTTACTCACTCAGAAATTGCGCCAGACTCGCCGAGGATGATGTCACCATCTTGAATTGCCGGGGACTTTCCAACTGCTGTAGGCACTCCAAGCTCTTTAGGAACAGTGCCATCTGCCTGGCGGTTGGCGAACTTTAGCTCATACGGAACATTGAGCTCTTCGAGGAGCCATGCGGATCGGATTGCCCTCGAAGACTGGAGAAAGTAAAGGGTGAGCATATTGAAGGATGCGATTTGAGAGCTGTTGTATAAGACGTATCGGCGAGACTTTAACAGTACTGAAAGTTCTTGGAAAATATGCTATGGGTTATAGCAAGTATGTGTCTATTGAATCCGGTGCAGTTATTGTGGACTTGCTGTATCGAGTGTAGAATCGGAAATTGAGATACTTTATATCATTTCAGTCGCAGGCGTTGATGACAATAACAAGGGTCTAGGCACAATTAGCTCGATGCTTGATTGCAAATGCGTCTTTCAATCATACTGCGGATGTGAAACCTGTATTACGCTAATATAGAAACCCAAATTATGAAATGGCTTTTGGCTACTAATCAATGAGTACTGTACTGCTTGTGTTAGTATGGGCGGCTTACAAATGCGTAATATCTCTTGTTGATATCACAGTTTCCACTAGCGCTTAAAGTCTACGCCACGAACCAAAGTAAAGGCAAGTTAAGAACGCGAAAAGTTTTACTAATTCCAAATCAATAAGTCTCGACCTCCTCGAACACGATAATGCAGGATATGACCCTGGTTGCCTGGCGGCAACCACCTGCAAGGATGTTATACATTAGCTACATTATAGTCATAGCGCACCTGGTCAATTATGTCATCACTAAGTGGCAACTCCCATCACAGTTTCCCACTAGCGCTTAAAGTCTAAGCCACGAACCAAAGTAAAGGCAAGTTAAGAACGCGAAAAGTTTTACTAATTCCAAATCGATAAGTCTTGACCCTCCTCGAACACGATAATGCGGGATATGACCCTGGTTGTGTGGCAGCAACCACGTGTAGGATGTATGTTAGCGAATTATTTAACTCCCTTGCCACAAAATTCGGCCTATACACTAGCTTCATTACAGCCTCATATAGCGCTCGCTCGGGTGGCACCCTCGCGTATAAAGTACGTTGGTCGGATTGAATTTCCTGTGCGTACAGAGGCAACTCTTGAGACTGAGCCACGTTTGTAATCCACTTCTCCTGCACCCCTTTACTCAGTATACTAGTCCAAATAAACAGGAACTCATCTGGCATACACCGTCCTCATACGTCAATTATTCAAAAACTTCACTATGGCTCTCCCAGCAAGCAATGGAAAAACTATACTGATCACGGGAATTAATGGCTACATTGCCAGCGTTCTCGGACAGCTCCTACTTAGCAAAGGGTACTCCATCCGAGGCACGACTCGTCGCACTGTAGCTTCAGATCCGCTTCTAAAAGGCCCATATGCACCTTACAAAGAGCGAATCCAGATCTACGAGATTCCAGATATGACTGTTAGTGGAGCATTTGATGAAGCGGCTAAAGGTACGTATTTCGTGCTGAATAAGAGAGAAAGTCCTGTCTAACAATAATCAGGTGTCCACGGAATTTTACACACTGCATCTCCAATCAGCTTTGTCCTTAACAGCTATGAGGCCACTGTCATTCCAGCTTTGAGAGGCACTGAGACTATTCTTAAGGCTGCCTTCAAGGCTGGCCCTCAATTATCATCTGTGGTTGTCACATCTTCAGTTGCTGCAGTTACGAACTATCCAGCAGAGACGGGATACGTGTTCACTGAAAAAGACTTCGCTCACGTTGCCTTAGATGTAGCTACTAAGAATAAGGCCGAAGGGGTAAAGACTCCAGAAGCAATTTTGTACTCGGCAAGCAAAACTGCTGCTGAGAGAACCGTGTGGAAGTTCAAGAATGAGCAAAATGTGAGCCTTTAATATTTACTGAAAGTTCAAATTGGGCTTTCTACAATGTGCTAACAACCCTTTAGCCACCATTTGCAATCTCAACAATAAACCCAAGCGTGGTGATAGGCCCGCCAATAATCATCCCTGATAGTGGATTAAAGCTCAACGAGACTCTCCAGCCCATATACAACATCCTCTCCGGATCCGTCTCTGAGATTCCCGCACAGATTGGAAGCGGCGCATATGTAGACGTCAGAGACGTCGCGGCAATGCACGTTTGGGCTTTTGAGAATCCAGAAAAGGCAAATGGGGAGAGGTATATTGCCGCCACTTCCTATGGACCGCCGCAGGGAGTTGCGGATATCCTGCGTTACAAGTACAGGGGAACCAAGATTGCAGAAAAGATTCTAGTAGGTAACCCTGGAAAGGGTTACATTGGCTATGACAAAAAGACTGGAGAAGTTTCTGAGCCCGATTACCTCCCAGAATTTCCGCGCCCTTCTGCGAAGAAGGCCCAAGAGTCAATGGGGCTCACGTGGATTCCATTCAAACAGAGTGTTATAGAGACCGCTAAGGCATTAGAGCCTCTATTATAAGAAACTTATCTAAGATCTCTGAATGTTGATACTGGTTTAATCCCCTAAATGCAATTATAGTGTTGCGATGAAACATATGCATCAGTCAATTTACACGATTTTAGCCATTTTATATCTAGTCTCTTAATGGAATCAGAATCTAAGCATATTTCGCACCTCGTTATCATCTATTATAATCTTTAAGTTCTTAGGATTTATGCAGAACCAGTTCTAAAAAGAGCATCCCATGCGGTATTGTAAGAATTTGTACCCTATAGATTTACAGGGTACCATTAATCATCTCAACTTTTTTTCAACTCATCTGTCGATCCTAGTGCTTCCAAGAAAAGACATTACATAGTAATAACTATATCTAGTTCAACTAGTACCTTCGTAACTATCCCTATACCTAGCCTAGGGCTCGACTTGTCCGTAATCTATAATTAATAATCTTCCTTCTCTTACAACAGCCGTATGTTACCTACCAGCTTTTTAACAGTTAGGTAAAAATTCGGCGTTAACTAGGGCGAATCAACTTAGTCCTGTCTGTAAGTTTTTTCACCTTAAATCATTATCTATTGTACTTATTATAAGGATGAAATTTAGTGTAGTTAATATTAATAGCTAGGATATTATAATAATAGCAATTTCTTAAGATAAATATATCAACATTTTAGAGAGCAGCAACATACAAATGCTACTCTAAAAACACTAACAAAGGTTCTCCTTATAGATAGTTATATAAGCTATATAGCTCTAGAATTTACTTTATAAGCTAATAAAATGAACAGATTAAATCTAGACATAATAGGAACCCTTAGATATAAGATTATGCTATTTTTAATAGGCTTCGTTAGTAACGTATTTCACGTACGAGTTGGCCGCACGGACGAGTTGGCCACTAAAACACTAAAATTAACTATTACTACATACTACTACACCACTACCCTATATAACAACCCTTATTTAATTATAATTGATTCCTAGCGCCTCTCGCACGTACGAGCATTATGCCCTATATTACCACATGTGCCACATCGCCGCTATCGGCCTATAGAACCCACCTGCTAAGTAGTCTTACTTGCCACCTCCGTACGGAGTTGAGCATCAACCTTAGCACTCTAAAGGATATCCTCTCCCTCTCGTATAGAGAGACTGCCCCCTTACATTATACGCCTCTTGCGCTTCCTTTCCCTCCTCTTTTTCTGTTCATTTGTAGTCTATAGAGCCTTAACTTCTACCTTAAGTAGAATAGCAGAATGCATTATCATTTCTACCCCTTTAACAAGGTAGCTAATAGAATCATTAATTAAGGTAGAAGAGCTGTTCTAATGCCGTACGATGTAGTTCTTAATGTGCTCTGTTTAAAAGTTAAGCTCCCTTATAGTTTAAGGAGTCTTTAAAGTCTAATTGCCACTCTTAACTATAGGAGGGGTTAGAGTCCTTAAGTGTAGATTTAAGTAAGAGAGGACATTCTATAGCTCGTACGGAACTAGCCCTATAGCTTAGAATCTGCTCTTAATGTTCTACTCTATAAATGTAGCTTTAAATGCTACTTTAAATGTAGAGAGGAACTTAAGCTTTATAATGTAGTTTAGCTAGTTCTATATAAAGGTTTTAATCTACTTTCTATATAAAAGCTTTAGTAGCGTAAAGCAGCTTACATTAAGAGGCTAAATAATGTATAATGAGTGTAGTAGCATATAGAGTGTAATTATCTTCTGTTCTATGTAGTAGTACTAAAATTAAGTAGAGAGGTAGCTCTTATGTCTGTTAAGAATAAGAAGGTAATAGGTTCTAACTATATAAGCATTTATATGCTAATTAAAGTGTTAAATCTACTTATACCTAATTAAATTTAAAGTCTACCTATTCTTACTTAGTGTAATTACCTAGTCGTTTAGCAATCCTAAGTCCTTATACTAAGTAGAGAGGTGATTCTACGCCTTAAAAATAATGAATAGCAGGAGTGCCTATCTATACGAATTAATACCTTAGATAATTAACACCTACTCTCTATTCCCTAGCTATATAGTCTTTAGACAGCTCTTTACTTCTAAGCTTATAACTACCTTTATAGTAGTAATAACTCCCATTATGAAACCTGCTTCATTAAAGTTGTAGATATCCTGCTCTAAGATTCCGTATTTTGTAACTATGTTTTGTACAAGGGAGAACTACCCTTTAATTATCTTTAGATCTTTGCATTTTGCTCGTTTATAATTATACTTCTAACTAAACTTTGCTTTAAGTTCCGTACGACGCTTAATGAAGGTAGTAGTCTAGTTTATCCTAATAGGGCTCTCGCCTTGTTTAGAGAGTAGAAGGTTTGCTATTTCTTGCATAGCTTGCAGTCGGGGTGGAAATCCACGTGAATCTAGGTTAAGGATGTACTAGACGAGAGCTGACTCTTCGTACGAAGTCAACTTCTATAAGTTAGGGGGGGAGTCGCGTCGGGTGGTCATTCCATTCATTCTGTTAGTAAGGGTGCTACGTGGCACGTCATACGACAATGCAGCAGCTTAGACGCTCTTAAATTGATGTTCCTTTAGTGCCTGAATAGCTAATAGTATTCTACCCTCTTGATTAGGGGATTGGGCTTGTGTTGGTTGTGGCATGTTGACATTTGTCAAGTTGACGCGTTTTGGTGTTTTGGTGGCCAACTCGTCCGTGCGGCCAACTCGTACGTGAAATACGTTATACTTTTGCCTAGAATACCTACCTTATCTACTAGTAAAGCGTTTGTTTTTAAGGAAGAGTCATGCCTCCTATATGTTATGCATAAGTTGTTAGCTTTAATAGAGGTGGATGTTATAGAATAGTTTTACTAACGTTCTTTAATGAAATGCAAGATGCCTTTAGACTTAATTATCCTATATAGGACCACTTTGATTTAGGAATAGGGACAAGTTTAGGTTTGTTACCTAGTAGCTTAAAATAACATCCTATAATAACTAACACATAACAGGAGCTATTAGCCTAGCTAGCCTTTTTATAATGCACTAGAACATAAAGACATGTCTCCGTTTCTAGCATAAGTTTATAATGTGTGTTTTCAAAAGGATCGTTTTGCGTTCTACGATTACGAAATGTTAGTAGTACCTTATATCATATTTTGCTAATAGCCTATACGATGCTATGCTCTTAGAAGAAGCACTATAAGAAAAGTTTGAGTTTCGCCATCTGTTTAGCCTAACAGAATCAAGACCGTCTAGCATGAAGATTATAATAACAGCAACTACAATCTCTAATGCTACACTCTGTCTTTTTACAAACTACAATGGAAGTAGTAACTATAGAGGTACACGTAGAAATCTCCCGCCTATTGTTTACAGTCGCTAATTAAGTATGTCAACCCGTTGAAGACGGGTACCCGCATTGAGCTGACAGCAACCGCTTTAGGACCTTGGTGCGCACGCTCAAATATGCATCGAGCGAGAATTCTGATCCTGCGCCAAGAATCCCGAAGCAGATTACGGGTTTCTCGTGAACATCTCGTGCCGTGCTGTGGTGTACGCGAGACGAGGTTCTGTCTCGTGTCACTGTCTGGATGAGCGTGCGACGGAGATATATGAGACTACCAGAACTTCACCATATAATCAAGCAATGAGTGTGCGGTTAAACATTGAGTAGCTAAACAAGATCCATCTGCTATGCGCTACTCATACATTTCATTTTATTCCACCCTCTTTACCTCCACCCACCCATCTCAAGCCTCAGCCGTAGCACCCCCAAACTCCGCCCCAAGCCCATGAATAACCTTCATCCCCTCCACCACTCCCTCCTTCCCTCCCTCCTCCGCTCTAACCTCATCCAGCAACCCCCCCTCATCCTTTCCCCCTCCCCTCCCCACACCCCTCACCACCCTCAGCGCCCTCCGGAACTCATCCCGAATCGCCACAATCCCATTATGCGTCACCGTGCGCGCCACATTATGATCAAGCTCAAACGGATCCTCAAGCGCAAACAGGTACCGGTGCCGAATCTCCTTCACCTCCTCCTTGCGCACCACCTTCCGCGCTGCACCAGGCGACCCCGGCGCACCGGTTCCGTTAGCTACCGCTGTTGTTGCCGCCGGCGCAGCCTCGGTAGTAGTTTGCGTCACGGTTCTAGCGCCTACCCACCCCTTCTCCTGCTTCGTGAGCAAGCCGCCTCGAGTCCGCAAACTGAGTACTTCGCGTCCCCAATCGAATCCGCGTCCACCACCACCGCTCATCGGCCCGTTCTGCGCGTAGTACTCGAAGAATCCCCTCAGCAACGACCCGACACTTTCGCCATTATGGTTCAGCAGCCCGCGGCGTGCAAGGTCGGTCAGTTCGCGCTCATCGCGCCAAAAAGTGACGTTGGCGCCTTGGCAGGTTTGTGGTGCGATGGCGGGAGCGTGTGGAGGAGGGTTGTGGTGTTGGAGGTTTGGTGCAAGGGGGGGCTGGGCGATATTGACGAGGTAGTGGAGCACCATTAGGACGTAGCCGTAGCTGGAGAGGGTGCCGCGGTAGGGCGTGTTGATGGCGCGGCGTTTGGCCCAGTGCTTAACGAAGAGGATCATCGGCTTGATGCGCGGATCGGTGAGGGAGTAGCAGCGCAGGAGGGTTGTGTTGTGGAGGGCGAGCGAGGCGGCAAAATTGATATCGCACTGGATACCGATTTTCGTTTTGGGGAACTCGAGGTGGTCATGGTAGCGGTCCCGGGGCTTGCAGGCGTGCGTTGGGTCGGGGAGGGTGGCGATTTTCTCGAGGAGGGGGAGGAGGTGTGGTGTAGATGGTAGGAGCGGTGCCGAGGTTTCTGTGCCAGTGCTGGCTGATAGCAGGACAGAGATGTACATCTCAACATATGGGCGGTCTGCTTCTTGGTAGGTATTTTTAGCTAATGCTTTCTCAAAGTCGCGCGCTAATTCGAGGATTCGGTGATGGAGGCCGATTGTGCTGAGAGAAAGAGGCGGGTTCCGAGAAACTATGGACTGTAGGGTTTCGCGGATTTTGATGCCCCTCGCGCCGTTGATGTAGTGTGTGATCACAATAGCCAGAGCAGTATTCTCGGCACCAGGCTCATCCTTGCCACCAAGTTCGAGCAAGAGCTTGCGAACTCTCGCATAGTACTGCGCTGCGCTCTCATTTTCCTGATGCTCAAGGAATACGAGTTGCAACGAAGCTACCTTCTTCAACCTTTCCAGTGATTGGTGAAGCCGTCTATTGTACACTGCAGACTCTGCTGTATTGCAGTCTAATAGCGTCCTCCATTGCTTGATCAGATCATCCGAAAACCCTTCCGACCGCTCAGTCATCTCTGGCAAAGGTCTAGAGCTCCATGCCATGGCTAGGCGCTCTCCTTCGATCTGTTGATAGACTCCACCAAGAGATTTTGCCATTGCAGGGTTTCCGACTCGGTCGAAGACTAGGGACTTGTATTGGACAAGCTGATCCCTGAGTTCCTGGTTCTCGAGACCGTTGACAAAGGCTTCGCAAACATCTGCGAGGATTCTAACCTCATCTTCAGTTGGGTTCGTTCCATACGCTGCCCCGACATCCCGTCCTCCTAACTGCCGCAAAAGTCGTTTCGCAGAGCCATAGTAATCGCCAAGGGAGAGGTTCTTCTTTTGACGGAAAGTGGACAGTGTCTCGGTGTATATCTCTTCAGCAGTCTTCGCTTTTTCGATTACAGCAACTGTGGGCTTCTCGGCGTTCTCCGGTACCTCGTCTTTCTCGACAGCATCTAAGTCCTCCTCAACGACATCCTCATCAGGTTCATCCACATCAAACCCATTCTCCCACTTCAATCGTTCTTGAAGTAAGTCGGCCCTTAGTTTCTCAGTTGGCTTCTCACACAACTTGATAATCGGAACTCGTGTTCTCGTTAACAGCCTCGCACCACACCCCCACTCAAGCAATGCTTTCTCAAGTATTCTCGGGATCGGGGATTCAGAGGACTCCGGAGGTATCAAAGACAACGGACTGAGCAATGCCAAATCCATATCCGATCCCTTAGTTGCATACCCAGACGCCATACTCCCAAAGCACGTCAACTGCACTGACTCAGGCACAAAGTCCTGATTCCCTAGCTCCTCTCGCTCGTACTTGACAACTGCATCCCGACATACTTGCTCGGCTTTTGCTCTGAAGGCCTCTTTTTCCGCAATCTCCTCGGTATTAACTCCAACATGAGGAACGATTGCCTGGACCAAGCTCTCAAGAAAATCACTCTGGGCAGCGATCTGCTCTGGCGAGACGCCATAGGGAGCTATAGTACGAAGAGGTGCTCCATATCCTCCCGGTTGGAACAGTTGACGATTCTGCGGGGGTGGGCGCTGTTGAAACTGTGATGGTCCTTGTTGGAAGCTCTGGCGATCTTGCTGGAAATTCTGACGACCTTGCTGCCACTGCTGTTGGGAATGGCCTTGCTGATACCCAGGGGCTTGCCCTCTAAATTCACCACCAAGCCCAGGAGGCGGGCCTCTCACGTGGGTATCTTGGAACCCTGGGCCACGGTGCACAACTGACTGAGGCATGGGGCCACGTTGAAAGTCCTGCTGATAGGTAATTTGTTCTGACTGCTGCTGGAACATGACACTATTCTGCGGATTGCCAGCAAGACGGTGAGAAAGATGTTGGGTACCATGGAATCCAGGGCTCCCTTGCGGGGCGGTAGACACTGAGGCTTTATCATTTACAGGAATAGCCATTTGCGAAGCGAGCTGTCGGCGCTGAAATTGATTAAGGCGCTTGTGAGTAGTTTGAGGGGCCTTCTGAGGCGGAGCTTGCTGCACTGGCTGTGCAGGTGGGCCTTGAGTACGCATCATACTTCTCTGCAAATAGTCTTGCTGCTGAGCCAACGAAGCACCTCTCATATGAGGAGGAATCGTAGGAACAGATGCTGGAGCGGCTGGCTGCCTTTGGTCTTGAATAACAGGACCTGGTGAGTTGTTCATAATTAAGCCGCGGAGCCTGTCCTCAAGATTCGCGCCATCAGGAAGCTCCTGTTGTTGATGATTCTGAGACATCTCTTTGACACTTGGGCGTACGGAGCCTTCCGTATCTTGATGATTTTAGTGCCGAGAGCTCAATGCCGGAAAACCAATGAAATAAAACGGTCGTTAGGATACCTGGAATGGATCCTCTTCCCCGAAGCCTATGTCAACCGCGGAGTATTTCCGAGAGAGTATAGCTCTAGGATGAAGTGTCCAGGGCGTAGCCTCTTAAGGTACAGCTTCACGTGAGCGAGCCTCTGACGAATGATACGATTGATAGGCTCCGTTTTGCGGCTGCCATTCCCCAAAGAATGATATCCTGTTAGCCGGATCTCTTCTTATCCATATACCAAAGTATACTGGGCTGGTAGTTCCTAGCCGTGACAGGGTCTAGGTAGAGAGCGTAGTAGAGTTGAATAGGTCGTCACTTTATGTGTGGAGCAGAGGTTGGGCTATGGAAGAAGGTAAGCGGCCGCTTGTGGTTCTGATAAGCAGAGGATACATCAAAGAGTTACCAGAGTCGAATTTTGAATCAACGCCCAAGAGGCGCCTGAATCATTTATGTGATAAACGAAGCTCCTTTAGTTAATATGTAGCCGTATGGAGCTTTAAGAAGTGTCAGAACAGTATATAAAAGGAAATGTATGCTTGGATGGACCAGCTCAGAGATGTTGCAAGGTCACGTGTAAAGTCACGGGAAGGCCATGAGTCTCGCGGAGCTCTCGCCCACGCTAAAAACAGCCAAAACGTGAGCTAGCGCCCACCCTAGTACACGCGAAGTTCATGGGTTCGTCCCAAGTCCAAAGAAGAGGAGTGAGGCAAGGCACCAAGACATATTCACTCCCTCTCTCCATTGTTCACCCATTTACTCTTCCTTCCGCCACTCCCTCTCACCTCTATACTAGACACAACAAAGAAAGGGATTTACCAACAATCATCTTTGAAAGCGCAGAAAACTGAGCCTTGCGCACCGCCTCTTTCGATTTCGAATCGTCGCTCTGACGTCGCGCGCGTGGGGCGATACACTCCGATCACTTCTCTGCGCTCCAACACAACGCTGTACCACATCTAGAGGACTGCTTGAATACTAGTCTGCCGCATACTGAGCTTCGCAACTGCGCATCAGTGCCTCTTGTGCATCCTCGCCACCCCTGGATAGCTGCCTCGGGGCCACACGAACGTCACTGGTGATCATGAGCGCTTCTCCAGCTGGCATCACTCCCAATGGAACCCCGACACCAAACTCAGGCGGGCAACCGCCAAAGATCATCCGAAGAGCAAAGGCCGATCCATTCGCCACCTACAAGAAACCAGTTGTGCGGCCACAGGCTGCTCCGAGATCACGCCAACAGAACCAGAATGGACTCACTGCCCTGAACAAACCACCACCGCCACCTCGTCCCCTACCACGATACCCAGGGAATAATCGAGCAGCTGCTCCTGCGGGACCAAGCAGCAATGCGCCGCCACAGCCCCAGCTCGACTTCACACGCAAGTCGAACATCGGAGAATACGAGGACTTTGCGCTCACGACGACGAAGAGGGCGATGCGCGAGGGTCTACGATACCATATTGCACGATTTGCCTCTAAGAAGAAGGTCGACCCAACGAATTCTGACGACTTCATTAAGCCCGTCTCTCTCCATCGCCGCGACCCAAGACAACCGCCTGCTGGGAAAGTCGCCAAGGATGAGGATACGGTGATGGGGGAGCCAATCGATGATAAGGAGAGAGAGAAGCAGGAAATCGCTCGGGCTGCCAAAGAGGCACAGCGAGCTGCTGATCTGGCCCAGATTGCACCCTCTGGAAACAACGCATCGGCATTGGCAGCCAAGAAAGTCCAGTCGTTCAAGAATGAGAAGACGACCCAGGTTCATAGAACGGCCCAGACCGAAGAGGAGATGAAGGAGTCAGATCTACGCTATGAAGAGGCCTTACCATGGCATCTTGAAGACGCCGAGAACAAACAAACTTGGGTGGGCAACTACGAGGCTGCTTTGTCGGACACGAACGTCATCTTCGTCATCGACGGGACCAATTTCAGGATGGTTCCGATCGAGAAGTGGTACAAGTTCACGCCTAAGAACCAGTTTAAGACTTTGACGATCGAGGAGGCAGAGGCTGAGATGAACAAGAAGTCTAAGGCAAATAGATGGGTTATGCATGCTGACCAACAGAACCAAGAAGCCGCAGAGAGGCAGAGGGGAATTCAAGCCATGGCTGGCCTGTACAGTAAAGTCAAGGGCGAGAGGCCCATGCCCAAGAGCGAAGCTAGAGATCACGACGATCTTGATATTACAGATGATTTGTTCCAAGATGATGACGAGCAGGCCACTGTCGAGCCAGAAAATGACGAGGACACCAAGTTCGCTGCTGAAAAGATCAAGCGGGAGCAGTTGGGAGCGAATTTGTTTGGAGACGCAGATGAGGAAGAAGTTGAGGAAGAATTCAAGGAGGAAGCGAAAGAAAAGGAGATGAAGAAGCGCCTTGGCAAGAGCCTGAGGAAGTCGCTCAGAAAGCGTGAAAAGAACTACACTTATGAGAGCGATTCCTCAAACCCATATTCTTCTTCAGTATGTCACCAATTCCATTTCATACGTCATATACTAACAAACTACAGAGCGGCGATGAGACCACAGATGACGAGAAGCAGGCCGAGGAAGACCGCAAGAAGGACGAGGAGGCCAAGTTGAAAGAGAAAGAAAAGCTCGGCGTGCCAAAGCTTGCCTCTGGCGCTTCAACAAAGGGAACAACCACCCCGATTGGACGCCCAAGAAGCACTGATCCTCACAAGAAACACAACCACCTCAAGCGCGCTGGATCTCCCAACCTCTCAGCCTCCGAAACAAGCGGAAACGAATCCACCCGCAAGAAGCACAAGAAGAAGCACATGCTTTCATCCTCCCAGCCAACCGGGACATCCACCCCTCGCTCGGGGTCACCTCACCCATCCTCCTCAGCCCCAGCAGGTGGCGTCAGCCCACGCAAATCCTCCATCGTCAAGCTTCACGTCAACTCCTCACGCCTCTCTGACATCCAAGCCAACACCCCCCACCCAGCCATGAGCGACAGCGAGATGTCGGATGGCGCCGGCGGCAAGAAGCGCAAATCCGGCATTAAGCTCCGTCTCGGCAACAGCGCCTCTCCTTCCCGCGCCGGCAGCCCCGCCAATGGAAGCCGCGCTGGGAGCCCGGCCCAGGCACAGGGTATGGCCCCTCTTTCTTTGAGTCCTACGTCGCAGATACCCTTCAGACCCACGTCGCCCCCAAAGCCTCGTGACGGCTCTCCAGCTTCAGCACGCGTGACTAACAGCTCTGCAGGTGCGGCGTCTCCTATTCGACCGATTATGGCGGATGAGATTGCGGCTGCGATCCCGGCGGAGGGTATTGCCATTGGGATGCTGCTTAAGATTTTCTCGGGCCGTATCAAGGGGAATGGGAAGGACAAAGAGGATCGTGAGAAGTTTATTAAGCTGGTTAAGGAGAATTCGGTGTTCAGCCAGGAGGATAAGCTGTTGAGACCAAGAGCTACGTAGAGTGTTTAGATAGAGAGACAGGTTTATAGGGGTTCGAGAGGGGTGGTGGGAGAGGATGGGATGGATGGAGCTATTTGCACGTATCGTCAGGCATCATGGGGGATGTGGAGGCTATAGGCGAAGACTGGTTGTTTGCCTGGCTTATCCTTCTGACATAATAAGTAGATTGCAAACCTCAACGAACTTTGATTTCATCTCTCTAGTGACTAAAACAACTTGGGTGAATTCGTAGTGAGCTTCGTGCTGAATATCATATAATCACGTGATCATTCATAAATGCCAAGACATTTATCCCTACTACGCAGCCTCGCCCAAACCTGGCAAACCACCAGCCTCATCTCAACCAGAGGCCTTACCCATTTCCAAAAACCCACGAACTCACACCCGCAAACATGTCACTCTCCTCCTACCTCGCCTCCAAATACCTCACCGCGGACCCCGGCCCCTCCTCCTCTTCTTCCTCCACCAAAAAACGCAAGCGCAAGACCAAAGACACATCCGCCAACACCGGCCTTATCATCGCCGACGACGACGCGGACTGGGCGCCCGTCCGCAAGGACGATGATGAGGATACAATTACAGCCGTGACATCTGGGTCTACTGCAGAATTTCGCAAAGCTAAACAGAGCGCGTGGAAATCCGTGCGGGAGCCTACCGCCGGCGGAGGAGATGATGCACAGGCCGACGCGATTGTAGCGCAAGCGGCGCGGGAGAATGAGGAAGCGGGGAGAGGGGATGAGGATCCAAGTATTGTGAAGATGGGGGATGGGACGCATGCGGGTCTTCAGAGCGGCGCAGCGGTGGCGGAGCAGATGGAGAGGGCGGCGAGGAGGGAGAGGGCGAGGTGGGAGAAAGAGGAGCGGGAAGGGGGGGGGAGGGGGAAGGAGGAGGAGACGGTGTATCGTGATGCGACGGGACGGAGGATTGATATTAGTATGAGGAGGGCGGAGGCGAGGAGGGAGGAGGAGGAGAGGGTGAGGAAGGAGAGGAGGGAGAGGGAGGAGATGGGGGGGGAGAAGCAGAAGGAGGTGAGGGAGAAGAGGAGGGAGGAGCTGGAGGAGGCGAGGTTTATGCCGGTGGCGAGGGGGGTGGAGGATGAGGAGTTGAATAGGGAGTTGAAGGGGAAGTTGAGGTGGGATGATCCGGCGATGGCGTTCTTGACGCAGAAGGAGGATGTTGGAGGGGGTGGGGGTGGGAGTGCGGCTGTAGCGGGGACGGGGAAGAAGACATATAAGGGAGCTGCGGCGCCGAATCGGTATGGGATTCGTCCTGGGCATAGGTGGGATGGGGTTGATCGCGGGAATGGGTGGGAGGGTGAGAGGTTCAGGGCGCTGAATCGGACGAAGAGGAATAAGGACCTGGATTTTGCGTGGCAGGAAGATACTTGAAGGAGCTGTTGCGGTTAATTCTGGCAGTGGTTTGGTTGTTGAGAGGAGAGACTGTATTATATCCCCGTGGCACGGAAGCTTGAATATTGATGAAATCACCGTGTCGCATCTTTGTAGGAATTTGGAAAATGGATAAATAATGATCTGGATCATATAAATTACTTGTTGAATAGTATTATTACATATGTGCAAGCTGGATACTGAGATACTAGTATAGACAAATAGAATCCGTGGGTTTGAGATGGCAGCACCGTACCTGATAACGACTAAAGTCAACAACAGTAACCGTACCTTCCCCAAACTCGAACCGTCATCGTCTAATCGGTATGGTCTGATGAGGGTCTCCCCTTCCTCAACCTCAACACGCTCACACTTCCCCCAATCCACAAACCTACCTTTCTTCTTGTCGGCTACTCTTCATCGCACAGTACAATCAGTTATCAAGTTCACGTTTAAGAAACTGGTGGTTAAGGTCAGTCTCACTGCCATTCGAGCGTGTCTCTTCATTATCACATTCAAATTACTTACAACTTCAGGAACAACAGTGCCAACAACACCCTTTTGAAACTCCAAGACTTCCACATTTACCTCAAAGAACACATTATTCACCAAACATCACATCAAGAGCGGTTTCGCCAGAATACAAAGCCCCAACACTCCAAGCAACCTTCTCACCATGTGTCGTTGGGCTGAGATGACTTCACGCTGTGCGCGCTGGTTCAGCTCCTATTGGTCCCTGGAATCCCTCCTACTCGTGGGTGCTATCGCCGACATCTATACCTTCGCCAGCCTTAGCATATACTTTTATTGCCTTTCCGGTTCTGTCGACCCATCCTCAAGGCTTAGTGTCTGTCACTACAACTACACAGCCCAGTCTCAGCTCACGAGATGGACTAGTTGCGTCACTATGCTCGTGAGAGCCATTTGCAGCACCATTGAACTATTTGTTTTTGTCAGTCGGATGCGGAGGGCAAAACGGACGAGAGAGCGACTCGACGGAAGACATACCAGCCTATTGGAGCTGGCAGCGGACAAACTGTATACGAAGACTGAAATTGACTCTTTGGTGATTTACAATGAAGCTTTGGTCAAGGAGCAAAATGCTATACTCGTAGAGCAGCATGCTGTGTTGGTGGATCTCGCGGCATGGGTATCGAAGGTGTCAGCTTGGGTAACCCCTCTGTCTGATTCTATGGCATCAAAAGGAAATGAACAGGCAGGGGAAGAAGCTTCGCCACTGGAGATGGAGCAACAGCAGGCTTTGGTGGAGCAATTGGCAACTCTGGTGTCGAAGTTAACAGACTTGGCGTCGAAGCAGGTCAATTTCGAGGCGACAAAGAAAAATGAGCAGACAGCGCGAGACAGGCTCCGTACGGAAACGTTAGTGGAAGAGCGTCTGGCAATCGAGAGAGAAAAGATAGAGACCGAGAAAGCAAAGTTGCAGGAGGAGAGAGAAAGCTTGGAAGCGGAGAAAGAGGCTTTGAAAGCAAAGGCTAAAAAATTGGGAATCGTGGAAGACAAGTTGCGAACGACAACTCCAGAAGAGTTCCAGAAGCTCATTGACGCACAAGAGAAGCTTCGTAATGATCTGAACAAACTGCATGACGAGTTAGAGACGCCTAGCAATGATAAAGGTGGGAAAGATATTGCGAAACTGGGGAGAGACTTCAGAGCGAAGACTAGGGAGACATTTTTTTTAATGGCTGCAAACGACAAGCTAGTCTACGAAGCATGGGACTTGCTTGATTCTATGGGCAGCATTACCCCGGAATTAAAGATCCAGGGTGACTACAACGATTATTGCGTCAGGACAGTGGCGATGTATCTCGCTGAGCATATGTTGGAGGAGAATAAAACAGACAAAGGACCTCAAGTCGAAGAGCCTCATGCGAAGGAGGAGCTCCAGGAAGAGAAAAGGCCTCTGGTGCTCGAAGTGACTGAAGACCTTCCGGAAGTCAGAACACACCTGGGAGAGGAAGATGAGGAGCCCCGTGAGAAGGCAGTTCTACAGGTCCAAGACGGGCTTCAGTAGCTTTGTTTGTGCCCAAAACATTCCGTGCAGTGAAATATTTTTGAAGAACAGAGCTTTGTGGCTGTGAGGAAAGCTGGTATAGTGGTGGAAGTTTGTCAAGATGATAGGCAGAGAAGTTGTATTGCTTGTGGAGCTATATTGCTACAGCGAAGGTTGCCGAAAGCTCATTAAAAAATTAAGGGGAATACGGGTCTAAAAGCACAATTAGTTACCACAAACAAACATCAATGAAAGAGTATGCTCTCATTATATTCATCGATTCATTGTCATCCTTTCGTATATATCGTACACTGATAAAGAACCCCCTCTTTCAGCCCTCAAATTCATAAAGCCCTCATATCTTACAAAACCCTCCTTGCGATAATTCCGAATCCGACGTCCCGAAAGCCTGCATACCATCATCCCCCTCCCAGTCCAGATTTTTGAAGTCTCCCGAATAATAGACCTCCTCCACAAGATTGTCATCCTGCATTCCCCACCAGGGATCAGCAGCGTAATCAAAATCCTCATCCTCAACAGCACCATGTCTACCCCAATAAGGGTCAGCATCATCACGGACCTGACCATCATCACGGCACTCCCGATGAATCGCATCCGTTATATCTAGATTACGCTTCTCTATCTCAAACATGAAGTCAATGTCGTCCTCATCCATCAAGTTCTCCTGAATCCACTCTCCAGGTTGCTCTTGCTCCACGACGTCGCCATCATTATCCTCATCCGCCGACATCTCCCTAACATTCTCCTTATTCACCCACATATGGAAAGCATTCTCCTCATCCACCCACATATTCCAATCATTCTGCTCCTTCGCCAAGTACTCCCTAGCATTTTTCTCCTCCACCCACTTCTCCCTAGCAGTCTTCTCCTTGAACCCAAACTCATTCATAATCTTACGCATCGCCCACTCCAGCGTCTCTTTAATCCCCATCTCACCCGGTCGCACCTCCAAGCCTCGCTCCTTCGCCAGGTCAGACACATTCTCATACTTGGCATCGGGCATAAGTCCCTCTTTCGCCTGCTGGGGAGTCATGTTAAAGATCCACTGGTGCTCCTCAACGAACGCAGGCCACGCAACGCCATCGAAGTAGGATTTCTCGCGCCATGTCATGTATCTCTTCATGAGCGGTTTATTGTACTCTTTGCGCGCAAATCTGCGCTTGCGCGTTCCCTCACGGGTTGCAGACAGGAAGAGCGAGAGGTCGTAGTTGGGTTGATGGGCGGCGGGGTCGACCTCGGCGGGCTGGAGGATCGTGAAGCCCTCGACGAAGACGATGCCGCGGAATTTGCCATCTATGAAGTTCAGCCCGGGGAAGCCAGCGAGTTCGTTCAGAGTCGTCATAGCCTCGATCCAGCGTTGCACTTGGAGGCGGAGATTGACGATGACGGGGAGGAGCTTGCGGGTGCCGTCTGGGAGCTCTGGGTATTGGAGGGAGTTTGGCTCGACGGCGAAGCAGTGGTGTGGAATGAGGGAGTTGGGCTTGATCGGGTTCTTGATGTAGCCGGATTTACCCTTCTTGGGGACGACCATGGTGGGGTCTTGGAGGTAGGGGCCATATATCCCATGGTCAACTTTGTATGGGGGCCATCTAGGCTTGTGGATCCTGTACTTTGTGATGTTCCATACTTCATCATGCCCGAGGATCTCGTCTTCTAGGATAGGCTCCTCTTCCTTGATAGGATCACCGTTCTTGGTAGATTCATATTTCTCGATAGATTCGTCTTTCTCGATTGATTCATATACCTCAATATGTTCATCTTTCTCGATTGATTCATAGATCTCGATAGGTTCCACTCCATTGACTGATCCATCCCCCTTGATAGACTCCTCCTCCTTGATGAAAGGGCTTGGATCGCGAGGTCCATATTCGTTGTCTTCGATCTCGGGACCGTCAATGCTTGGTTTCTCCAGAAGGAAGCTATAATCCGTGACCATACCCCTCTCAGCAATTTCCATGTCGGAGTCGAGCATAGACGCCTTGGCACGCGCAATAGCGATGGCGAGAGCAAAAAAGTCAGTCACAAGGCGCGTGTCACGGTTCTTGCCACTGCGAAGCTGGAGGCTGAGAACTTCTGCATCGAAATGAGGTGCATTCCATCTACGGGCATGGACATCCCGATACTCCCTGATGAGTATCTCCTCGTGCACGGGTGTGATCCTGTCGGCTTCCTCCACGGTGAAACCTTTGAACATGCAGGCGCGACTGGCAAGGCACTCGCCCATCCATTCTTCAAGGTAGCACTCAGCCCATTGAACTTGAGGTCCGGTAGGGAGATTACTAGGAACAAAGTAGTCGTCTTGATGGAGGGCGACCGAGGTAAAGCCGCTTCCCGGAGTAGCACTGCCGTTGCCAAAGACATGGAGAAGAAGGTTGGAGAGAGTTGTCTTGCCACTAGAGGTTGGGCCCGCGATGGCGATGACGACGCGCTCAGGCGGTGGTGGCGGTGGGGATGCTGGAGTCGTGCGTGCTCCAGGCTCGGGTGTTGGAGAGGACGATACGGGCCACCACGGCGCTGGAGAGAATGGCTCCGGAGAGATCCGCACCGGAGACGGTAGATGCAGAGACAATTGAGAGGGCAGCTCTGGAGACGATGGTGGAGACCACAGTTTTTCAGTCCACGACTCTGGATACGGCGCCGACAGGGACGTGCATGGTGGGTTCTTTGCTGCTGGGGACTTGGTTGGGGTCTTGGGTGCAGCAGCAGACGTGGATTCCGAGAACGTCGATGTTGGGCTCTGAGCTACTGGATACGGGTCATCCTCCTCCGACGTTGATGTTGGGGTGCCAGCTTGTAGAGACAAAGTTTTCGACGACGTTGATGTTGGGGTGCCAGCTTGTAGAGACAAAGTTCTGGACGACGTCGATGTTGGGCTCCCAGCTTCTGCAGATAAAGTTCCCGACGACGTGGAAACTGGGGTCCCGACTGCTGAGGGTGATGATGTCGAAGAAGTGGCTTCAGGAGTCTTGGGATCTTCCAATGCAGGTGGAGATGGAGATCGTGCATATGAAAAAGACAGCACTTCAGCCATCCCTAATTCATTCATGCGCAGTTCATAATTTCCAGGGGATTCCTCAGACGATGTGTCTGATCCAGATGATGAGTCTGATCCAGGTGAGTCGGACATTGTCGCTGTGTGTGCCCCTTTGTTTTGCGGTTTGGATGATGAAATTGCTTCTTGGTGATCTTTTCACGCTTTGTTTTGATATTGAGGAAATGGAATAAGCAAGCCCAATCTGGTGAGCGTGCTATGTGACCTGACGGAGTTCTTTGCACAGTTTGTGATGAAGAAAAGTAGAGAATCAGACTCGTTCCTGGTGATCTCTTACAGATTTGTTGTGAATGTTGAAAGAAGGATGGCCAAACTCATTCCCGGTGACCTTTTACCCCTTTGTGATGATGATTGATGAAAGATAGAAGTCCAAACTCGTTCCTGGTGGACTTCTACTTTGTGAATATTGTTGCAAGGCCAAACTCGTTCCCGGTGACCTTGTAACTGCGTTGTGATACTGTGTGAGGAGAAGTGGAAGAACAAACTCGCTCCTGGTGAACTTCCACTTTGTTGACGTGCCGAAGATTGGAGAGGGGAGGAGAAGAGAAGACAGAAAAGCAAACAAGAGAAAACCAATCTCGTTCCTGGTGGTTCCCAAAAGCCCTTGTGTCGATGGTGAATGCGATGGTGAAGTAAAAGCGCGTAGAAGCCCCCTCTGTTGCCAGTGTGCCCCAGAGTGAAGTGAATCGGAAGCGAAATAGGGGGGCCAAACTCATTCCCGGTGGCCCCCCTATTCGATGGGATTCCGTGGACGCTTCCGCTGGCGTCGTCATCAGTGAATCCGCCAGGCCTGATTCGCCGACAGGCGTCAGACCCGCGCCCCTTATCGCCAGCGAGGTGAATCTATGTTCACCGTCGCCCCCCCTCCCTCCATCGTCGCCGTCGCCAACCTCCCATCACCACCCGCCTCACCTCGACCGCACCATCACGTGGCGACTTCCGAAAACCACCGGTCCAGCTGGCTTCTGAGAGCCCCGAACTGGCCGACTGGCAGGAGCGGGCTTCATCCCTTCCCAACTCCTCGGTCACCACGATCTGGCTTGGCATCGGTGGCCGAAGACAAAGCCACTCAAACGCACCGCGACAAGAAGAGTCGCTCCGTACGCCGTCTCGATCCAAGGCAGCTGGGCGGTCATCACTCCAGCACCAGCCCCAAGGGAGTATCGAGGGCTCGTCGTCGCTCGAACCAGGCAGGCGCGATCTGGTCTCCTCCATCGCCTCCCATCGGCACCACCATCCTCCTCACGCCGGAGGCCGACAACACCCACACACACCCTCCCCCGCCACGGCCACCCTCATCTCCCGCAACCTCCCCCACTCCCTCCCCCCTCCATCGGCTGGTCGGTCTTCACCCCCGATCACAACCCCCCTCACCCCCCGGCCCCAGCCGCTCACGCTGCCGGACCACCCACCCCCCTCTACACCGTCGTCCACCCCAACCCCCCCCGCTCCTCCCTCCCATTCGCGGCAATGGCCTCGGCATCCGGGTTGAAGACCCGACCCCTCCCCACCCCCGTCTGGGCCGCCAACTGCCCATCAAGCCACACGATGGGGCGCCTGGGGCCCAGCTCGATATCCGCAGGAGCGGACGGCCAGCCACGGTTGGCGTCGCGGCGGGCGGCTTCGCGGGCGTCGTGCTGGGCGCGGGAGCGGGAACGGGCCTCCATGTAGCAGCGCTGGGCCAGGCCCCCGAGGAACCCGAACACGCAGGCCGCACCACAGACGGTGAGGACGAGCCCCACACCGTGGAGGGGCATTGTAGCGGCGGTGGTCGTGGTGGTGGTCGTGGTTGGTGATATACTGCTATTGATGTGTTAGCGGGGTTTGGAGAAAGGAGGGGTTTTGGAAAGGAAGTTTGGGAATGGGAAGCTCGTCGGGGAGGTCATCGGCGAAGAGGCCACGTCCCCTGGGGGGTGAGCTCAAGGAAGCTGAAAAGAGAGAGCGCAAGGACAGCGCTGGGGGAAGAGGGGGAAGAGAAAGAGTACTGTGATCTCGGCGTAGATCGATGGGAACTGTCAGTGCTGGGAGGATGATCTGGGAGAAGAAGATGAGAGGCGGCGACCTCGAAGATCAAGAAGGAGAAGATGGGGAATTGGGAGGATTGGTGGTGAGGTCCGTGGTGAGTGAAGCTTCTCCTGTGAGAACGATCATGAAAGCTGACGGAGATTAGGAGAAGAACAGGAATGGAAAAGATGGAGGATGGACTAAGGACTCTGATCTTGGTGAAGATCGTGGTGAGTGGAGCTTCTCCCGAGAGAAAACGATCATGAAAGCTGACAAAAAATAGGAGAAGAACAAGAACGGAGAAAGATGGAGGAAGGACAAAAGGCCTCTGATCTCGGCGAAGATCGTAGAGAGCCGCCTGGATTGGCAGAAGGATCTGGAGGCGGCGACCTCGACGATCAAGAAAAGAAGCTCTGGAACAGGAAGAAGAGCTCGGGGATGGTCCCCATGGCCATGGAGGACAGGATCCTCCAAGCTGGGAGAAGGAGCTTGAGAACCGTGGCACCGAAGCCCGAAGAAGTGAAGCTGCCGCCCTGGACCCCGATGAAAGAAGCTCCGAACAATGCGACTTTCGATCTCGGAAACTCGGAACAAACGACAACGATGACGGAAAAGAAAGGGTAGAATACTTACTCTCAACGTACGGCCGTGGTGGTCGTCGTGGTGGTTCCGGTGCTGGTGCTGTGTCGTCGTCGGCGCCGGTGTGGAAGGTTGTCGGTGTTGAAGTTCGGTGTGGAAGGTTCGGTGTTGACAAGTTCACCGAGGAAACTTGTTCGCGTGTGGGCGGCCGATTTCCTTTGTTCGGTAGCCACGCCTACTGACAGGGGTTACCTGGGATTTCGGTGTGGGAGCTGAGGATTCTCGGCTGCGTGTGTGTGGGCTGGGAGAGGGTTGGGGCGGGCTAGGCGGCTTAGGCGGCCTGTCAGGGGATTACGGGGGTTACGAAGGGGGAAGGCGCACGGGGGGAGGGCAGTGAGAATATGCACGGGAAGTGCGGGAAACAAGTTCGTTTTGCGTCGGGCGAGACGCTGGGATTACGAGGGGATGCGAGAATTGGTTTTTTGTGTGCTTTTGGGAGTGAACCTCTCCCACGGCTCACGGGGGGCTGTCCAGGATTCTGGACGTTTCCGGGGGGGGGGGGAGCCAAAAACCGCAAAGCATGGCGGGTCCGGCTCCCTGTCCTTCCCACGAGCCCCGGGTGGACCGACCGGCCACACCAAGTACCGATTCCGGATCGATCGACGGCCTTCCCCGGATTGGTATTCGCCGTCTTTACGGTATGCGACGGACCAGCTTTCGACGCGCCTCCGGATTCCGTCTGAAAATTCCATGCGACTTCCCCGAGGCCGGCTAATGGCCGCCTCCCACCACCAACGCCGGAACAGATAGGTGGGTGGGGGGGGGGATATGAGGCTTCTCCGGACTAGCGGGGTGCCGGCGCGGTGCCTCACCTCCCAGCCATACTGCGGGGGCTGGCGCCGGCTCCAACTACCGGGGGAAGGGATCAGAGCATCCCCGAAAGGACGAAAAAGGGAAGGGCGTTGAACGCCACTCGGCCCTGAAAATGGCTTGTCTCGAAATCCCAGAGAACAGCCGTCAATATGACAAACTGACCTCAAAACAAATTAGGTCCGGCCAAAACGCCTCGGCGAAGGATGAGGCCCTAGTTCGTCTCTTGGAGTCGAACGACCACATTGTGACCCAGGTATGGGTCGACTCTCCGGATCGAGAAAAGATCTCCGAATTGAGATCTCCGGGAAAAAGACCTCCTTTTTCGGTCCCGCGCTTATAGGCTTTTGCTGCTGGCAAGCTCAGGGCGGGAGAGACACCCTTCGGCCACCACATTATGGGCTAGTCGCACAATTGTCCATCTATGGTGGGGGGTGTCTCTCCTGCGCTTCTCGGGAGTGAGAACACCCGGTGGGGGTGCTTCCTCCCCTTTCCACGGATCGAACCTCCGGTTCGAGCAGGATCTCCGGTTCGAGGTCTTCGGAGAACCTTTGCCTTTTCGGAGTTGCCTTTCGGATTCCTTTTTCGGTCCTCTTTTTCGGACTTCCCTTTCGGATCCCTTTTTCGAGTCCACACCCATGGACTCGTTCCAACCCGGAACCGAGGGTCTGGACCGCCGCAATCGCATCGGACTGGTCCTACAACCGTCCCACGGCGGGGGTGGCGGTGGTGCGTGTCTCGCCATCTTGAAGTCAGGGGATCTGATTTCTCTGGCTCCAGGACTCGGGAGAAAAACCTTCTCCTGTTTTCGGGGCCACTTTTTCGGTGGTCTCCATACTCGGATGTTTCTTCGGTTGGTCCCCCTTTTTCGGTCCCTATCCTGGGTTGTTTTTTTTCGGTTGGTCCCTCTTTTCCGTCCCTATTCTAGGATGGTTTTTTCGGTCTTCCCCGTTTACGGATGGACAACTTCTGGGACTTCCCATCCGGGTCGGGTGGTGTGGCCACACCCATGGGCCTTTACTGAGCAGCAGCTTGAGGGCGGGAGAGACCACCCCTACATCCATCAACCATCTATGGTTGGTGCGGTCTCTCCCGCCTTCAATCGACTGGTCTTTTGCCGGAGCCGGACTCTGGTTGGTTTCCAGGAGTGTGTGGTCCTTTGGATCCGGCCAGGTTCGGCTAAGGCCGCCAACAAGGCCTCCTCCTCATGGTCTGTCCGGTTGGTGGTGGATATGGAAAAGAGCGGACAAGAGCGGTGGGGAAGAGGGGCTAGTAAAATCCCTTTCGAAGGGGAGTGGCACCAGCGGCGGCTACAGCTTCGGCCGGAGCTTTGGCCGCCACGGGGCTGGTGGAGGGAGTATTTTCGGCCCGGGGGCGGGAGAAAGAATGGGGGCATCGACGGAGTTGGGGTAGGTGAGGGAGATAGGAGCGGGACTATCCACGGGGGTGGCACATTATATGCCGCCGGTACAAAGGGGGGTGGATTTGGGAGAGGATGAAGAGGGCCAGTGGTGGTTGTGTTCAACGTCGAGCTGCACGCCGCAGTTCAACGTTGAACACAAGTGCCACTGAGCTGCCCGAGGAACTCGCAAACAAGCTGTCTGAGGAAGTCTCCAACGAGCCGGGATATCGAGGATATTGACGGGGCAGGGTGGGCAAGTAGGGTAGAACTTTCTGTACCGTATACGAGAATCTGATTGTGAGACTTCATTTTTCACCGGTTTTGGAAATGTGAATGTGAACTGCGAGGATATGGTACTTGAATTAAATTGAATTGAATTGGAATTCCTACTTATTGATTGGGAAAATGATGTGGTTTTCATCCCCATTGCTTCTTGGTGGATGAAAGAAGGGGTGGGGAGACACTGGAGACAAAGACGGATGTCGTCGGATGGGTGATTATGTAAGCAGACGTTATGATCACGTGCATCTGCCTCTCAACATCGACGCTTGGAGACGGGTTTTGGAGTACTGTTTACGCTGGAGAAGAACTGTTTACTATTTGATACCTTCCCTGATGCTTTGCTGCTTTGATGATAGTGATTCTAGAGATGTTGTTGGAGTCACCGAGCCAACATCATCAAGCCAGGCTGACAGAACAGCCCCCAGCGCTCATCGCCACACCAAGCAAGCACCCAGATGACACCAACAACCCCAAAGCAAGGCTGGGACCCCGTACCACCATCCCTCCCTCTCTCATACCACCATCCTCCACGCCTCCAGCCAAACACAACTTCACATGATCCCCTAGCCTAGCCAAGTAGGCCAGGCGTGTCTATTCCTGTGGTACTACTGTATCTAATCTGGGGAAACGGAGGGGACAGGGAAGGGTGGGAAGGAGATGCGCTGTGATGTCAATCAGGGTCAGGGCGGCGGGTGCGTTTGGACGAGTCATCGGGGAGATCGGGGCACGGGAGGGAGGGGGGGATGGGGAGTGGTGATGGAGATGGAGATGGGGGGTGGATGGATATGGATGTATGTATGTGCGGGTGTGGTTGGGGAGGGATGGATGGGGATGAAGGGGGAGGATCGTGGGGTAAACATGTATATCGAAGGCATACAGTACAGTGTGTACAGTATCACATCCCACAACATCTAGGTAATCCCCTCTCCCCTCAATCTTCTCCTCCAACAAAGCCCGCCGATACACCAGATACAAAAAGCGGAAAGCCCAGCACCAACACCAGGCACGGAGATACGCGATACGGCAATCTCACCTCTCCCCGCCCCCCATGTACCCCTCCCTACAAAAACATACGGGGCAGTACATCCATCCCCAACAATCCCCGTGCCCCCCCACACACAAACACGCCTTATCTCACCACGCAGCGCGATAAGACATCATCGTGGTTACCTTGGTGGGTACCCTCCTTGCACCGCCCTCGGCTACTGTCAACAAAGGGGCGTGGAGCGTCATAGAGGCAGGTGAGGTGTTTGATTCAGGTGGATGGATGGATGGGATGGGATGGGGTTCATGTGCGGTGTTTCTGGTGTTTGTATGGAGGGATATAAACGCGCAGTTTATGTACGTATAGTAGATACTTGGAGGGGAATGGGTGAGGTACAGTCAGAGAGGCAGGCTGGGCAGGCTGAGACAGGTATTGTACGTATAGAACAGCCATAGCCTTGGTCTTTGCCATGGCCTTCTACTGTATCTATATATTATGGGAGGAGGTACTGTACATACATACATACGAAACCATGGTCATGCGGCAACAGAACCACGTTCCCCACGATAGGCTGAGACGTGATCCGTATCGGCGTGGAATACCCGGGTAGCTAAGCTGTGGGTGTGCCTACTTATACCTCGGGGAGAGCAGGAGAGGGAAGAAGGGCGAACTTGCTATCTTATCTGTAGCCTTATATCCACCACCTACCCAAACTCACGAACCTATTCAACTTCATCAACCTGATTATACTTCCTCAAACCTACTATATATATATATATTCTTCATCGTTATTACCCCTCGTGAAGCGTCTATCGTTGTTATTTCCGTTTGTTACTCATACTCATACCTCATTTCCCTAATCCCCACCACACACTCAGCCACACGCCACATCCGAGCGCATCTCTTTATCACAACGGCGACACTCGCAAACCAAACAAAGACATTCCCCTTCCTTTGACCTGACTCACGCCGTAAATTACTGCAGTGAGTTCATCTCCCCCTCTCCGTTACATCGGTCTGTCTTACACCAATCTAACGGGTTCCTTGTCAGCCAGAACCGAAGGACGAGGCATACTCGCACATCTGACGCCGTGTGACTCAACTCTACCACCACAGACAATCACTCATTCACTCACTGTCAACCACCAACCACCACCATCACTACCTACCAGTGGAAAGGCTTTATAAGACACCTTCCATCTCGAACATTCGACTGATTTCTCGAACGGTACACTACTAATAACCACGAACTTCTTTTTTCATCGCCTTGCTGCTTTCGTATTCAAGTTTGACTGCTTTAATATCACTTCAACAACATATATAATACACCACCAACAACCCCCCACACACATACAACCAACCACCCCCAAAAAAAAAACACGCACACAAAATGACCGACCAAATCACCAACTCCATGACCTCCGCAACCCTCCACTCCGACCTCCGCGCCCCCTCCGTCGCCCCGCGCCGCGCCCACGCCCAAGCCGAGAAGTGGCGACACACCGTCCAAACCATCCCCGTGCACTGGACATCCACATCCAGCTCCCCCGCCAGCGCCATCTCAACCCCCATCCCGCGTCCCCAAAAACAACCCCGCATAACCCGCGGCCCGATCCCCTCGCGCGGCACAGCACTAGCACACGCATGGATGGAGTGTGCTGATACCTCCTGCTCCAGCACCTCCGGCGATCTCGAGGCGATGTATGATAGCGTCGGACTACCCCCAGGCGTACCGGTGGGTGATGAGGCGGTGTTTTATACGTATGATAGTGAGGCTAGTCCGGCTAGTTCGGTGGGGTTGGATGGGCTTGTGGAGAAGGCGGAGATGCATTTTAGGGAGAGGGAGACGGAGAGGATTGTGCGGGCGGAGTATGAGGTGCTTGATGGGGAGGGGGAGAAGGTGAAGAGGAGGAGGGGGAAGGCTGAGAGTGTGGAGGGGGAGGGAGAGGGAGAGGTTGTGGAGGGGGAGGTGGGGGGGGCTTGGGAGGCGATTTAGAGCTCCTAAATGATGAGAGTGGGGTGCTGCGCTGAGGCGGGGATGATGATGGTTCCGACGCTGGTGAAGCTGCTGCTTGCGATCATCTTCCTCTTCTTCGGCTGAAACATTCCTTTTCTCGCCCTTCTCACACACACTCATTCATTCACCCTCACTTCACTTCTCGACTGTCCTTTACCTACACCACACACCTTTACTTCACACCTTTTTTGCCCATTTTCATTCGACTTTTTTCAACGATTTTCCCCCTTCGACGTTTCACCAAAGCCTACTCGTCCACAGACACGGATCGAGAAGGATGGCTTTCTTCACCGCGCACTTACTTGCATTGTACGACGAACGACGAACGACGACGACGTTATAGATACAGATATACCCTCGAGCTTACTCGCCCCGTGCCTCACGGCTAGGGGGGCGAGAAGGATGGCTTGTGGCGTTTTTCCAGATAGGATTTGGTTTTGGTTTCGGTGCGAGGCCTAGAGCTTACTCGTCCATGGGATGGATTGGGAAGGATGGCTTGGGCGTTTTTTTGCGGCTGGATACTTTCTGGGAGGGGTTTGTAGGATGGATATGGATGACAGGATGGGAGGATGAGAGAAGGAGTGTTTTATGGGGGTAGTTATATACCCAGTTACTCGCCCCTTTGCTTTCTACCCTGCCGCTGTAAGGCGGGGTGTGGGGAAAGGGGGGGGGGAAGGAAGGATTACCACTGTTGTCACCCTCATACCATTTTTATTTCCTGTGTGTCTTGTCGATAGTGCTGTATGGAACAAATTATTACCCCTTGCCTTACCACCCACAGCATCAAAACACAACGCAAAACGCGTGGTCACTTGTCACTTCTTAGAACAGACCCCCCCTAGACCCTTTCCCCACCCCGCCCATTAATTAAAGTTTCATAACTTATCTACTTTTACTTTTCCTTTTTATCTTAACCCCTTCTTAAACATTATTATCTAAGAATCTAAAGCTAGCTATATAAAGGTATGTAGCTTAGATAAGCTTTGTATAGATAATAGTAAGCTAAGTTACTATATTAATTACTATAATAATTACGAAGGAGTCAGCCTAGCTATGTATTACTGTCATCATTAGGCGCGGGAAGGATGTTCTTGACCAGGCTTAGGATGATGCTTAATTATGTGGCCATCTAGCTATCTACCATTCCACATCCCGCCTGCTTAGAGAAATAGACCACTTTTCGAAGACAGCTGCAGGCACACATTTTCTCCCTCGACAAGTCCTATACGTTCCACCCAAGACAGCCCCCATCCAATCATCTCCACTCTCCTTCGCTGCCTTTGCAATACCCCTCTTCTCAGCCAAGAGCATATTAGCTGTAGGCAAGGCTTCCTTCGCCGCCTCGTCGCAGAGCACAATAACTCGATCTGCAAATTCTTGTGTCTCATTTTCAAACGTCCTCGCTTCTGCTGCACGAGGCTCTAGTGCTACGATCAGACGATTGAGCACGATTTGCACAGCAAGGGATACTCCGAGAAGTTCGCGGAATCTGGATCTGTACCGGTCGGCCTGCCGCCCAGCGGCGAATTTAGTGAAATTTTCACGCCAGGTGAGGAGATTTTGGCGGGTCTGGTACGCTTCGAGGATTAATTGTAGGATCGTTCCTGGGTCATCAGCTCCGGTACCAATGATGCAAACACTTGTCTGTCTGAAGAGACGGGCGGTTGGGCTGGCGTGTATCCAGAGAGAGGAGAGTATGGGGTGGCAATCAGGAGGACTCTTTATTATATTCGTTGGTCTCTCAACAACGGCGATTGATGACAGGAGTGCTTTCCACTTTGGCTCCTCGAGGAAACAGTCTTCACCGATAGACATGGATTCGTGAAACTAGTACCAATTAACAAAAACCATTTCACATATAATATGTTAAATAACAGTTTACTCACGATCGTGCCCGTTTGAGACATTAACATCTGCTGCTCGAAATCCGACGAATAATTTTCCGGGCCGCGAAGTCTCATCAACTTCCGCGTACCATCAATATGGTGGAGCCACCGTCCTAACTGGGAGAATTGCAGAAACTAAGTAACTACTGTAAGCAAAAATGACCACTTTTCAACTTTCCAATGCGGCGCGCCCCCTTACCTCATAAAACGCGAGTATTTTAGTCGCACATAGCACATCCGGACGCGCCCATCGTCCCTCCAGCTCATCCCCCAACGCTTCCTGCAGCTCAGACAGGGCTTTCAGGTAGAGCTTGATCACCGCGGTTTCCGAGATCCCCCAATCCGGATGCAGCGAGCGGTGCGCTCGAGCTAAAGTACAGTCGACAGCAGCCTGGAGCAATCTGCTTTCCGAATACCGCGCAGGGACGAAGTCCAGCCACGAAGGCTGGCGCAGTTGGGCTAGTTTCTGCAGATTCGCGGGACTGAATGCTAGGATTCGGACAAAGGCTCTACTGAGGTGCACGGAAGCTAAGGCAGATAGTGAGAGGATGTCGAAACCGTACGTGAGTTTTGCGAGCTCGTAGCCTTGTGCTGAGAGAGGCGGGGGTATCATATAAACGGCCTCTAGTGCCGAATTGAACAGTTCTTGCTGGGGAGATGTGTTTTCCTTTTCCTTTTCCTTGTCTGCAGTAGGCTCGAGGAAGAGAGGAAGTTGTCGCCGATTATGCTGTCCATAGTCACCCTTCGCTCGCCGAGCGATTGCAATACCGTGCATAGCATGGCGGCGAATCTTGCGTCTATCCACTTTTGACTCTGCTAGATCTGGCCGGCCAGTTGAGGTGACGAAGACAAACGCATCATCCATGCCGGCTAGTCGCGATTGAGAAAGTAGTACCCTGGCAAATAAGAGATGGAAAAAGCTTACGCAAGTGATGCGAGGCGTTCATATATCATGTACATCGTAATCAAGCCGAGGATCAGGTCAGAGGCGGCGTGCCCATGCGCTTTGTCAACATGTTGTTAAGAGGTTGGAATCGTCATGATTCGTGAAGCTGGGGAAATGACCAGGGTACTACTGCCTCCTTTAGGCATAGCGTTGATTTTCCCGTAAGCTGTGAACTTATGCAGCAATTTGATTCCTCGATGTAGAATCTGATTGATTCTGAACCACTTACTGTTCCAAATAATTAAAAGGAATATTTCTAATCATGTCTAATCTCGTTTCATTTTGGAAATGCTTACTCTGCATCTCCTCAGGATTCAGCCTGGTACGGACTCGACGACAGCCATGCTTGAGTATATAAACATCAGACATTCCCACATTTGAGAGTATCCATTCCACAACAAATTCTCTGACCATCAATTCAAAGATCCATCTAACTATCAGCTTAACCAAACAAAACTCAACACCGACCCAATTCAAAATGGCCGAAAAAATCACCATCGAAGAGCTTCTAGCTCGCAACAAGTCCGTCCTCTCCACCTACTCCCCCCCCCAACTTCAAGCACTAATCAAACACAACAGGACCGTCATGGCATCTCACAAACCAGAACCGACATTCCAATTCCTAGCCGAGAACCAAATCGCCGTTGCCAAAACCCTCGTCGTCGCCTGTGCCGACCCTCGCAGCGACCCTTCCTACATCTTAGGTCTCAACTTCGGTGGTGCGTATTTTATTTCCCTCTCATCCCCCTCTTCAATTTCTTTTACTTAACCTGGCAGCTAACAATTAACAGAAGCTGGAATCCTCCGTAACGTAGGGGGTCAAGTAAAACCCCTCCTCAACGACATACTCGCCCTCGACAACCTGATCACCTTCAAACAAGTCATGGTAATCCACCATACAGACTGTGGAAGTACACACTTCACCAACGAACAGGTGCGCGGTGTTCTCACACAACGGGACCCTCGGGCTGCGGCAGAAATGGAGGTGGAGAGTGTTGATTTTGGCGCCGTTAGTGATCTCCCCAATAGTGTTGTGAGAGACATCAAATTCCTCAAGGAGAGTAAATTGGTGAGGGAGGAGTTGAAGGAGAATATTAAGGGATATCTTTATGATATTGAGAAGGGGAGTTTAGAGGAGATTTCGGGGTAGATATATAAACTCGTACACATACTAGTATCAACTACCACAATAATAAAAACTTCTTTCCTCATGGGTCTAATCTAATCACTCAAACCCTTCACTTTGATCCTACCTTCCTCGCTTCCGCCAAAAAATAAGTAAAGAGACGTCTGCAAGTACAGTGTACTGTACTTTCGAGAACTCTTCCTGTTCAGAAGCGGCCAGCAGTAAGGATTAGCGTCAGATCTTGCGAAGTTGCAACTTACTTTGATCACTGGGATGCGGTCAAAGGCTGCAAATATGAGGCGCTCTTCATACGAAACTGTTGGATGATATGTGGCTGGGGGTGTGGGTTTTCGACGTGGCTGTCACCGGTTGCCAGTGACATTTGGTTGTCACTATCCTCTCGCTGTCGCTGTTTTCTCGCCGTCAGGTTCTATTGCTGTCACTCCCAGCGTATTTTCCGACAGAATCCATGGCTAGAAGACGCTGGGATGCGTCATAGAGGGTTATGGGTTATTAGTTTTCCATCCTGGCATCAACCCGCGCATTGAAGGGTTTGGTTGACTGTATGTTGTCTCCTTGAGGGATAGAGAGGATGGAGGTAGATATAGCTCGGAGATGCGTCGGGGAGACTAGTCTGAAGCAGGCAGGGAGGGGAATCTCGATATTCTCTGCTCACTGAGTCTTTTTACTCTACTGTAGATACCATGATACGTACTTCTTGCGCCTCATGCATCTAAACCAGAGACACTCAAGATGATAATCGGAGCAGATACCCCGGACATGTGGTATTCCTCATCTCTACAATATCCCGCTCTCCACGATGCTCATCGAACTTTCGAAATCTGGGCTCTTGGGGTTTGGAGGGTTCACACAGGGATAAGTATCGCAGCAAACCTCCGAGATGCGAAAGGGGCTGGAGCCATCGAAGGATGTGGCTGTGGTCGGGTGCGAAATCGAGGGGGGAATACTAAAGCCAGGAAAGGTGCCGTTGGATGAGATGTGGGAGGCGAGCGTGGGTTATCGACGTGGCTGTCACCGGTGGCTGGTGATGTCTTGTTGTCGCTCTCCTGTCACCGTCGTAGGGTGCTGTCGTTGCTTTCTCACTGCCGCCATACTATACTCCCGTCATTTGGACGGCGTATCATCCACGGAGATTTGTTCCTGGGCGGCAGTGAGATGTGTCATAGGGAGCTTCGGGCCGGTGATACTACTCCCGCCATACCAACACTTCGTTATAGCTAGCATTTGTTGCCGTGCTGGCCCCTCGGAGGATCCTGTTGGTTTTATGGCTTTGGTCTTGAGTCGCTGTGAGGAGGAACGGGGGTGGAGGAATGGGTCCGTAGCGGGGATACTACTCTATCCACATCGATGTTCTTGGTATCCTTTTCAACACACTGCGTATCCTCCTTGATCACGTAGAAATTTGTCCATCTCATAAAATAAACATGCTACCTACCTTGTGTTATGGTTCATATTGTTTATCAGCCTTGCCTACTTGGCTCTCATTGCTCAGCCGCGTAAGACGGACGAACATTCCGAGATTATCATCCTGGTTGTTTGCAACTGTCTGCCCCACGGAATTTCCCACCCCCTGCCATCGTTACATGCCACACCTCCGCCAATTCTATAAATAACTGCACGCGGGACGGCTGTGCCTGCCTTCAGCCTCGCGCACGGTTCAGTAAGTGCCTGGTATCACATCGCGTCGCATCGCCCCTCCCATCAGTATGTTAACTTAACCCTAACTCCGTAACGGCGAATGGGGATGGGGAGTTTGCTACTCCGTCTTACCGTCTTTTACAGGTCTAGAAAGCGAGAGATTATGGTTAAAGCAACACCAGCATTCTCTCTTGTGCGCATACATTCGGATCGCCTCACCAGTGCAGGGATGGTGGTGATCGCTGTGGGGCGGTGTGGGTTTGGCAAGTACGATTCATTACCACGCGACCGCACGATGAGAACCCCAGAACTATATAGCGGTGCGCCCTGCCGCAGACATGAGGTGCGGGTAAGCAGTGCATGGCGTCGAGATTAGCTCCACGGTTTCGTTTCTTAAAACATATAAGCTCCCGCTTCCGCGAGGCAGACCGGTGGTTAGCGCGGGGAAGTGTGCCTGCGCAGCCACTGAGGGCTGGAATTGTTTACCCGACTTGGGGAAACATTGTGAGGGGATTGTTAGGAAATGAGTGAGTGGGAGGGTGGGAGTTGTTCATGGTTTGGATTCAGCTGGGCTAACTCGTGGAGTTGAAGCTTGATGAGGAAGGTAAGTGGGAAATTTGGGTGTAAGATGTCTTCTTGACGGACAGTTTTGAGGGCTTGGCTGGGGTATAAGTATGAGACTTTTCTCTCATCTTTTACCGTTTCCTTTTTCAGAGAATAAGTTTCTACATCTCACACATCTCCCTTCACTCAAAACCAAACACACCCACCTACCAACACAAAAATGAAGCTCACCGTCCTTCTCCCCGTCCTAGCCGTCACGGCCGGCCTCGCCGACGCAACCTGCAAATTCCAAGACGTCGGCGTCTTCAAGCAAAAATGGCGCCTCTCCACCTACAAATCCGAGAACTGCATCAACAAAGCCTACGATGTGACCAAGTCCGGGTGGGGCCCGCACTGCGTCAACTTTCCCAACAACGTGCGCTCCTTCATCTTTACGGTCGGTGGCGGCTACCTCGGCGTCAACGCGGGTTGCACCATTTTCTTCAACACGAATGATAATTGTGGTGGCTCGGTGGTGGGGAGGAGCAAGTCGCATTGGACGCTTAGCAAGCTTAGTGCGAAGGGGAGGACGATGAAGAGCGCGTATGTACAGTGTACGAAGTTGTTGAGGAGGGAGGAGGGAGAGGAAGCGGGTGCAGAGGAGAACCAGAAGGTGTATATTAGGGGTGATGATGGGGAGTGGTATGAGAAGATCTCGGATACGGAGGTGGTTAGGGCGCCGGAGTTGGGGGTTGAGGAGGGGGAGCGGGTGGTGAGACGCTTGGTGGATGTTGGTGCGGGGGTTGAGGAGAGGGATATTGAGGCGGATGAGGATGTGGAGTGGACTGCTGAACCTGATGTTGAGGATGAGGAGGTGGAGGTGCAGAAGAGTGTGGAGCGCGGTGTTGAGGCTGAGGAGGTGCAGGAGATTGCAGCTCGTGATATCGAGGTTGAGGAAGTCGAGGAGATCGCAGATCGTGGTATCTACGCCGATGAGGTCGAGGAGATTTCAGAACGCGATATCGAGGAGGACGAGGTCGAAGAGATTGCGAAGCGTGATGTCGAGGAAGACGAGGCCGAGGAGATTTCAGAGCGCGACATCGAAGCTGAGGAAGTACAGGAGATTACAGCTCGTGATGTTGATGTCGAGGAGGATGAGGACGAGGAGATCGCGGACCGTGGTATCTATGCCGACGAGGTCGAGGAGATTGCAGAGCGCGACATCGAAGCGGAGGAGGTGCAGGAGATATCAGCCCGCGATATCGACGAAGATGAGGTTGAGGAAATCCCAGATCGTGGCATCTACCCCGACGAGGTGGACGATATTGCTGAGCGTGATATCGAAGCTGAGGAGGCACAAGAGATTACAGCTCGTGATATCGACGAAGAGGAGGTGGAGGAGATTGAAGAGCGCGATGTCGAGGAAAGTGAGTTCGAGGAGATTCCAGACCGTGGTATATATGCCGATGAGGTCGAGGAGATTGCAGAGCGTGATGTTGAGGCTGAGGAGGTGCAAGAGATCACAGCCCGCGATATCGACGAAGAAGAGGTAGAGGAGATTGCAGAGCGTGATGTCGAGGAGGATGAGTTCGAGGAAATTCCAGACCGCGGCATCTACGCCGACGAGGTGGAGGAGATCGAGGTTTAAGATGGTTATTGGGATTCAGCTGGGTATGTGTGATAGATTTCTTTGGTAGACTTGACTGAGGGGAAAATGAAGTGGCGATGAGAAGGAGGGGGAATTGCTATATTTTTGTACACTTGTTATATATATTGAAATTGAACTTTATTACGCGAAATATACACACTTAACCACCCACGAGCTCCATAGAAAAGTTTAATTAAGCTTGGAGGTGAACGTCGCCGCCATTGGAGTACCGAGGCCTTCACGATGATGTTTCTTTACGGCCGTCTCCAATTGGGGAACCGACACACGACTAACTCACGGGTCGGTCCGCCTGTCTGACGGCTCTCGTCCTGTTATTGCTCTCGCAGCAAACTAATCATTCCGCGCCAAGTACTAGTAAATTATCATGAGATTTATATATATATGATACTTCGTAGTCTATTAAATAAAGTTTATAATACGGTAATTTAATGTTTCCTCGTACTTGGGTTGCGAAGAACCTCGTCGGCAACTCCGCGTACCAAGACCATGGTGTGGGTCTAATTGCGAACTCTTGGCTCCCCTGAAATATGGTGGGCAGCGACTTGAAGGCAGGAGGTGGGTCTGGAGTTATGACGTGTTACAGGGCGATATTAAATGCGCAAGAGTGTTAAGATGCCATGGAAATAGTACGTGGAAGTTGTTACTACTGTGAATAGGTATTCTGATAAAGACTGAATAGAGTCAATCCTATAATGAAGATCTACAAAATGCGTGGATTTTACAAATTTGTACGGGAGTACCTTGCACTAAACTCAGGGTCTATTTCTAGCATCATGCATTAATGCCTAGCTTACCCTGCATTTCACCCGGTCTCACCCTTGTCGTGGGGTCCATACACTGGAGAAAAACATTCCGTCTTTGTGCCAGTGTGCATCCTTTCGCATGGCCGATACTCGTATTATTGGCCAAAACCCCAGACGGTTATTTCAGCCCTTCAGCCCATGCTGCTTTGCAGCGCGTATTCCTGCCACTTCAGATTGTCGGAATTATAAGAAATCGGCCATGCCTCGTCCACGAGCGCACACACCAAGTGTCTCCTCTCATCTCCAGCGATGGCGCCCGCTGTCACTCCGAACCCCGTGACTGACCACCTTCTACAAGATAGTGAGGGTTCTGAGACAAAGCCTCAGTTCGCAATCGATGGCCACGAAATCCAAGAAAATGGCCGTACCGAGACAGCCAAACCACAGCAACTCCAGAGGTATTGGATGCGAACCCTTGCCTTGATCTTGATCCCGCCCATCATCACAATTTGGTACGGCATCATCTGGGTGCGGCTCGTATTGGGCATTGAGAACGACGATGCTGCCAAATACCGCACCTTCTCTGGGTCTCTGATTTACTACTCCTGGTTCATCATTGGTGTTTTTGGCTTGTCATGGGCGCAGTATGGTCTTCTTGGCGTGGAGGTTGCCATGCTTCAGACGCCGTTCTGGAAGGCGCCTAATCTTGTCGCGACATTGATGCACTCCAACACCACATGGAGCAGCCCTTCGGGGTGGTGTAAAGCTGTCTACCATCGCCAGTTTCACATGCTATGGTGTTTGCTCGCCCTCCTGAGCATCCTCCCGTTTATCGCATTTCCCCTGTCTGGTCTTGTCTTTGAGCTGGGAGATGGGCATATCAGCGCGTCGGAGAACCCTTTTGTGGTAGGACGGAATACGACTACTTACAACAACGCGTCCATAGAAGGTAAAGAGATCCCAGCTGATTGGGGAATGGGATTGACCCCAACTATTCCGGGTTTCGGAGTAATATACACTGCTCCAGGCATTGACAGGTCTGCGCATTCTTGCCTTGAGAAGCTGCCGAGCACTCTACCCCTGACAGAGTCCATTCCCGATATGTTCCTTGCGCCGCAGGCTGATGTACCAGTGTCTGGAAAGGCATGGGGACTTAGGCTCAAGTATGACTGCTCGATCGTCAGCAAAGTCTCTCAATTGACAATTCTGAGCGAGAAGCCAGTGTCCATCTTTTCAAACGTGGATAGTCTCTCCACCGGTACACGGCCCGTCATCACTCTTCGAACTCCTTCAGGATCTTCAATCAAGATCTTCAACAGCAGTAGCAATCCTAACGACCTGAACATGTGGTCGTATTCCGAAATGGGGATAAGTGTTTCAACGCTTACGGGGGCTACGTACAGGAACAAGACGTTAATCCATGGCACGTTAGTCGGCAATGCCTATGACATTCCAGTCGACATATCCGAGTCGATGGTATTAGAATACGCCCTGTGGCAGCTCCAGTTTCAGGCATACTACGACAAACCCAACGAGACCCTCCCCTTTAATTCTACTCTTGGTCCCGTCATTGAAGGAATGGGGAGTCCTTTCTTCCTATCCGAGAATAAAACGCTTGTCAGTAACAACACTTTTTTCAAGATCCGACAAGGCCAAAATTTCACAATCTCGGAACCCGGTGCACCCCTCCTCCCGGTCAAGCTGAATGCCTCTATCACCGATCTTCGCGATTATTTTAACCCAACATCATTAACCGACTACGTATTACACACGTATCCAAAGCCTGTCCTAGAACCTATCATGGAAGTAGCGGCCCCCATTGGTGTTCGCTGTGTTGTATCTTCAGGCGCCGGAACGGCCACTCTGGACGGCGTAACCTCCACCTTCAGCAACTTCTCTCGAGTCGATCCCTACAATAACACCCAGGGCCAGACAGGGGGCGTTTTCGGCCATAAGGCCCAGCAAATACTTTCCGCGACGGGGTTTGCTGACTTCTACCTGACGAGTCACTTGCCCGGGATTCAATCGGCCGACGGCAACCTAGGGAGATACCAAGGCTACATCCCTTCCCAGGCACTGCTGCGGTCCGTGCTGGCTGCATATGGCATAGATGCTATCCAACGCATGTACGGCCTCACACCCGGCTTGGAAGCGGCATGGGAGAGCACTGATCTAACGTCTTCTCGCAAGGGGAAGATCTTGACTGTGGCATCGCTGATTCCAGGGCACGGGACGGGGTATGCTGTTTTGGCGCTGTTCTGTTTGTGGTCGGGGCTTTCGGTGGTGCTGGGTTTGGTTTACGGGTTCCGCAAGAGGCCGTCGGATAAGTTAGATGGGTATAGCATGTTCAAACAAGGAGCAGATATGGCGGATGATATTAAACACAACGATGGGATCTTGAGAGGGCAGACGTTTTATGAGAATAAAACGTTGCAAACACTTCCGGGTAGGTAATCGAGCTATCTGCATGGGTGTATTGATAGGCTTTCGGATATATAAATGATAATAATGCTCACACAATAACCGTTTATCTCGTCCTATTGAGCCACAATATGTAGTTCTAGGTGCCAACAAACTCAACTCTACATCCCAGTACCCACCAAACAAAGTCCGAAAATCCCGTGATATTATTTAATAGCTAGCTATGTGTAACTTCGCAACTTCACTTAGTCTAATCACTTATGAAAGTCTCCATCCATGCCAACACCCCCTCTAAATGCCAATATCCGGGGCCGGGCCAACGAATGGAGGAATCGTAGTTGGGAGATCATAAGGATCCTTCAATGCGTATTCGTAGAACTTCCTCGCATCAAACACCTTCTTGCTGTTGACATCCAAATGTTTCTCTCCAGTGCAATCCTTGAACTTGAGCCAGTTGCTCTTGATCGAGGCATTTGGGCCAGCGACAACGGGGTCGTTGACGTTCTCGTAGTACGAGTTCTCGACGAGGAGTTGGGTGTGGCCGCGGGCGTAGTTGCCGTAGGAGGTGATGTTCAGGTGGTAGTTGTTGAACATGTGGCAGTACTTGAGGTTGTCGGCGCTGGGGCCGCGTTGGTTGGTTGAGTTGAAGAAGTTGTCGTTGATCTGAAGGTATTAGCTTGTGATTTTATATCTTGAAATGAGGGAGCTTACAGTCATTTTGGAGATCACATTCTCGGTCCAGCCAATTCCAAACGCCTTGTTGTGCTCGGAAAGGAGGTTATTTGATACTGTGACGTAGTCTGTATCCTTTCGCAAGTCGATTAATCCGTCTGCCATTCTTGCAAACTATCAGGGTGTCAGTATATCAACTTGATATCTTTTAAGATTGAGTGTGGTTACCTTGCAGTGATCAATCCAAATATTCACACCAGTATCAACCTGGATCCCATCCCAATCCTTCGACTTCCCATTATAATCCTCGGGGATATAAGTATCTCTAATCTCCAAATTCCTCAAAATGATATTCTTCTGGTTATTAATCCCAAACCCACCGCCCACAACAGCCCCAGTCTTACCCACGCCAATAATAGTCTTGTGGCTCTTAATCGGGACTTCAAAACCCTTGGGTTCGGAAGTCAACACACCGTCGACGCGAATAATCAACGGCTCCTCCATGGCCGCATACTTCACCAGATCGGCATGAGTAGTGACCGTGACGATGCGGCCGCCTTTGCCTCCCGTGGTGCCGCCATTGAGAGAGGCAAAACCGTGGGCTACTTCGTCGCAGCGTGCACATGAGACCTCTGCTGTTGGGGCAGCGAGGGCGACCGGGGAAAGGAGAAGTGCCGCAGCACTGAGTTTGGAGATGAGCATGTTGACAATTGGAAGGAGATGTGTTGGGTGTCAATGTAAACTTTCTACTATCTACATTTTACAGACTATCATCGTGTTTTATAGGAGATTTTCACGTCCGTTTAGGAAAGGCTTCTTGCGGAAGAATTTTCTATAATCGCCGGCCAAGATGGCATAGTTATTCCATAAAAGTGAGACTACAGAAGTGTCGTTTGTAAGAGACGCCTATCAAAAATGCCATTCGCAAGAGAGCTTCTCCGAATCCCGCTGATCTGATGCTGAGAAGCGTGGCAAAAGCTGGGGTAATCTTGTCCGAGTCTTAGATCTCGGTGGTCTCGGTTACTCGGCCGTGGATTTTTATCATTGCCCAGCACAATGCCAAGAGATGTCAGTGGAAATTGAAACAATTTCCATCAATGAGACTTCTAGATCGTCCATGTTGATATCCGAAAGTTCATCTGAGGAAGATTAGAGTAGATCCGGTTAATTGTTCCGGTTGAATGTGAATGCGGGGAGGTGCGGGGTGCGGCGGTACCTAAGCGCAGCGTCAAGAGGGGAGCAAGCGCGGTTCTAACTATCTTGGCATCTAATGTGTGTCTGATGTGATTGGTACAAGATGTCTAATTTTCTAGAGTCTATGGTTGTATGTGCTTCTCCTTCTCGTGGCCCATAAGTAGCGTCTACACTACACACAAAGGGGCTACGTTTGACAAATGAATGCCTGTTTCTATGATTCTTATTCTGTATTAAACACGGTCGATTATATATTACAGTGGTATCAGTACTCAACAACACACAATGCATATTATGTAACTCGCCTTCCAGAAGCGCCCTCATGGAGTGCACTGCTTCCATCCCCAAGGCGGGCGCTCGCGGCATCCCCCGCACTATGCTCACTCGCGCCCTCTCCACGCACACTACTTCCATCTCCCATGTGAGTACCCGCCACATTAGCAGCGCCTTGCTCACTTCCCTGCTCTCCCTCGGAAGCATCGTACGTAGGAGGGCCATCAGTAGCGTACGTCGGCGGGACACCCAGCTCATACGCGGGAGGTTTGACTACAGGCTGTGGTGTCCACATCTCGGTGCCCCACACCTTCTTAACCCAAGGGCCTTTAAAAAAAAGGCGCAACAAGAACGCCACAACCAGAAAGACGGGGATTCCAAGCCCAAGACCGAGTCCCAGCTGCAAAGGCAGCTTACTTTTAGGGGGGTGGCCAATGCAATCGTAGGATTTGAGTTTGCGGCCTTGGAGGCGCTCGAAGTCAGAGGCGATGGAGCTGCAGTAGAAGTCGCTGGAGTCACTTTCGATTACGAGATTGAAAAGTAGGTAGAGTGAGGAAATGGAGACGCTGGCTGGGTGAGCGGTGCGTACAGAGGGAGAGTGGAGGGGGGGTGCTTACGCAGTAACGTCGCCCAAGAGATGGAGGATTTCGGTTATGGCTCCCATCGGCTCCATGGTGACATTTAATGGGGTAGAGGTGTTGACTTCGAATCTTTCGATGCTCTGGAGGGAGGCGAAGTTAAGGCTGATAAAGATTAGTTGGATGGAATGATGGTGGGTTAGGATGCTACGTACGATCCAATTGTTCCAGCGGCTGAGAGATGTCTAAGGTTTGACAGGCTCGGCAGGCTGATATTGAGCCGATTTCCGTGTGTCAATATTCGTAAATTTCCAGCATCAAACTGCCTGTCATTTCCTATTTTGGATAGCTGTGGCATGGACAAGCTATCACACCAATCAGCGATGTAGTTGAGAGGTTCCTGGCATTCTTACCTTGTGATGCTTCCTTGGAGGTAAATCGATGTGGCATTCTGCAGCGCAGGAAACTTGATATCCAACGGGGCTTGGTCGACAGGATCGACGATCAAGTAATTTGAGTATTCCTTGTCGCTTTTGGGGTTGCTAGATACTCTCATGGTGCCCCCGTCGGCTAGAAGAGGGAAGCTCAACCTAAAAAGTACTGGATTAGAAACCGTACATTTCGGTTGCTGCGTATAGAAGATAACACACCTAGTGACATTTCCAATGATCTGCAGATCAACGGTTCTGGTCAGAGACGGGAAGTCTACAAAGCAGTCCTCAACTTCATCTAGACTAAGAGAGTCATCTAATATAGTCAGGCTCGGGAACGAGATAGTCCTAAGTGCGGGAACACCATGGATTTCGATAAATCTGGTATTATTCAGGTCGGGGACCTCAATCGAGGTGAGCAATGGTACGGGAACCTGCTCCTGCTGGTGTTGTCGCTGAGAGTAGTGATTAACTGTGATAAGCCCATTGTAAATCTTCGTGACGTTGGGAAAGTAGAAATCACCCGTATAATCGGCTGCGATAATCACGGGGCCGTCTATCTCGGTGCATCCGGCATACTTTATGTCCAGCTCTTGTTGATTCGAGACTTCCTTCTTTCCCCCCAGCCTAGCAATTATGGATTCTTCATAAATGCTGCATTCAATAGCCAAAGTATCTGTGGAATCAATTGATCAGCAAGAGCAAGAGCGAGAGCAATAGATAAAAGTCACATAAAGAGACAGGCTAGATTATGCCTTACCCGAAACAGCGAGCGCAAGGAGAAGAAAGCGCAGACTCGTCGCCGTCGCAAACCAGGAGCGCATCATCAATGTTCTCTCAGCGCAACAGAATCCCGATCACGACCATCACCGATCAACAGAAGTAGGCATGCGCCACATCTTATCCAAAAATGGGAAATCAAAAATAGACGTTCTGGATCAGGCAGCATAGTTGGTTGGCTTGGCATGAAGGACTCATTGCTGTATAGGATGAGCTTGGCAAGTATGAGAAAGCTGGGCGAGAGAGTACTACTGGATGGGTTAAATGTTAGTGACGGGAGACAGGCCTAACTGGACGGCCAAGAACCTGGCAGGTGGGGTCCATGTCTGGTGCTAGTAGCCGTCAGTCTGTTAACAAGCTCGTGGTTGATCCTTGGCCTCTGGCTGGCCGGACCGCACCATGCGCACTGGTCTCTGGACATCACTATACCAAGGCTGAGATTGAGATGGCCGATTTATGCAGTTTAATACTGTTGTTATGACTTCACAAAATATTGTACTGTACATACGTACTTAGCAGTATTAAACTATAAATTGCGACACCCAAGCAAGTACCATAAATAAAGTACGAGTTGCAGGATAAAATAATAATTACCCCCAAATTACAATACAAATCATGATAACAAATATATAAAGTAGTTTCTAAAGCACAATATTTTTTTATTTTGTCTAACTTTTGTCAATCAAACCACGGTGCCGATACAAAGATTAATGATCGCGAGGGCAGAGTATTTTGGGTGCTGTAAGTCTTTATTATTCGTTAGGATGATTATTATATATCATTCCAAGCTTAGTGTAATGTTTTTGATAACCTGAAACTCAGCAAGCCCATACTTGCTACCTTCCTTTCCTAGCCCACTCTCCTTAATCCCACCAAAAGGCGCCTCACAAGCGCTGATTACCCCCGTGTTAACACCAACCATGCCAGCCTCAAGCGCGTTCGCCACCCTCCAGATCTTTCTCAGGTCGTTTGAAAAAATGTAGCTGGCTAAGCCGAATTCTGTATCGTTTGCTTGCTCGATAACGTCCTCCTCTGTGTCGAACTTGATCACGGGGGCGAGTGGCCCGAATGTCTCCTCTCGTGCGACTAGCATCTTAGATGTGACACCCGTAAGTAGGGCTGGCTCGATCAGGTAGGCCTCTGAGTCTGGACTTGTGCCTCCAACGACAAGTTTGGCCCCTTTGGATACTGCGTCATAAATATGCTCTCTCATCTTCTTCACCCCTGCCATATTGACCAGGGGGCCGTGTGTCACAGTTGGGTCGAGCCCACTGCCAATCTTGAAGGAAGACATGCGCCTTGTCAACTTCGCCACAAACTCATCGTGAATTCCGCTTTGCACATATATCCGGTTTGCACAGACACATGTCTGCCCACTGCAGCGAAACTTGCATGCCAGCATGCCAGCGACAGCAATGTCAATGTCAGCATCGTCGAACACGATGTACGGCGCGTTTCCGCCGAGTTCCATGCTGACCTTCTTCATTGTCCCCGCCGCCATTTTGGTGATGAGTTTGCCGACTCCGGTGGAGCCCGTGAAACTAACTTTCTTCACTAGCGGGTGCGTATAAAGCTCTGTGATGGCATTCCGGTCTTTTGTCGTAACGACTTGGATGACGTTCGGCGGAATGCCAGCCTGCACGGCTAGTGCAGTTAACGCCAAAGTACACAGTGGCGTCTCGCTCGGCGGCTTTACAACGACTGTGCATCCTGCCGCAATTGCGGGTGCTATCTTCCGCGTAATCATCGCGATGGGGAAGTTCCAGGGCGCAATGATACCACAGACACCAATAGGTTGGCGTATAACCAGATTCGTGCTGCCTTTGTGCTGAGACGGAATGATATCCCCGTATGACCGCACCGCTTCTTCCGCAAACCAACTGATAAATGTGGCACCGTATTCCACTTCACCGCGCGCCTCCGCCAGTGTCTTCCCATTCTCCATTGTCAGGAGCACGCCAAGATCCTCGGCATGTTGACGTATGAGCGCCGCCCAACTATGAAGCATCTTTGCTCGAACGGTCTCCTTTGTGTTTCTGAATGTTTTGAACTCTCTGTGTGCATGTTCAATTGCAGTGGTGAAATGCTCCGTTGACAGGCTGGGGATGTTGGCGATAATCTTGTTGGTGGCAGGATCATAGACGGGAAAAGTGGTGCTCCCGCTCACCCACTCGCCGCCAATAAATGATTTCTCATGCAGGATGGACTTGTCCTTAAGAGCCGCCTTGATGCTCTCTGGGTGCACAAAAGGTGCGTGAGCGTCGCCCATGGTGAATTGTGCGGGAATTGTTCTGGCACGGATGAGGGTAAAGTTTGATATGGGCACGTCTTCAAATAGGTTGTCTATAATCTTGTTGCAGTTTGTAGATATGTTTTTGAGAAGCTAATTGTAGGGGTTTACATCTTTAACCTTATACCCAGAACGGAGGGTAGGATGTGAGAACTCGGGCTAAACCCTCGGCTCTATGGGCAGAGCCGTTCCACGCGCTACATGCCCGTATAGTATGGTACGATAACAAGCCGCTCCAATTTTATCGGTTAATAGTGCTGCTATCGAATAGTTCAGCGCTCCTGGGACTATGAATGTCACCCGTGATTGCCGGAGGTGATGGGGTTTGGACAATAGCGAATGCCGCTTTTTTGCCTCCATAGTGGTCGCCGAATTCACCATGACATTTCCGCATCGGTTTCACAGCTGCCCGCCCCCACCATTTACTCTGGATACAATCTCATAAAATTAAAGCCTTGATATTAGCTGAGATGCGGCACGTGAGGCGGAAAAAATAATAGAAAAAATGAACAAAGTTGAGGCTTTAAATATGTACGAGTTGCAAAGTTCTAGTAACTGTACAAACATATTTGATTTTGATATATGCTACAAATATAAATAGCACCATTTAACCAAATCATAGCACGAGTTTGGGCTCCCTCGAAGTAATATCAGGATTGAATTCAATTAAATTTTGGAGGATGTCACCATGTGTTGGTGGTCTGACCGAGCAGGGAAAGATTCGTATTTCCAAGTCGATTAGATTTTTATACGCTAAATAAAATCTTATGTACTTTCATCTTCTCGAATAACTTGAAAGCCTCCGGAGCCTCCTCAAGAGACATTTTGTTCTGGCACAAGAAGAGAAGCTTGTCCTGTAATTCCTCCAATACCGCAGCAGTCTCGTCAAACAGACTCCGTACAGGACACCGGCCAAAGGCCAATGTCACATTTTTCGAGTATAGAGCAAAGCCTGGGAAGCTGATATGTTCATTGTGCACTCCCACACTAGAAATTTTGCCGAAGGGGCGGATCATATCAAAGGCCAGCTCGAGAGCGTCGGCGTGGCCGACAACTTCCATTACAACGTCTGCACCGCGGCCAGATGAAGCTTCCTTGATCTTCTCAACTGGGTTGTCTAACAAATTGATCGGAATTGCACCTAATTTCTTGGCTGCTTCCAGCCGTTCTGGGATCGAGTCCACTGCAAAGACCTTGGCTTTGTTATTGGTGAGATGGAGAGCTGAAGCGATTGCGCAAATCCCTACAGGACCACACCCAAGAACCACAGCTACAGTATCTCCCTGTTGCTTTTCGGATAGGTCTTTGAGAAATCGGCTGGCGGCGAAATATCCAGTTGGGAACACATCTGCCATCAAAACGAGCAAGTCGTCTGCAATCCTTGACGGGGCTTTCACCAACGACGATGTCGCATTCGGTACTAGGAGATATTCCGCTTGCCCTCCGTCCAAAGAAAATGTCGGTGTGATACACCCAAGGAGTGCAGCCTTTGAACAGCGACTGGATTCGCCTTGATTACAATAGAAGCAGTCGCCGCAAGAAGTGGAGAAGGGAACAACGACATGGTCACCGAGCTGATGGTTCTTGACCGAGTCGCCTAAAGCCACTATATGTCCGACCGTTTCATGCCCACAGACAAATCCAGGCGTTGCTTTCTGGTGACCTCGATAGTAATGCTGCGTGCGCAAGTAAGCAAATGATAGAGAATTCAGAGAGGACGATAAATCTAATATCCGCATTGCATAGATATAATTTAAAGAACTACGTACCAAGTCGCTGCCGCACAAAGCAGTGGAAGAGACCTTGAGAATGGCGTCGGTGGGCTCGCGAATCTGGGGCGTTGGTTTGGTCACAACTTTGACGTCGAATGGACCGTTGAAGACCACCGCCCTCATTTTATCAGGTATCGTAGAACTCATGACAGATATTTGACTGTGATCAACCAGATTGGCAAAAAATACGAAAAATAAAGAATAATGATCAATTAACTCGAACAGAATTCAATAGAAGCATAACATTTATACCAACTATAATACCAGGGAATCTGGTGAACCTTGGGCTCTTGGTTACATAACCATCTTCATAATCTTGATCCACAACACCTCTTCTGCACTCCCATTGTTACTTTGGATATCCGAAGATAACTCAAATATTGCCTGGCCATAATCTGGATCTGCCGTGCCCGGGCGGCAAGTACGGCTACATATTGCCGATATGCTTCCCAACTTCCACACCGCCCATAGCCGATGCGGCAATGCCCCAACACGAGTCGGAAGAGAGCCAACTATACACAGCCGGCACTCAACAAGCAAAAGAATAGCTTCAAATTGCTACAAAATTGGGGATAAAGCGGTTGGGGTATGTGTGAGGCATACCGCACAGTATATGACTGCACCATTTGATATAAAGTTAGCTGTGGAATACCGCCGCCAGCGCTACCAATTTAACGCCAGAAAAGCCTGTCCAAGATGCCTCACTCAAATATGATTCGAGTGGGTCGACCTTGCTTGACGTGTACACCTCAACGATCCTGTTGGGCTGAGAGGCCCACCAATAAAAACAAGAGAACTCATGTGGTGGCCGTCTTTACTGATGAGTGGAACCGGCCCTTTAATCGTAAGAACGATCAAAAGCGGCGGCGAAGGTTTCTGGAAAGCGATGAGAAGGTCTCAGGGTTCACTGCTGTCTTTTGTCAAGACTGGAAAGATGGCGACAGTGATGAGGATTTCGAACCATCAGATACGGATGATTTCCCAAAGCCGCTAGCCTCAGCATGGCCTCGTTGTGAGTATGAAGGGTACTATAGCCCGTTTAGCGCAGCAACCACCTCTTCATACACATCTCCAACGCGGCATATATATTCGTTTAGAGGCTCTGCACCACCTACGCCAACGGCTGCGGAAACTCTCGACTCACCACTCATAATGTCAACAGACGACGAAGAAACAATCGCGGAGGGATACGAACATCTAGAATACAAAGCAGAAAGCCCGCCGGAAATTATGAACCCCATGACACCAAATAACATGCCAACCACGGACAAAGAAGGGATGGTTCCCTTCAGAGGAGAAATAGTCGACCACCACTGGTTATCATGGAACAAAAAGAGGATTAGGGAGGGCGGGGGGTTCGATTACTGGAGCTCATTTATAGAATGCAACATTATTGCTGGTAGCAATCATGAGCTTGATGGTTGTCAGGGTGCAGGTACTACACCAGAGAAGAGTCTGGAGCATAGTTTTGATGAGTTTATTAATTATTAGATAGCCACACTGAAGGTGTGACGGGTTGGACTACATCTCGAAGCTAAGTTATGTATAATATCCTTAACAAAAACTACCGCCATAACAGGAGGTCAAGTTGCAAGGTTTCTATTTCTGCTATATTTATATGCTGAGATTGAGCGCTATAATACCTTCCAATTTTATCTGAATATTCCTAGACTCCATGAGCGCAATCAATTGCGATCATTTGTAAATCCCAATGGGTTGGGGTCTCCTAAAATTTGAATTAATTAAAACAGTAGACGATTTGTGCGACTACTATAGGCTCACCTGTTAACTTTTTATCTTTCGATATTAGAACTCATGCTGTTTGGTATATTCGAGTATTCTTATCTTGATTGAGCCGTGTTACCCGTCCGGGCTCCGCATTTCCTGACAGACCCCCCACCCCACATACCCTACCCCGCAGACTAGCGTACGTCGGCGAAATCAACTTCGTACTTTGCATGTCGGCAGTGGCATTACCGATAGGCGGCTATTTCAGTTCGCGCCTTGGAGCCCTTGGACAAACTGTAGCAACTTCGCCCAGAGATGCCCTCGGTGCTGAAAAATATGTTAACAGACGGCATCAGGTTTACTTAATAGGTTTTTGATGTGTTATCATATTCTATTTAATCAATCCCTATGTACATTATTTCCCGTGTCCACGTATCAATATCCCTATTTCTTTGCGGCATACTCTTCATCAGTCACTTGTTCATACCAATCGATCTTCCCTAGTGTAACAGCCTCATGAACCATATAGCTTCCGTCGTCAGCACCATGCCAGTGATGAGACCCAGGAGGACACCAGATAACATCCCCTACAGCGATCCGTTGAGGTTGATCTCCCTTCTCGCAAATCCATCCTGATCCGGCCGTAACCCGCAGCAGTTGGCCCCCCTCGTGGCGGTGCCAATTAGTCCTCGAACATGGCGTAAAGTTGACATTTACTACAGACATGTTGTCCTGTCTGATCACCTGATCCAGCCAGACATCGCCAGTGAATACACCCATTGTTTTGCCGGGAACCGACGGCACTCCGGCGCGTGAATTGTGCACCACTTTCATAGTAGTGGCTTTGGTGGTGTCCATAATGTCTTGCTGGATGTTGGAATATATAATTGGAAGCGATCAGCCGAATAATGCCGAGCGACAATGACAGCGACGAGAGGTTATGGTTATGGGTATGGGTTATGTGGCAAGATATTTTTCCGCGATTGAACGACAATTACCCCAGACTTCTATGGACAAGTGCACAGGCTTTATACACCTCATAACTCCGAAACGGAGCAATGGCCCTACAGTGGTCGGCCTTTGTGGAGATATCTGCCGAGATTATGTGGAGTCATGTACTCGAGATTATCGTTATCTTGTCCGAGTGCCGATGCCGAGTTCTCTCTCAGAATGCTTTGATTTATCAGCGCAATAGTCTACACTAAACATGGGGAATATAGAGGATATATCAAGAGGACCACATCATATTCAATCTAAGTCTTTGTTCATATTACTCGAAGTATTTGACGCTCTTAACATTTTTTACCTCATTTAGTATGTCCCCACTACCGTCTACGATGAAATCGGTAGTACTCTCTGGGCTGGGGGGGCATGAGATGCTCAAATACTCAGAGACTCAGCCGCTCCCGGAATTGAATGAGGGGGAGGTTCTGGTTAAAAACACGTTTGCCGGAATTAACTTTGTCGACATCTACTACCGCACCGGCGTGTACCCTTCCAAATCTCTCCCAGATATTATTGGAAATGAAGCGGCTGGGACGATTGTGGCAATACGGGAACCAAATCTGCTGGGGTTTAAAATTGGTGACAGAGTCGCCTGGATGGGACGAGGTGGATACGCCGAGTACACCGCGGTGAACCATGGCGCATGCGTGAAAATCCCATCTGAAGTTTCAGACAGAGACGCTGCTTCGGTTCTTCTGATGGGTATGACTGCTTTATCCTTGGTAAAAAAGGCTTATGCTGTTCAAAAGGGCCAGACTGTGTTGGTCCACGCTGCAGCAGGAGGTGTTGGGTTATTGATGTGTCAAATTCTCAAGGACATAGGAGCTATCGTTATTGGGACTGCTGGAAGTCCAGAGAAGTGCGCACTTGCCAAAGAACACGGAGCAACGCATGTAATTGACTACAGAGCCTCGTCGGGCGCGGGCTGGGTTGAGCAGGTGAAAGAGATCACAAATGGGGAAGGAGTTGACGTGGTAATGCTAGCTTCTTTGCAGTGTATTTCCTGTTTATTCTTTGCTAACCTGATGCCTTTAGGTCTATGACAGTGTTGGAAAGGACACATGGGAAGGTAGCATGGACGTCGCGAAGCGCAACGGTAAAGTAGTGTTCACTGGCGTCGCAAGTATGTTTAATGCTCCTATGCTTCTATGTGTCAAGCTAATCTTTCAGGTGGACCTATTCCAGACACTTTGATGCAGAGGCTCGGAGAAAAAAACGTTTCTGTAATGCGATCATCACTGAAGAATATGATTGCAACAAGACCAGAGTTTGAATTTTACGCCACTAGTGCACTTGATCACATCAAGAATGGCAAGATAAAAGTGAAAATACATGATGTATATTCATTATCCAATGTACCAAGGGCTCATGAGGAGCTGGAAGGAAGGAACACTACTGGCAAGCTTCTGGTGAAGTTATAGAAAATTGCAAGCAAATGATACTAAAAAAATGCACTAAATTCTAGGCCGAGTTTATAATTAGAATCCACATGGGAAATATAGCTGCGTGTTAAATCATTCTAGTACTGCCTTTCCTTTACTCCGCGTCGGTTATGTTAATGTTCCACTGCCGTCTTAGGATAATGTATATGGCGACTTATATTTCTCCCCACAAAACTTCGCCTCGGAAGGTGCCTAGTGGATTACCACTACCAATGCTACAACTCGCACGGCAAGACTGCTTTTGGCGATATGCATAAGTGGGAGCCGCTAGTTTTTCTCCCCACGGGCTGGTTGTTTGATTCTTCCCGGTTACTGGTCTATACCAAGTATTCGTGCTATACAAACAGGACTGCCTGCACCCATTAGTCTGAGTACATTGTTCGGTAGAATAATATTGCAGTTGGGATTAAGTGCAACCCACTATTTCCCCGTGCGGGGTAACAGGGTTTCCCCGCTATCTCACGGACATCTGGAGCTTTTACCTTTCCTCCCGACAACTTGCAGACAGGCACTGGTAATATTAGTTCAAGGAATTAGCAAATCAAACTATCAAACTACGCACTTTCGGTAGTCAGGAATTTGACAGCTAGCCGCCACGGTGGTTATACGTATATCCCCCCGCCAAGCCGGCGTCTTTTATACAGATACAGACTCCCTCCAACCACGTTGCCGAATACCGATGATCTCCACTCAGGGGTAACTAAATATATGTGTATATAAGACGATGGGCCATTTCTACGACATTCTCATATTAGCGTCACAACTGCGGATAATCACCTGGAATCTTCATCGCACCTTTGCCCTAACATAAATATGGCTGTCAAAGGTATCAAGGACGACGGAGGTTCCTCGGATGATATTCAGAACATAGAAGATGCCATCACTCCTACGGATCTCGATCCAAAAGCGGACAAGAAGCTCCTGCGTCGCCTCGACCTACATGTCCTACCATGGCTGTGTCTTCTTTATGCTCTATCTCTATTTGACAGAAACAGCATTTCTACCGCAAAGATAACAGGCTTAGTGGACGACCTAAAGCTTGTTGGCAACCACTATTCAGTTGCACTCCTATCTTTCTTCCCGACCTATATTCTAATCGAACTTCCTGCCAACACGCTCATTCGCAAATTCGGACCCAAAAGAATGTTAACGGGCATGATTATCTGCTGGGGTACTGTGGCCATGTGCTTTGGATTTGTGAATACATTCAGCCAATTAATTGCTCTAAGAGTTTTACTTGGCATCTTTGAAGGCGGGTTCAATGTAAGTCTCATATTAGAACCGACATGAGATCAAATATCTGACGGTCTCTAGCCTGCTTGCGTCTATCTAATATCGTCTTGGTACAAGCGATACGAGGTACAGCAACGCATAGCTATCTGGTACATTTCCGGATCCTTCATATCCGGTTTCAGTGGCATTATATCCTACGGTTTAAGCAGCATGGAGGGTGTCGGTGGTCTGCGTGGATGGCGCTGGATTTTTATCATCCCAGGAATTCTCACTATCTGCATGGCCGTTCCGATTTACCTGTTCGTCTCCGACTTTCCCGAGAAGGCAACATGGCTTAGACCCAATGAGCTGGCGCGAATTCAGTCTCGGCTCGAGGAGGATAGAGGGGAGAAGATGGAAGACAAAATCACGCGCAAGGTCCTCATCGAAGTCTATTCTGATTGGAAACTATGGGTTTTATCGCTACTACATTTCTTCATCACTTCTGGAGCGTATGCCATGTCGTTCTTTACTCCATCAATCCTCAGGGGTTTTGGTTACGACGTAGCATTGAGTCAAATACTTGTCACCCCGCCGTATGTCTGTGCAGCTCTCTGTGCCATTGGAAGCTCGATCTTAGCCGACAGATATCGCAAGCGTAGTCCATTTCTCGTTGGGTTTATGATGCTAGCAATACTTGGCATTGTACTAATTGGTTGGGGCCACAATACCGGTATGAAGCTTACAGGAGTGTTTTTCGCTATTACGGGTACGACTTGTGCTACTCCAGCTGTGCTGGCGTTTATGGTCAACAACATCGTTGGATCCGCGAAGCGCCAAGCTGGAATCCCACTTCAACTCATGTTTGGTGGCCTTGGTGGGGTTGCTCCTTCGCTGTGGTTCAGAAATCAGGATGCTCCATACTATATGCCTGGGCTGTATGCCTCACTCACCTCGTTCTCCATGTGCGCGATTGGCGCTGCATCGATGGCGCTCTATTACCGCAATCAAAACCGAAAGGCCGATAAGTACGGAATAATTCTTGAGGGACTAGAGGGATTTCGATATACTCTGTGAACAAGACGAACCAAACTGTTGTTGGGGGGGGCCGAGCTGCGCAGGCAGACTGTACCTTTCGGATTTTCCTACCACGCTCATAAACCGTGGATGCGCGGAGATGATGCGGAAATAGGGATGAGGAAGATGAAAAGGGATATATATTACTAGCAAATTAGGTAGCTACATAGATGGGCTGGATTCATCTAGTTGCAATACGATAGTATCCCACCTATAAACTTTATACCTTACTTAATCCCACTGTGACGCTAACAATGTCAATATTTGGCAACATAAAAGACATATATGTTCCAGCCGAGACAACCAACCAACATAGGATTCGGCCGGAATATATATACGTCCCAGTCGGAACGAACACTGCTACTCCGACCCCCAGCTTGACCACTCTTGCGTCTCCTCAAACATATCATGGAGTATATCAGTAAACGAGTAAAATCAAAGGTTACAATACATGAATAATATCAGTAAATATAAATTCTCAGGCTCATCTTGATTGCCATACATAAAGAATCTTGTAGTATTCTCACTTAAGACGTGAGTCGTTTCCTACAGCAGGGTCAAAATCTTTAAGAAACCCCCATCGCGTCTGATCCCCCCAGCCCTTTTCCTTCCAATCATTAGCCTCCTTAGGAAAGATATCAATAACACCCATCACATTATCCTCGTGAGCAAAGATAAAGAAGATATCATCACTGGCGTCAGCTTCCTGTGTCTTATGGATAGTTCGTTGAGCCTCGGGGATATCCATCCCCATGGCGACATCAAAGAAGGCCTGGTCCTTGTTTCGGCCTCGCTTCTCTTGTAGATCCTCCAAAACCCCACCTGGACATAATCTGGGCCGCATATTTGCCCATGGATGAGGGTTGATTTCAGCGGGTAGAGGGCGGTGTGGAGATGGGCGAAGCTCCCCGCCATGGTGACACAAATCACCACCCATCATTATGAAAGTGTCTGGGTTTGTGGTGGTGCGGAGGAGGCCTGCCAAGTGGCCGATAGTATGGCCTGGTGTGTCCAGAAGGTAGAAGGAGCCGTCTCCGAAAAAGTCAAAAGCCTTTAGTTGGCCGGCCTTCAAGCCTATATCCTGATCGAAATCGATTTCCCGAAGTTCACGGTCTCTGAAAGGTGGCATGGGAATGAGTAAATCCCCTAGGAAATTTTTAATAGAGCAATCTCTACTCACTTGTAATCGGTCTCAAGAATTGGAGAGGCCGGGTTGGCAGGGGCGCCAGGAACAAAGGCTTTCTTGAAGCCTGGTCCAACGACCAGTTCCGTCGATGATGGGAATAAAGATGGATCCCCAACGTGATCCCAATGCATATGACTAGAATAGTCTGGTTAGCTCTCGGCTTTCGTTACACGCACAGGAGCCGTAGCAAGAGGATGGAATAAAATATATTATTCACATACCTCCAAATAATACTATTAATATCCTTGGCAGCGATACCCTCGTCGGCAAGAATCTCTAAGACATCCCTGTCGACTTGGATATCCCAGCCATATCCACCAATCCTTAGCCCCACCGAGAGGTTTCTCCAGTCCTTACGAACTCCCAGATCGAACAGTACCTTCTTCCCTGAGGAATGCTCAATTAAGAAAACCCAGCATGGTATCGTGGGCATGTGGGTAAAGCCTTCGACGGCACTGTCAGGCGTAAAGAAGAATGTGGTGGGTATGCCACCAATGCGCGCCGTGCTGTCGATAATTCGAACTCTCGCATTGCTCTCGCCAGGAGGAATTTTGAATAATGGAGCCATGGTAGTATTTCTCTTTAGATTAGATTGTAGTTTACGTCTATGTCTACAACAATGGCAGGGGCATGCGTTATATGGGGAGTATGGCAAACACGGCAAACTTCGACCCCTCACTCTGCCCCTCTAGATTACCGACCCCCCTTACTTTGTGTAACTTACCTAAGTTACACAGTTAGGTAACTACTCCGTACTCCGCAACTCGACGACATTGTAAAATCGCCGAAGTTTAGCCTTACGACGATGTGGTGAAGCCTAGGTGCTTTCGTCCTCTCCGCTCTCGGCGGTTATTTGGTCGGCATGGGAAAGAATGCGCATGGTGTTTTCGGTTATTGCGGATTGCAAACTTCGGTACGCTTGGACCAACAACCATGGTTATAGCCGTTCCCAAATGCCGTGATAGAAAACCAAACAAAAATATCCACTGTGGCTGGCATTGCGGGGAAGTGGCGTGAAAGGCTACGGCAGCTGTATGGTTGGGCTTCGGATTCTCGTTGTGATGAGTCTATCTTGTGATAGGAATGGGAGTGGGCGTGCGAGGAGTATTTGTGGTTTTCTGTGGTTCAACCTACGACAGCTGAGCATCTACCACACGACACAAGGGTCTCCTGCCACAATACAACAGGGTGCATGAGAAATCCATGAGAAACTTTTGTCTGTCCTCTACCATGGCATGCCTGGCCACTACTGCGGCCGACCACTTCTTCTTTGGCCCTACTTTGCCACTTTCCGAGGTTGGCTTTGCTTTTACGTTTAATTAATTTCTGCCAATGCTCTTCTGCTGAATCCCCGCATCCCATCCCCCGCATCCCCGCATCTTCGCGACCTCCGCAATCCTCCGTACCCCCGCACACATAGGATCGTCATCGTATACCTCAACGTCGACCCTAAACGACCCCAACCTCGAGGCCGTTATGGACCTACTTCTGTCCTGCATATCCTCATCTCCATAATATGCAATTCCGCAATCTGCACCCTATCGAGATATCCTGGCCCTAGGGAATATGTTACCTTTCACAGCACCGCAACGGCGCCGGGCCGGCGTGGTTTGCATCCAATGTCATTCGCGCAAGGTTAGCATGCACAGTTAACCACGAGGCTCTTCATTAAAATTCTAACCTTCGAATCTAGGTAAAGTGTGACCTTCAACAACTTCCCCATGGGCCATGCAACAACTGCAAAAGGAAGAATAAGACATGCCAGTCAGTTTACCCCGCCTGTGCTCTATTGGGAGCGAATGTACTAACATCAACACCAAAGGGTCCGGAACAATAGGCGCAAACGCACGGCGCATGTGAATACGCCGCCATTCATCGCAAGCCCCAACTCCACTGCCAATTTAAATGAAGATGAGACCGAAAATGATAGCGATACAATGTCCCCAATCCCGCAAAGGGAGGGACTTGAAGACACAAACCGACCACCCACTGTTGCTGCCGCCGCCCCTGCAGCAAAGTCAAACAACCTCATGGGATATCTTGGCGAACAGTGCATGTTCTCTCCTTCTGGGCTACCACAATGGTCCAGTTCCATACCTCCACCAACGTTTCCTACCGATATTAGCGAAGGAATTCTCCAAGTCTCTGGCGCCGCGATTATTCCATCTTCTTCCTTGATTATCGCTCTCGCCGATACCTACTTTAAACACATTTATCCACACATACCAGTTCTCGACCGTTCCGACCTTGACGTTCAACCACTTTCACCTCTCCTAGTTCAGAGTTTGTGTCTCGCTGGCAGCGCCTTACGTCACTCGAACAGCTCCAGTCGCCGTATACCTCACCCAGACAATTTTTACAATAATGTAAAGCTGTTACTGTGTATTAACCACGAAAAAGACAGTACCATAATCTTGAAATCAATGTGTCTTCTTGCCACCCGGAGTTCACAGGTTCCAACACAGATAAGCCTTGATGGAACATGGCACTGGATCGGGGTTTCAATACGTTATGCTCTGAACATGGGTCTACATCGGGAATCTACCTACACTAACAATAAGAGGGCTGGGATTTGTCGCCGATTATGGTGGCACTTGTTTGTGAGTCTCCCTCTGTACTTTCTTCGTGTATATTATCAGACTGATTATTCTAGAATAGCGACAAGCTTCAGTCAGCGGGTTACGGCAGGCCCCCAGCTATCAGCTTCCATCAATTTGATACGCGGATGCCTACTATGGAGGATTTTCCTACTAATCATCCAGACAACGAAGTGTTTATCTATAAGACTAAACTTATGGTCATTCTTGGAAAAATAACGGCTGCTCAGTATCAATACCGATTAGAATGTCCGCCAACCCTGGAAGAGGCAATGAGCATTGTTGGGTCTTTGAAAGAATGGATAAATGGTCTGCCCGAAGACTTACGTCTCTACAACGGATCGGTTCGTCGACCTTACCGACGTTCCGCGCTGGAGTTACATATTATCTACTTCGTTTGTGTCATTCTTATCAACCGTTTCTGCGAAAAACCAAACCGATCGTGGGCATCTCTGAAGACACCAATTGTGGCAGCCTCATGCATAGCCTCACTGTTTGAAGAAATCTACTACAGAGACGAAGTTATCTACTTGGCGCCAATAAATAACTGGTTCTGCATGGTAGCAAGCATACCCCTGATTATCTCCATCAAGTTATTGCCAGAGAAGCAGAGCTTATTCACGGAGAATCTTGCTATCATCAAGTCGGTGCTGGAACAAATGACTCTGAGGACGCCAAGTTCCGAATTAATACTCAGCAGTGTCAATCGGGTAGAAAGGGCCAAGAATCATGAGGCTGAAAACAATGCAACAGCGCCGTCGTTGCATACGCCCACAAATATGGACCACGGAGATGTTCAAGAAAGCCCAGACTTTGAAGGCTTTTTGTTAGATAGCGTGGAAGCATTATTCCCGTTTCCGAACACGCTATGCGCAAGTATGGATTTACTTTCTACCATACAAGATGGGAACAATCAGGACCAAGCATTGCCGGCCGAACACCTAGTTGAGATTTCGGATTGGATGTTTAATTTGGACTTCAGTGATATGCAGTGGGATTCTTTTCAGATGCCCTTTGATATGACTGATATGCCTATAATTGGTATGGAATAACGTGAAAGAATATCGCTAAAAGGATGATATTGTGTTATTGTATAGTGTTTCTGTTAGCGGGGGTGAGGGGAATAGTGATTAAACGGTCTTGATCAGGCGGCCGATGGGTTGACGGCGTTAAAACCTACGATTTTACGTTACATCTGTATACTAGCCAATATATATTAGCCATACTGTTTATTGTGCTATAATTTAATTTCATAAATTGCGAAATAGTATTCATAGTTGATTTTATATTCTGGCAACTTATAGTCATACTCGGCCAATTCTAAAACATATGTACATTTGGTCGAGTATGTCCTCGCGGAACAATCTCCTTTGAGATAAAAAAAAAATACATGTCTAATCAAACGCCCTTTCATGCATCCTATCTAAAACAACTTATTCGGCGTATCTAAGTACCAAGTAGGATTCTCCTCCGCCTCTTTGACAGAGAACCCGTTTCCTAAGAAACGGAATCTGTTGTTCGAGTCCAACGTGTACTCGTAGTCCTCGCCTCGGAAGTTCTCAAGCATGTGGAACCAGTGAATGCGGCTCCCAGGATGCAGCGCAATGATGGGCCCATCGGCTGTGCCATTCTTGTACCACGACCGACAGTTGCCGGACCAGGAAGTCCGTGGCATGAAGGCTTGGATGTGCTCGGTGAAGTCGCGAACAGCATCTTCCTTTGGCTGAACGGCTTTGATGCCCTCTGTCTGGCATTTTTTCAGCATGCTGACAATATATTTGGCCACATGTTCGGAAATAGTGAGGACACTGCCATGGCCAATTGGGGCGCTCGGTCCCAGGAATACTGCAAAGTAATAAGATTAATAAAAGCTCTTTTAGGGCGCAGTATAGAAGAACACTGAAGATACCGGCGGGACGACTTACCAAAGTAGTTGGGCACATTAGGGACCGCACACGACATGTATGCTGATGGTATTCCGTTCCTCCATGTGTCTTGCAGGTTGCCTTTCCTGCCAATAATAGGGAATCTCGGGCAGAAAGAGACGTCGAAGCCAGTTGCGCATATAATAGCATCAACCTCGACCACCTCGCCGGACGTTAACTCAAGACCTTTCTCTGTAATTTTGGCGATTCCTTGTGTGACAACCCGAATATTCTCCTTTCCAAGCGACTCTAGGTAGCCCACTCCAGGTGTCAACCTGCGGCAACCGACTGGAAATTTAGGAATCATGGCATCCATAAGTTCTTGGTTTCCGCCTAAAGCCTTTGTCATGTGGGCTACCATAATCTTTCTACTGGCTTCCCCTAATGTTTTGACATCCACTTGCTAATGGTCGCAAAAATTTAGTAAGAGTACATTACCTAATAAAAAATCGGTCCATATGGGGTATACTCACAGCCTTGAACCTGGCATTGACCTGTTCCTCAACTGCCTTAATAAAACCTCTGTAATAATCATTATCGGCCTTGAATCTATCTTTCTGCTCTGTAGTGAATTTATCGCCATCCATCTTTATGGATTGAATAATTTCGGCGGAATTTCCTTTCAGCATTCGTTCGGTTTGTGGTGGTGCAATCCATGTGGACGAGCGAATAACATGAACAAGCTCTTTAACATCTATTTCAATGTTAGAATTTATACTGTGATATGATGATGTGGATACATACGGGGTTGAATCTTGGGTACGATTTGGACTCCTGATGAGCCGTTCCCAATAACTACAACCTTCTTGTTATTGTAATCGAAGTTCTCGGGCCAAGAGGCACTATGGACCAATTCGCCCTTGAAGTCATGAAGCCCTGTAATCGCAGGCCACTTCCAGTTACTGTCCCATAATTAGCCAGTGGTAGGATAGCAAAAATACTATTGAAACTCACTTTAAAATGCCCGAAGCATTAAGAAGGAAGTTACAGTGGTCATTGAACACCTCTCCGGTTATTGTGTTTTTAATCTTCAAAAGCCACTCTCCAAGATCTTCGTTCCACTCAGCCCGAATAATTTCGTGGGACAATTTTATCTCTGGTCGCATGCCCTCCTCGTCGCACAGTCGACAGAGGTATTCTTGGATCTCAGTAGAATCGGCAGAGAATTTGGTCCAATTAGGATTTGGCCTCCATGAAAATTGGTAATTGTGGGATGGGTGGTCGCATTGGCATCCAGGGTAACGATTTTCATACCAAGTTCCTCCGACCTCTGGGTTCTTTTCGTAGACGACGTGATCGTAGTTGGTCATGTGCGTGCGTAGGGTCTTGATCAAGTTGAGGCCGCTGGCGCCGGCACCGATGGTCACGATTCTTATCTGTCGAGCTGTCCCATATGGTTGCTCCAGAACTTTATACGATGTATCGTCGCCATTTGTGGTCGCGGTGCTCGCGTTAACCACTGCGGGAAGTTTACTCTCAAAAGAGCCCATTTTAGATATTGAGGTTCGAGTTGGAGACTGCGGGGTATTCTCTTGGCCTTTTTCTGAGGCTTATACTGACCAACAATTACACAGGGACGAAAGGATGTTTTAATATAACACTCTTGACCTGTGATAAACGTTCAAGTACAAGTAAGCCGCGCCTAACACGATAAAGGAATGAACTACAGTGCCGGATGCCGCACTCGGCTACGGGATATCTAAGTTATGAAATCAATACTGGCTAAATGTCACATATTCCATATGCCATATGCCATATGCCACTGCACAGGTCGTTATTCCAAAGCACGTGCCATTACCGGGACCGCTGTCGTTGCCATTACCGTTGTCTCGTACCGAAACTCGTCATCGGTTTCGGTTCTTGTGACTTCGGCTTCGACAACCGATTAAACGAACTGTCATCCTGTTACTCATTATACCCCGCACTGGCATCCTGTTATACCCCGCGCTAGAATTGATAAGAACTTTATCAGCGAAGTTAAATCCATAACACAATTCTAACTTATAACTCAAAACCGTCATCTGCTCTCACTCACCATAATCAAACCCGAATATTACATACAACATAACAACCCGCCAACATGCCTGTCGCTATTGTTACCGGTTCTTCAAGGGGTATTGGAAGGGCAATTGCTTTGCAGTTGGCTGATGATGGAATGGATATTGCAGTTAGTTTTGCCATGCTACGACTCTGCCAGTTGAGTTAGGTTTGTGTTAATCTCAAAAAATAAAATAGATCAATGACATCGAGCAACAATCGGCATATATGGAAAGTGTCAAGGCTGAAGTCGAGAAGAAAGGTGTGATGTCAAAGCTACCATTTATTTTCTATTGACTGAATATGATGGATTATAACATCCCAGTGGAAGCTAACAGTCTATGATAGGCAGACGAGCGATTGTTGTTGTTGCGGATGTAAGCGTTGAGGAGGATGTGAAGAGATTGGTTGACACAACAGTGGAACAACTTGGGGAGTTGAACGTATGATATCTCTATATAGCTACACCAACAACACTAACTTATGTTAGGTCATGGTTTCAAATGCTGGAATTATCGTAACAAAGCGCCTATTTGAGGTCTCCGTGGCTGAATGGGACAAAGTACAACAGGTACTCACCACTCGCCAGCCCCTTGTAAGATTACATGACTAACCCTACTCCAAGGTAAACGTTAGAGGCATGTTCTTATGTTACCGTGAAGCAGGTATGTGTGAGCGTTTCCGATAAATATGGGTATCTAATAATTTCTAGGGAGACAGATGATTGCTCAAGGCAAGGGCGGTAAAATTATTGGTGCTGCATCGATTGCTGCCTTTAGACCTGTGAGTGCCACCTTGCATTCTGGTCGACATATGCTAACTTTTTCTGACGTCGGGAAATGCGTTACCTTACTCTGTGAGTAAATGGGCAGTTCGAGGACTCACGCAGGCGGTTGCTTTGGAACTTGCAGAGCATGGAATTAATGTACGTCTCCAGAATTTGGTTTAAAAAAACAAGAATCTAACAACATTGCAGGTCAACGGCAAGTCAACCCCGCTCGCTGTCTAAATGAAAGCCAACTAAGAAACTATTAAGCTTATTGCCCTGGACCTGTCAGCACTGATGTAAGTCCCGTTCTGCCTCCGTTCAGTATGTATACTAAATCTTATTACAGATGTGGGACGCTATTGATGCAAGCGTGGCAGCAAGAACCGGACTTGCTAAAGGCGAGGCCTTTGAGAGGTCTATTCAGTCCCGATCTGCAATGAAGAAGGCCCAGGTATGTTGCAATCCTGTTAACAGCAGATAATTACACAAACGACTCGGTTTGTTAACAGAACTACAGACTCCGGAGGATATCGCGAATATGGTGAGCTTCCTTGCCAGCGATAAAGCGAGGATGATCACAGGGCAGAGCATGATTGTTGACGGAGGTAAGTTTTGAGCTTCAATAATTTGTTGTGGGAAGCTGCTAACTAAATGTTACCAAGGTATCGTCTTCTCATGAGTGTGTCAGATGTTTATGTAAAGCAATGCATAATCTGTTTCTGTTTTTGAGAATCCGTGTTTCTCACGATAGCTTTACTATAGAATGATAAATATTATGAAATACCTAGACTTCTTTCATTTATTTTGCCCAAACCAATGACTGGTGAATCGCTGGCATTTTCCTCAGTGACACTAAACCCGCAATTACGTCCTGCGGCATTTGACTTAGGCTTTTACTAAAGTGCTATTTTAGATGAGGTTCTTTTATACACACCCCTCTCCTGAAATGTAAGTTTAGCGATTGCACTGGCTAGTAATTTATTCATAGGCTGGCTGGCGATACTAGTGGCAGCGAAAATGACATTTTTAGTGATATCAGGAACGGCGCAAGGGTCACCAGGTAGTACAGTATACAGGCAAACTAGAATAGACGAGTAATTATGTATCTATGCTATCTAATTAATTCGCGTATTTCTGCAGGAGAGGTGAAGCCTTCAGCCAGGGCAGCTATTGCTGCGTAAACTCCGTTTGGTGCGAAGCTGGCATATCGGCGGAGCGGAAGCTCTTCAGTTCAGAACTGAGCACACCCTCTTTGGATCTTGCATATGCCGCGCATTATACCGGGGTTTGACAATATAGAGCAATTAACCCCAGAGGGAAAATCACGATTGCCACATTTAGAGCCGATAGGTTCACAAACTTCAGTATACTATCGGCAGACCCGGGGTTGCGGGGATATGCGGGGTACATGCAAAGGCAATAGTCTGGGGTTTGTGTGGGGAAGCAATGGCCTGGTAGCCAATAAAGAACCAAGTGACAGCCGTGATCCAATAATTACTGATCCCAGCATTCCCTACAACTCGGTATGGGCCCGAGATCTTCAGGTGGTTTACCAGAATAGTCTCGTACAAAACATGTATAATCTCGGCAACATACCCATAGCATTCACATCCTTCGGTAAAGTATAATTATGCATATATAGAAGGCTAACAATGAAATATAAATAATTATATCTCAACCTCTACAGCATTTTCTTCGGGCTTCAAGACTCCTCAACAATCAACAATCAACAATCAACACTTGCTTTCGTGCGACTTCAAATATGAAAACCCAGCAACATGGCAGTACTGACGATGGCGACTGTGAAAAGGCAATGCACACGGGTGATGAAGACGCCGTTAAATCTCCAACAACAGCAGATGTAGAAAGTGCCAGAAATGCCGCTCTCGTGGCCTTATCTCCGACAGAAAAACGCAAAGTCATCCGCCGGGTTGACTTACGGGTAACCTGTGTTCTAGGATTGATATACTGCATCAGCCAAATGGACCGCAATAATCTCGGATTTGCAGCAATTGCTGGAATGAACGCAGATCTCGGCATGGATGGCACAAAATACTCAATAGTCATCCTGGTCATGTTCATCACTTACGTGGCTTTTCAGCCTGTTGCGACTGTGTTGATGCGGATTATTGGACCTCGATACTTTCTGTCTGCTATCACAGTCTCATGGGGTGCTGTGGTAATTGGCTTCGGATTTTCCACAAAATGGTGGGAATTGATACCACTCCGACTCGTGCTAGGAGCGCTAGAAGCTGGTGTTTTTCCTGGTTCGGTATACCTTCTCTCATGCTGGTATCCCCGGTACGACCTGCAGAAGCGCACCGCATTGTTTTACCTCATTGGAACTATTGCAAGTGCATTTACGGGTATCCTAGCATATGGTCTGTCGCAAATGGAAGGCTTGGGATCTGGAGCTGGTTTAGGCACTCATTTTGGTCCAACTGAGGCCAACCCAAATGCCCCGGCAGGCATTATGAGTATGAGTGGCATTGCGGGTTGGAGGTGGATCTTTATCATGCTTGGCGTAATCACCGTCGTCTGTGGCCTTATTTCTCTGTTCTTCATTGTCGACTTCCCAGAAAACGCTTCGAAGAAGTCCTTCGGGATGACATTTCTCAACGAGAAGGAGGTCGCATTCTTCGTTGCAAGAATTGAGGAGGACAGACTGGATGTTGTTGCTGAAGAGTTTAACCTGCGCGCGTATTTGAAAAACGCCGCAGATCTGAAGCTGTGGGCATTCGCTTCTCTGTTCGGTCTTACAACAACTACCAACTATGCTGTGGCATATTTCTTGCCCATCATCCTCCGAAACAGCATGGGCTTCTCGATCGCCCAAGCACAATGTCTTACTGCGCCTCCGTTTGTCGCTGCTGGTATTACAATGATAACGCTGGGCTGGATCTCCGACAAATATCGCATTAGAGGTCCTATTGTTCTTTTAAATGCCACCGTGAGCATTATTGGTACGTTAAAGCTCCATCTACAGTGCCACTCTCATGGTTAATAATATTACCAGGTCTCTGCATCTTAGGCTTTGCTAAGGGCACCGCCGTACGATACTTTAGCGTCTTCCTTATTGCAAGTACCGGAAACTCCAACACTCCTGGTATAGTCACTTGGCAGTCAAACAACGTCAGGGGTCAGTGGAAAAGGGCTTTTGGCTCTGCTGCTGTTGTGGCTTTTGGTGGATTAGGCGGGATTATTGGAGGAACAGTTTTTCGAACAGAAGATGCCCCATTGTATCGACCTGGCATCTACGCCTGCCTTATCGCAAACTTCCTGATTGTTGCCATCAGTTTAATTCTGATGTTGACGCTGCACAGGGCAAACAAGCGGGCCGACGCGGGACAGAAGGTTATCCAGGGTCTCGTCGGTTTTAGATATGCCGTTTAAAAATATTATGTAGTGCGTGTAGTTAGTTAGCAGATATATTCAGAGTTATTCTTTACTAAGGCCGTTTGCTGTATCTATAGTGAGTGAATAGATATTATGATTTATTACACTGAGGAAAGAGGTGGCTAGTCGGACGGGAATAAAGTTCTTAATCACAACTTTGGTAATGCGCATTGTATCTTGTCGATCTGCAAGCATGGATACTCCTTTTCGATACAAGTAAACGGTTCCATGTAAAGTGACCAACGCCAAGTTATCTAGTGTTGACGAGTTCTGCAAGTGCTAGGAAGCCTATGGTTTTAATTAACTTTACAATCAATTAGGCTCACAAAGCGTTGAAGTTAAAACGGTCTCTCCAATTTTAAATCCACTTGCAAGAAAACTTTATAAAAATAATGCATTATCTCGTTGTACGTCCTATGTGAGAAGGGTCTTTAATCGCAGAGTCTTAGCCATGGACCTTGTCTATAAATGTAATTATTTACGCTCTCCGCTTGCCTTCAATTCCGCAATAACAGCGCTGGCAATCAAAAACGCGTCCCGGCCTGCAGGCACACCAGTATAAATCATCGTGTGCCTAATTGCCTCGCAGATCTCCTCTTCAGTCAGGTCAACATTGAGCGCAGCCTGGACGTGAATCGTCAACTCCGGGCCTCGACCAAGTGCCGTTAAGATACCAATGTTCAATAGCGACCTTTGCTTGAGCTCGAGACCGGGGCGGGCATATGACGCAAAGCAGACTTCTGTTATGAATTCTGAGCTTGTCTTGGTGAAAATGTCTGGCTGTTTTTGGTTAGAAATGCCGTGGTAAAAAGTTGCGTGTTAATTGCATGGCACTTACCTCGCCGGCTGGCTTCAGCTTTGAGAGTAAAGCCTCCCCTAGGACTTTCCTCCTCATCTCAATCCCCAACTTCATCGCATCAGATGGTGCTGAAGATTCGGTAGACATAATTTAGGTTCAAAAGTTATAACTTTGTAAGTGATTATTGTAAATGTGGGCGATGGGTATAGTTTATGGGAAAGTTACGTGCCATAGCTTTACTTATAATGACCTTTGCCGAAATCAAACCAAATTTAGCTATGGCGGCACCCATTCCCGCTTTCACGGCACTGCCGAACTGCCTCCAACACAACCGATACTTCCGCGGGTCTCGGTACGCTCCCCGACTGGACTGTACCTATTGCCACAACCGAATTCATCAGCGGCATACTTGATGTTGGGGTATATCTTGGAAGCTGGCAATGAACGACGGGGTGAACGGCGGGGTAGCGGGGTAGCGAGGTGTGGCTAGCCACGGAATCACATCGAAGCCATGTGGCAGAGCACACAGATGATATGCTAGGAACCTAACAATCTGGTCTTTCTTTCGGAGATCGACATGGGTGAAGTTTATTTAATAAATCAAAAAAACTAAAGGAAGGTACCATTTCTCACGCGAATTGGTAGAAAGGCAACGACCAGACAAGGTTCCCCAGCATCATGGCCCCCCAACCAAGCCTTCTGACCAGCCGCGCACAGCGCATCAGATCTGCGCCAGCCCCCCATCAACAGCAACCTCACTAGCAGTCATAAAACTACTATCCCCCGACGCCAAAAACGCCGCCACCGCCCCCACCTCCTCCGGATCCGCCATCCGCTTCAACAAATTCAACTCCGCAAACACCTTCATCCCCTCCTCCCCCAACGCCGCCTTCGCCAACTCAGTCGCCGTACAAGCAGGCGACAGCACATTAACCCTAATCCCCGTCCCCTTCAGATCCTCCCCCCACGTCAGCGCCAGGTTGCGCACGGCCGCCTTGCTGGCCCCGTAGAGACTGAATGCCGGGGCACCAGTGGTGCCGGCGCTGGAGCCGGTGAGGATGATTGAGCCGCCTGGACCCATGAGGGGGAGGGCTTTCTGGACGGTGAAGATTGTGCCCTTCACGTTGACATCGAGGATTTCGTCAATGTGCTCAACGGTGATGGAGCCGAGCTTGAGTTGGCTCCCGACGCCGGCGTTGGCGAAGACGATGTCGAGGGTTCCGCGCTCGGATTTTACGGCGGCGTAGAGGCGGTCGAGGTCGGAGAGGGAGGAGATGGAGCCTTGGATGGCGCGGGCGTTGGGGCCGAGGGTGGCCAGAGCCGCGTCGAGTTGGTCCTGGCGCCGGCCGAAGATGAAGACGAAGGCGCCTTCGGAGATGAAGCGCTTTGCTGAGGCGAGGCCGATGCCTGTGGCGCCGCCGGTGATGACGGCGGTTTTTCCGGTGAGGCGGGACATGTTGGGTATGGTTTGTTGGAGATGAAGTAAATAGGTTGTTATTGAGTTGAAGTAATGTAGATAGGTTGTAATTTAGTCTGATGTAAGAGATAATGATTATATTTCCAGAGTAGGGACACCGCCTTCTTATATAGGAGCGACGAGCAGCATATTACCTGATAAACTCTATATCAACGATCAACCGGCCGACCAAACGGCCTTATACGTACGATTATTCATCCGGCCATTGGCGGTCGAAGTGACATTTTACTATCCAATTATTATTTTAACATACAATTGCGAACATATACCATTACAAATCATCAATTTACAGCAGGTCAAGAAATAAAAATTGTTCTGTCAATGAGGCCGTTGATAACTCCGTCCCGGCGGAGGTTTATCATGATTATAAAATCGCCACTTATCACCGCCGCCGCCAAATTTCTTAACAAGCCCTCATCAACAACCAAACTTTTTAGCTTAGCCAGTTCAATAAATATACTATATATCAAGCAACTACTCCTCCCTCAACATCACATACGCCTTATTTTCCCCCCTCCACCCAGTATACCCCTAAGTCCCCCATACACCCATCATCATGCCCACCACATCCCCCATCCTCCTAATCCTCGGCGCCGGCCCTAACATCGGGCAATCCGTCGCCCGCATCTTCGCATCAAAAGGCTACAAAGTCGCTCTCGCATCTCGTTCCCAAAAAGAAGTAGACAGCACGGATAATCACCTACATATCCCCTGCGACTTCTCCTCCACCTCCGATGTCATCGATGCATTTACAAAGGTTAAGAAGGTGTTTGGTATTCCCAGCGTGGTGGTTTATAACGGTAAGCCCCCTAATGGTTAAGAATGCGTCTGAATGGATCCCTACTAACAACTCCCAGTCAGCGCCTCAACATTCACCCCCGCTCAAGACCCCTTCGCCCTCCCCCTAGCAGATCTCACCAAAGACCTCACAATCAATGTAACCAGCGCCTTCATCGCCGCCCAACAAGCAGCAGCCTGTTTCTCCCAGCTCCCAGCTTCTGCGGCGCGGACGTTCATCTATACGGGGAATATCCTGAACGTCTCCATCCTCCCCGGCTTTCTCTCCCAGGGGATGGGGAAGTCGGCTGGTGCACATATGATCTGGGCTGCTTCAGCCGCATATAAAGAGCGTGGTTTCAAGTGAGTTTGTTTCTGTTTCTATTTCTATTCTATTTCTATTTATTTCCCCCTACTCTTTAATTTTTAATTTTAGTCAGTGTAGTGGGAAGATGAAAGGCTAATGTTGGTTGGATAGGTTTTACTACGCCGATGAACGAAAAGCAGATGGGACGCCCATATACAGAGTTAATGGCGACGCGCACGCAGAACTCTATTTGAAGCTGGCGGGGGGAAAGACCCAGGGGGAGTGGCTGCAGACGTTCGTTAAAGGCGTGGGATACACGAAGTTTGAGAGTTAGTACGTGTCTCAGTGTTCGGCACAGATCGTAGATGACCCGACCCGATCCGGATCATGATCCGGATCTATCCTATCCGTCATAATTTTGGCATATCCGTGAGATCCGGATCATGATCCGGATCATACGGATATTGCCAAGGATGCCAAGGATGCCAAGGCCACAGTAGACGTAGTATAATTGAATCTATAATAGCAGTCTAATTACTATATTGTAACGATTACCGCCTGTAATAATGAGCGACTCTAAGTTATTAGATTTGCCGTTAGATCATGAGAGCTATTCTTAAATAGAAGAGCTGTCGTTACCACATCTTATACCTCAATCTACCCCTATTCTGCCATCAGTCGAAGTAGTCAATAGATCACTGAGTAATATACTTCAAGGTCCAAGGGTTATATTACTACCAACGACTTCGAAGCTATTCACAAAGGGCTTATATCGTCGGGAACTGCTTAATACTCGGCCGCCAACCATAAAGATGGTATGCCTATAGCTAGACTGCGGATTTTCAATAGCGCCACAAGGGCTAAAGCAGTCGTCGACAGGTAATTTATAGAGGCATTACTCTTTGAAGCATCCAGCAGTATTATACGCCCTTAAAAATGAGAATAGACAGTCGTCTAGTACGTTAAGCAGTACATCATTGTTCTTTAGCCTACGCCTATTAGCTATATCAAAGCAGTCTAGTAATCCTTCGAAATATAAGGAGTTATTACTACAGTTCATTATGTTAAATAATCTATCGATACGCCTTGTTAAGAGCCATTCATTCCGTGAATTAGTTCAATTCTTAAGCCTAACAACTATATCAATATTAGCTCGTACGCTACACCGAGAACTTTAGCGTCAGTTCTCATACCACTGAGGCTAGCTACAACTCGAGCTTAATTCTCATATTAGGAGAGGAGGCTGGATATCAATAACAACGGATGCATGGTCTGCACGGAATTATATAGACTACGCTGCTATTACAGTACACTAGATCAACGATAAATGGCAACAGAAGTCTAAAGTACTCGACGTTATACATCTTTAAGAGCCTATCTACAGCAGCGAATATCTAGCTTAACAATTAGTACTCGTAACAGATGATATAGGTATTATAGGAGCTGTCTTTACCTATACAAGAGACAACGCTTTAGCTAATACTGTTATGCTTGCGGAATATGAGAAAATAGCTAAAGACTAGGAAGTGACGACACAACAGCTATAGACGTTTAGAGTTAAGGAAGGAGACGTACGATGTATAGCCCATATTATTAATATCGCTGTTTAAGATGCTCTTAAGACTTTGAAAGCTGCTCCTGCTAAGCAAGCTGAAAGTTATCGGTGTGAGCAAGGAGCTGCGCGGATTCTAACAAGCTCGTCCGAAAGCAATATCGAAGTTAAGAATACCCTTAGTAAGCTACGAAGGCATATCTACGTATTTAGGAATCGAAGGCAATGGAAAGATGCTCTTTAAAAGCAGACTATTGCTGCTGGTCTAAAGAAGCTACAATTATCACTTAATATGCTAGTCCGGTAGAACTTAACGTACGAAATGGTTTCAGCTGTCATTAAGCTACAGACCCCGATTACAGCAATCTGTGCTACTTAGCAAATGGATCTAAGTATAAGAAATATTGCTCTTACACTAGAGGATTAGATAACACTTTACGCTCTTTAGAATTTCTTCTATATATTCGTCAAGCCGTCGCAGAAGCTTCAAGCAAGTGTATACCTAACGCTTAACTTTGCAATTCCTCAGTATCTAAAGATAATAAAGAAGCTCGAGGCTCTATAGAATGAGGTTAGTATATCATCAACAATTAGTCTAGCTTGTATCGCTGCTTCTAAGAAGCTTAATGAGTATTATACGCTTGCTACAAATCATCAATAGAGTCATTTAGGGGTAGCTACAATTTGTAATCCGCGCATGAATCTCAACGTATTCAACAGTCTTTAGCTAAGTAATACTAAAGAAGTTAAACGGAATAGAGTAAAGCAGCAGTTCCATGACGTTTTTATTCAGTATAGAGACTGCTAATACTTCCTCGAAGAAGAGTAGAGGGATGCTGAAGCCAATTTACCGCAATTACCTATAGAACCTAACTCTAACGACGATTTATATATTTCTTATAGTATCTACCAAGAACTAGAATGGAAGCGCTAGCTTGTTAAGCCCTAGCTAGGTCTAGCAACAGATATTCTTAAATATTAGGCGGCAAAACAGTATCAGTATCTAATTATTACTGCAATTGCTCGAGATCACTTGGCAATTCCCGCAACATTAGCGCCGTCAGAGCAGGTCTTTAGTAATGGAGCTGATATTCTAACGAAGAAGAGGAATAGGCTCTCTCCTGAAACACTACGATATTTACTCTGCTTACGAGACTGGGGTCATATAGTAGATACCGACGAGAGCGAAGCCGAAGATGCTGATGACGAAAGGGAGGAGTAATTAGATCTATTATTATACTATTCTATTTTAAGCCTCACTTTTTAAGCCTCATTTTTTAAGAGATCCGGATCTGATCCGGATCTATCCGTTAGATATTAGACGGATCATGATCTGACCCGTGAGGGCTACGGATCAGATCCGGATCACGATCTGCCGAACACTGACGTGTCTTCTATCTAAGGGATTGCTTGGGGGTCTAAGGTCTAGTGTTGTGAGTGTCATATAGTCGTGTTAAAATTCATGTGTCGAAATTCAAATATGTTGTATCATAAATAAATAAAAAACCGGAAATTATTCTTAAACCATTTATTTTAATTCATCCCTTTCTACATTAAAAAAGACAACAGCGCGCTTCTCTACAGATATATAAAAAAAGTTCCCCCTCCTCCTCTCTCCCAAAAACTCATCTATCTAATCCCCCCACCCACACACCTACGAAGCATCCGTCTCCGTCCCCTCCGCCTGCTCAACCTGCACATGCTCAAAGCTACTCTCACTCCCCTCCCTCCCGCTTGACCCATCCTGATAACTCTCCCAATTCGCAAGCACATCCTTAATCTTCGGACTATTGGTCAGACGATACACATCCTCAAAGTACTCCTTCGTGATCTCAAACGGCCTCGCCGTGACATTGGGGATATACTTCCCAATCAGCTTACTCGGATCAATCGTCGTCTTATTGATTTTCTTCAGCAGGAAGGAACGGAACGGCTTGACACCTGAGCGGAGGAAGGTGGAGTGGAAGGGTACGTCGATGCCCTTGAGCGGGATGGTTGCGAATCCACGTTGGAGGTCGAGCGGCTTGGGCTTTGTCTCGGTCTGGCGCGCGCATTCGCGGATGATTTCAACCAGGTGCGCTTTCACGTCCTCGATGCTGAGAGTTTCCATCAGGGCTTGGATATCGATCTTCTGCGCCTTGAGGTAATTCGTCACACCCGTGAGAGTATCGAGCGCGCGCAGGTCGCCAGCGCAGACGTACTGCATATTGGCGATATTGTAGTTCACAATCTCCAACAACCACTTTGTCTCCTCGGCGATATTCTCAACGACGTATTGCAGCGCCTGCTCGTTGAAGGTCTTGCTGATGCGCGAGGGGTTCACGGCGCACATGGAATAATTCGAGCGGCCCGTGGCGTCGCGCTCGACGGCGACTTGCATGGTGAGACCTCTGTAGAAGACGACAGAAACCAAAGACTCGATGGGCATGACGTCTGCGAGGGCAGCGAGGGCGGAGTACTCGCCGAGGGAGTGACCCGCGAAGCTGCTGTCGCGCTGGACGAGGCCCTTGGAGAGCATGTCTTCGAAGCTGGCTTTTTCCATCAGGGTCAGGGCGGGCTGGGTGAATTGGGTGGCGGAGAGGAGGCCGGTGGGGGAGCGGTAGGTGTACGAGGTGGTGTTCTCGTCGACTTCTTTGAAGATCTTCTCCGACTTGGTGGTGCCGTCTGAGGCGACGGTCTCGAAGGTCATGGCCATGTAGTTTTGGCGGATGGCTTTTCCGCGGGGGCCACCGAAGTGGATGGTTAGCTCCTTGGGGTTGTTCTTGACGATGTTGGTGATAGCGAAGCCTGGGAAGTGTTAGTTAAACTGCATAAACCCACCAAATCGAAGGAAAAGAAAACTCACCATAAGTATCCATGAAATGCTTATCAGCCCGATCCCAAACCTCCTTCGCAACAGGGCTGCTAGCATAAAGCTCCATACCCATACCCTGCTCCTGCGATCCCTGTCCAGTAAAGACATACGACGAGACAGGCTGCTCCACCTCCGCCTCACCAAGGAGAACCTTCTCCTCAGTAGCCTTGTTGCTCGCCTCAACCTTGATAATCTTGCGACCAGCAACCATGCCAACATGCTGCAGTCTGACCTCAATATCATCGTTAGGCAGAACCATGCCGACCAGCGAAGCGTGGAAGCTCCGCACGCGACCGATGTGGTTCTCAGCGGCCCAGGTCTCAACGAGACTGCGCACGGCAGCACTGGAGTACATGCCGTGGGTGATGGTACCGGGCAGGTTGGCGTAGCTGGCAAACACGCGAGAAACGTGGATGGGGTTGAAGTCACCGGAGACACGAGCGTAGGTCTCGTTCGATGCAGGGGCCCTGAGCTGCAGAGGCGCCTTACCGTTGAGCGGGATGGCATTCTCGAAGTTGATGGGCTGCTCGATGGAGGAGCCGTGGCGCTGGAGGTAGTCGATGACTGGGTTACCGTGGGAGACACCAGCCTCGTAGTCAACAGTGGCGATCTGGATGATCTCCTTAGTTGGGAGCTCGAGGAGAACTTGTCCCCTGGTCTCGACGCTGCTGAAGACAGTCTTGTTCTTGAAGCGGTAGTAACTCTGGAGACGGAAAATCAGAGTCTGGCCGAGGAGATCAATATCGGTCTCCTCAACGTTGAACCACTCCTTGGAGCGCAGCACGGCAACATCCTTGCTAGACTCCAAGTGCAACTGCATAGGCACCTCAGTCTTGCGCTGGAAGGTGTTCTCGAAATCGGTGTAGGCACCGCGGTACAGGAACTGCGAAGTAACCTCCATAACAGGCTTGCCCTCACGGGTAATCGTGCCCATAACCTCAACCATCTTGCCGGAATCCTGGTTGATAACAGCATTGATCTGTGCAGTGGTGGCAACCTCATCACCCTCCTTCAATGGGTCCGCACCAGGAAGCATGCGGAAACCGTTGGAGAGATGGACGAGCTTGAGCAGGTCACCATCGATCGTGCGTGGGAAGATGGGCTTGGTAATAGCCTTCCAGCCGACGACGATGGCGAAGTCCATGGGGGCATACACCTCCTTGCCGGGTCTCGACACGAAAGCCTCACCCTTGTTGCCAACGGCGTGGACGAAGTCATTGATAGCCTCACCGGTAACAGTGGCGCTTCCACCATCGAACTCGCCGGTAACAGATGCGTCCAAGTCGAGCTTCTCGGTACCGAACCACGCCTTCCAGTAGAACTCCTTGATGCGGTCGTTGCGGTCCTCCATAACCTCGTGGATTGGAGCATAGCCGGCCTCAGGGTGGTACCTGAACTTCAACTCAAGGTCAACTGGCTCTCCGAGAGCGGTGGTGTCCTTGGTGATGTTGACGGCAATCTTGTTGCTTCCCTCGAGCTTGACCTCGATGACCTGGACGTAGTGGTTGGGTCTTGGCTGCTCCTTGACGGTGATGACGGTCTTGGATGGGTCGTTCGGGTATTGGACCTCGACGAACAATCCACGGACTGGCGTGAGAATACGCTTCATAGGGTTGGTCTGGAACTTTTGCCCCTGGACAAAGATCTCAGAGGTGAAAAGAGCATGTCTCCACGAACGCTTGGAGCCAGCGAGGAGGGTGAGCCAAGCATCCAATGACGGCAGGGTAGCCGATGGGGACGAAGACAGGCGGTAAGTGGTCTTCTCAGCATCCTGGTTGACAATCAAACCCTCGAACTCAGCCTCGGCATCAGACTCGACGAGCTTGCCGCCAAAGTACTCGGTGACCGGAATGGCAGACTCATCACCGTTGTAGATGTCCTTAGTCAAGCCCTCGATGTGAGCGTTGTGGACGCCATCAAGAATATCCTTGATGGGCTCATCGACAATCTTGGAGTACTTCACGGCAGTTGGGCCCTGCAAGATACAAGTCCTGCCAACATCCTGGCCAATGACGGCCTCAAGATCCTCAGACTGCCACAGCGAATCCTTCTTGAAGAAGAACTCGAAGTTTTCGTCGAGAACAGGGACGAAGGTAGTTGGCTTCTGGCCACGGCGTTGGCAAAGGAGGAGGAAGAACTGAACATCCTGTGCGTTGATAAGCTGAGTCTCAGCCTCAGGGTAAGACTCGAGAATCCTCTCCACAGTCGCGTAAGGCTCGTTGAGCTCAGCGTAGCTCTGGAGCAGCGAGGGGTTACCCTTGCCCTTGGTAAAGCGCTCCTCAACACGGTAGATGAAATCTCCCGTAAGCTTAGTGTAAGATTTATCAATCCAGCGCGCCTCGTGCTTAACGTAAAGCAGATCGACCAAACGACGAACAACCTCACCATAAGTCATATCCTCGAGATCGACAGTCTCGCCAGCCTTGTTGCGACCGAACCAGACCTTCTGGAAGTCGTCGTTGAGCTTCTTGATGATGTAGGCACGGTTCTTCTTCAGCTCTGGCACGCGCTTCTCCTTGGGCAGGCTGAAGATCTTCTGGTCCATCTCGGCCCAGAACTTGACACCGCGGGTAGCGAGCTTGTGGATCGGCTCGCCCATCTCCGAGCGGACGGTGATGACACCTCCAGCGGGACCCTTGTAGGTCTTCTCCCAGTGGCTGTCCTCTACGCCCTCTGCCTCAGTGATGGCCTTCTTGGCGTTAAGACTGGTGTGAGCCTCCTTGGAGGTCATCACACGGCTGCCGAAAAGGCATCCGTCGAAGGGCATGGGTGGGTAACCAAAGTTGGAAGACCAGGTACCGGTGATGTAAGGGTAGGTATCCTCAGCACCACCGAAGCCGCTGCCAGCAACGAGAATGAGGTTCTCGCATCTGCGGATTCTGCCGTACATTTGCAGGATTGGCTGATGGAAATCCTCGAAGGAGTGATGACCGCCACCGCGTCCGCCAGTCCACTGCATCATGACAGGGAAAGTGGGGTTGGCCTTGGCGATGTTTATGACGGACTGGATACCATCGATGGATCCTGGCTTGAACGAGATGTGCTTCAGACCAAGAGTCTCGATGTACTCCTGTGCGACCTCGATGGATGGCACACCGGCACCGATGGTGAGACCCTCGATAGGAACTCCCTGTGCGCGGAGTTGACCAAGGAGAGGGATCTGCCACTGCATAGCGCGGGGGTTGACGTAGATGAGGTTGACTGTGATTCCACGGCCTGCGGGGATAGCATTCTCGATCTTGGTCAGGGCTTCGGTCATGGTCGCGGCGTTGTAGTATCCACCACCAGCAAGCTCAACCTGGTAACCGGCATTCATAGTTGCGGCAACAAAGTCCCAAGGAACTGTGCAGGGGGTCATACCAGCCACCATAACGGGAGGGACTCCTAGAAGTCTGCTCATCTTTGTGTCGACGTAGGTCTGGCCGCTGGTTGTCTTGATAAGACGAGGACCGTGCTCTTTGAGCCAGTCGACGGCGTACTTCACGGCGTGCTCCTCATCACGATCGAAGAGCTCTGGCTTGTAACCAACTTCCGGCACGGTACCGGCAATAGTGCCAGCGAGAATGACGCGGACACCAGTTCCATCCTTGTTACGGCTGGTCAAGACACCAAGACCGGAGATACCACCTGGACCAAAGTCAAGGACGTGGGTGGCTTGGGGGAAGACAGTAGCCTTCTCCCAGTTGACTGGCTCCTGGGTAATCAGGCGCACAAGCGTTGGCACGATGTTGCCTTCGACCTGCTCCCTCAGGTCCTTACCAGTGTTGGTGTCGAAAACGGGGATACCAAGATCCTTGCTGGAGATGACAACGTCCTTCAAGTCCTCGTCGATGTTGCTTGTCGCGCTAGAGAGGTACTTGCTGTGGAATGGGGCGGTAATTGGCAAGAAGCGGTTCACGAATCTGACCTTGCGCTCAGTGAAGGGGATTCTGGTCTGATCTAACCCAGTTGGTGCCTTGACCTTACGGAGTTGAAGATTAAGACCGTAGAGCGAGAGAGGAGGTCCCGTTACGACAAGGTTGCGAGCGCTGTTGACCAGCGAGATCGAGATGTGGCGGTCCTCGGGAAGGTACTGGTTGGTAGCATCGATGTGCTCCTGGATCTGGTCTCTTGAAAGATCACGGATGCTCAACATGGGTGTGGGCATGCCCTCGCCATTCTCCTCGGAATCTTGCAGCACATTAGGTGCAAGGGAAGTTGTCGGGTAGGTCTGCTGGCTGCGAGAGCCGATCCAGAAAAGGATGGTAAGAGACTGGGTGGCAATCTTATCAAACGACTCCCAGCTGTCGGCTGCCGAAGTAGCAGCAGCAAGGACAACACCCTGAGAGTGTCCGGTGGTTCCGCTGAGCCTCTCGCGGAATGCGCCTGGGGTGAGACCAAGGGTCTTGCAAGCAACACTGTAGTGTGCAAGCTGGACGAGACCAATCAGTGGGAAGCTGACTGGCGCAGAAACGAGGTAGTCGACATCTGGGGTCGACTCTGGGTGGCGCAGCCAGGTCATGATATCCAGTCCCTTGATGTACAGCTTCTCAGCCTTGGGGTCGCGCGAGAGAGTCAGGAGCAGCTCAGCCGACGAAGTGATGAGCTCGCCAATGAAAGACTGGTAGGTGTTGTAAAGTTCCCTGAGCTCGTCGAAGTACTCCTCAATGTTTCCCTGTCCACCGAAGACAGAGTAGATCTTGGCAGTGCCCTCGCCTGCGGCTCTCAGGAGCGCAGACTGGTGGGATCTGATGGGCCTGTTGCTCGCGGCGCGCGCGGCATAGTATCCCCGCACGGTCTCCAGCTTCTTCTGGTCAATGCCGGGAATGCCGCCGCTCAAGGCGTGGACATCGTTGCCGCGCAGGAAGGCGCGCTCGAACTCGTTGAGAACGAGCTTGAGGACCTCTTCGTATGATCCCTGCGCATCGTCCTCTCCGGACTCGACCTCTGCCGCGATGAAGCTCAGGTATCGCGCCACGAGCTCTGCTGCCGAGGAAGGCTCGTCATCCTGTGCGAGTTCGTCTGTTGGCTCCGGGAGAGAGGCAAGGAACTGGTCCTTGATCTGGGAGGCGTGGAAGTGGAGGTTTGTAGGGATTAGGAAGGAGTGCTCGAGGGATCCATGTGTGAGGGTGAGGGGTCGGAGAGAGGATGACGATCGTGGCGTCGAAACGCCAGTCTGGGGTCCTGTGGACGTTCCCAGCATGTTGGTATAGAGGAGGTTGCGGTAGGAAGTCTGTAGTGGGAGGCAGGTTAGATAAATTCAATTGATCCTGTGAGCATAGAGAGGCTGAAGTAAAGATAGCCTCATCAAACACAATTCACGTCTCTCCACCTCCTACAAAGAAGTGATCAAACGCACCTGGTTCTCGAGATTCCAGATACTCAGTTAAGAGCAGGAATGTCTTCTTATCGCGGAAGAGTAGTTGTGGTTGAGCTCGGAGTCGATAATTAAGGGTGGATTGCGGGAATCTGTATTAAAAGAGAATAGGGTAAATGGTAAACTGGCTTCAAACAGCAGCAAGACGTAGAATGCGCGGAGTAGAAGAAGGTATATGAGCTCTGAGATGCGGGATAGTAGAGTTGTGTGTAGAAGAAGTGAGGAAGTAGAGACAATGGATGGGGGGGGGGAATAATTGATTCCTAAGAATTGGCCCTTGTCTGGTATCGGCAGAAATGTGAGGAGGTACATACAAATTGTTTTGGGTGGTAGGGGAGGGAGGAGCTCAACAAGGCCTCGCCAAAAGTTGACTACGGCGTACTACGGCGGTAGACTAGCGTTCCGATGGGGATCCAACGCAAATGCAGGTGCAGGCCTGGTTGCCGCGGCGAGGATGGTACGTACTGAGGAGCAGGGGGGTGAAGCCGTCGATACGGGCCAATGAGGGGACTCGAATTTGAGGAGGCTAGCTGGATCTAGCTGGATCGACGTTAGCGTCACAACAATTTTGACGTTATCGACGGGTGTAGTCACGTGGTGATAAGTAATCGGAGTTGGCTTGACTTATGTCCACCCACCACAGTGTCTAGACAATTTTATGTTGGGCATTAGGCATCCAGTTGAGAATACAGTACTATATTATGCTAAATACTAATATACTATCTAGTATACGCGTCGCAGGCATTTACTAATCATCAGCAACTGATCAACTATGCCTGCACGAATATAACCAGCATCAACATCATCCAGTTCACTAATCCGATACATTCTCGTGCTCAACCCTTTTGTCCCTGTGTGCTCCGTATTTTGATCCATACCGTTCATAAAGTGATACGACAAAAACACAACAGTATACGGCGTACGGATAGGAGTGGAGGCCCAGTAAATCATCCAATAGCAGACAAGCCAACCGATAACATGGCGGCCACTAAAAAGTACGTTAGGGAGGGTTAGGGGGGAAGAAGAAAGGAGTGATCGGTACCATATTTGTATTTTTAGCTTAGAGATGCACCCGCATGCAGTAGCAGCCGTCTCTAAAGTGACATCGGCATGACTTTACCGACATAAGTTATAGGAGAAGCGGGTACTACTCATGTACTGTTAACAGAGTTATGCACCACAACCCGGTAAGCCACCACTCTAACAGTGACTTGTGCATGACCTCTCCCATCCCTGCCACCTCCAAAATTTCCCCAAATCTTCCCAGGCTACACTTCTCTACCACTCGAATGCACAATGCACGGACCACTTCCACACTATTCCGCACTAATCCCTCCATCATCCACCATCCACACATCCACACACTTCCCAAATCAGGATTAGCGCAGAATCTGTGTTGAGACCGCAGACCCAACTTTTTTGTGAGAAGCTTGCCTGCAATGTTCCGTGTTGTGCATCGACGATTCCCAACGACGACCTCCTCTCTCCCCCCCCCTCAACTTCCATTGGAAATCAACCTTTCTATCCTCTCTTCCGCTCCCCCGAAGCTCCTTATTCTCCTTCGTCGGGTTCCCCAATTCACAAACTATCAATCTATAATCATCATCAATCACTTCTCTATTTCTTGCGGTACCCTTCTTGTCCCCCGTCGAAGCTTCAAATTCCCCCCCTTACGTTGGTTGTAATCATACCCATTCTTCACACAAACAAGCTATTCGTACAGTTCCTGCAATTTACGAAACTCGAACCACCACTACAAATACAAACCTACGCCGTGGATCTTACATTCACGACCTATCCAACAATCAAACCTCGACCCCGATTACCACCACCCTACTTCACCATAATAGTCTTCGGACGTTAAATACCCACCCGCCATGCGTCCCGAAATCGAGCAGGAGCTCGCCCACACGCTCCTCGTTGAACTGCTGGCCTACCAATTCGCGTCGCCCGTGCGCTGGATCGAGACGCAAGATGTCATTCTCGCCGACAAGTTGACCGAGAGGATTGTCGAGATCGGTCCCGCAGATACCCTAGGTGTGATGGCGAAGAGGACGCTCGCATCCAAGTACCAGGCTCACGATGCTGCGAAGTCTGTGCAGAGACAGATTCTCTGCTATAACAAGGACGCGAAGGAGATCTACTACGATGTTGACCCTGTGGAGGAGGAGCCAGAGGCAGCTGCATCGAGCGATGCTCCGGCTGCTGCGGCCCCTGCTGCTGGCGCCGCCCCTGCCGCGTTTGCTGCACCTGCTGCAAGCGCAGGACCAGCGGCACAAGTACCAGATGCCCCAGTTGGCGCCCTGGAGATTGTCAGGTCTCTTATCGCACAGAAGCTGAAGAAGCCGTTTACTGAGGTTCCGTTGAGCAAGGCTATCAAGGATCTTGTTGGAGGTATGCACAGTTCATTTATTTCTGAGGCAATGTTACAGCGGCTAACAATTTATCAATAGGCAAATCGACTCTCCAAAACGAAATATTAGGTGACTTGGGCAAGGAGTTTGGCTCGACTCCCGAGAAGCCGGAAGATATCCCCTTGGACGAACTTGGAGCATCCATGCAGGCTACATTCAACGGCCAACTTGGAAAACAATCATTATCTCTTATCGCCAGGTTAATCTCCTCGAAGATGCCTGGTGGCTTCAATATCACATCCGCGAGGAAATACCTCGAGACGAGGTGGGGTCTCGGTCCTGGGCGCCAGGACGGTGTCCTCCTGCTGGCGCTTACTATGGAGCCCCCGGCACGTCTCGGGGCCGAGGCCGACGCGAAAGCGTTCCTCGACGAGGTATCAAATAAATATGCGACAAATGCTGGGATCAGCCTTTCCGCACCTGTCGCTGCTGCGGGCGGTGGTGGTGGCGGCGGAATGATGATGGACCCAGCTGCGATTGACGCACTCACCAAGGACCAGCGCGCGCTGTTCAAGCAACAACTTGAGCTGTACGCGAGGTACCTGAAGATCGATTTACGGGCGGGCGACAAGTCGTTTGTTAGCGCTCAGAAGTCGGAGGCTGCTCTGCAGTCGCAGCTCGACTTGTGGAATGTGGAGCACGGAGAGGCATACGCGGCTGGTATTGAGCCCGTCTTCACATCGCTGAAGGCTAGAGTCTACGATTCATCGTGGAATTGGGCTCGTCAAGATGCGCTTCTCATGTTCTACGATATCATTTTCGGCCGCCTGAAGGCTGTCGATCGTGAGATTGTTAGCCAGTGTATCAGAATCATGAACCGTGCGAACCCAACTCTCATCGACTTCATGCAGTATCACATTGATCACTGCCCAGCAGAACGTGGAGAGACCTACCAGCTCGCAAAGGAGCTCGGCCAGCAGCTTATTGAGAACTGCAAGGATGTTCTCAACACGCCGCCTATGTACAAGGACGTCTCCGTCCCCACCGGTCCCCACACTACCGTGGACGCCCGTGGCAATCTCGAATACAGCGAGATCCCAAGAACGAGCGTGCGCAAGCTGGAGCACTACGTCAAGGACATGGCTGATGGAGGAAAGATCTCCGAGTACGGAAACCGAACCAAGGTCCAGCACGATCTTGGTAAGATCTACAGGCTCATCAAGCAGCAGAACAAGATGTCTAAGGAGTCTCAACTTCAGATCAAGACTTTGTACAGCGATGTCATCCGTTCGCTGGCCATGAGCGAGGGTCAAATCATGCCTAAGGAGACCAAGGGCACTGCCAGCGGCATCAAGAAGCCTGCCGTTAAGCAAGGAAAGGTCGAGACCATCCCATTCTTGCACTTGAAGAGAAAGGATGAGCATGGATGGGAGTACAGCAAGAAGCTTACCGGTCTTTACATCAATGGCCTCGAGGATGCCGCAAAGAACGGTCTCTCATTCCAAGGAAAGAATGCGCTTATGACTGGTGCGGGTGCTGGCTCCATTGGTGCTGAGGTCCTCCAGGGCTTCATCAGCGGTGGTGGTAAGGTCGTTGTGACGACCAGCCGCTTCTCCCGTGAGGTTACCGAGTACTACCAGGCCATGTACGCTCGCTACGGATCCAGGGGCTCCCAGCTCATCGTTGTTCCCTTCAACCAGGGAAGCAAGCAGGATGTTGACGCTCTGGTTGACTACATCTACAACCCCAAGGATGGTCTTGGATGGGATCTTGACTTCGTCATTCCCTTCGCCGCTATCCCAGAGAACGGACGTGAGATCGACAGCATCGACTCTAAGTCCGAGCTTGCTCACCGTATCATGCTTACCAACGTGCTCCGTCTCCTTGGTGCCGTCAAGAAGGAGAAGGCCGACCGCGGATACGAGACTCGCCCGGCACAGGTTATCCTGCCTTTGTCGCCCAACCACGGTACCTTCGGTAACGATGGTCTGTACTCTGAGTCCAAGCTTGGTCTCGAGACCCTGTTCAACCGCTGGCACTCCGAGAACTGGGGTAACTTCCTCACCATCTGCGGTGCAGTCATCGGATGGACCCGTGGCACTGGCCTTATGGGTGCTAACAACATCACTGCTGAGGGCGTTGAGGCTTACGGTGTCCGCACTTTCTCCCAGACTGAGATGGCCTTCAACCTGTTGGGTCTCTTGACTCCTCCTATGGTCGACCTTTGCCAGTCTGAGCCTGTCTTCGCCGATCTTAACGGTGGACTCCAGTTCATCCCACGTCTCAAGGACGTCATGACCAACCTCCGCAAGGATATCATGGATACCAGCGAGGTTCGCCGTGCTGTCACCAAGGAGACTGCTCTTGAGAACAAGATCGTCAACGGTGAGCAGAGCGAGGCCCTCTACCAGAAGGTCACCATTGAGCCCCGCGCCAACATCAAGTTCGATTTCCCCAACCTCCCAGACTGGGAGAAGGATATCAAGCCTCTCAACGAGAACCTTAAGGGCATGGTCGACCTCGAGAAGGTTGTCGTTGTCACTGGTTTCGCTGAGGTTGGTCCTTGGGGTAACTCGAGGACTCGCTGGGAGATGGAGGCTTACGGCCAGTTCTCCCTCGAGGGTTGCATTGAGATGGCCTGGATTATGGGTCTGATCAAGAACCACAACGGCATGATCAAGGGCAAGCAGTACGCCGGATGGGTTGATGCCAAGACTGGCGAGCCAGTTGATGATAAGGATGTCAAGCCAAAGTACGAGGCGCACATCCTTGAGCACGCTGGTATCCGTCTCATCGAGCCAGAGATGTTCGACGGGTACGACCCCAACAAGAAGGAGCTCCTCCAGGAGGTTGTCATTGAGGAGGATCTTGAGCCATTTGAGACTTCCAAGGAGAATGCGAATGAGTTCAAGCTCAAGCATGAGGACAAGGTTGAGATCTTCGAGATCAAGGAGTCTGGCGAGTACACTGTCCGCCTAAAGAAGGGCGCCAGCCTGTTGGTTCCTAAGGCTCTCCGCTTCGACCGCATCGTTGCTGGTCAGATCCCACTTGGCTGGGACGCTACCAAGTACGGTATCCCAGATGATATCGTCGCACAGGTTAACCCAGTTACTCTTTGGGTTCTTGTTTGCACGGTCGAGTCTCTCCTCGCGTCCGGTATCACCGACCCATACGAGTTCTACAAGTACGTCCATATCTCCGAGGTCGGTAACTGTATCGGTTCCGGTATTGGTGGTGCGACTGCTCTCAGAGGCATGTATAAGGATCGCTACTTGGACCTGCCGATCCAGAAGGATATTCTCCAGGAGTCTTTCATCAACACCATGAGCGCCTGGGTTAACATGTTGATCCTCTCGTCCACCGGACCAATCAAGACCCCATCCGGAGCCTGCGCCACCGCCGTCGAGTCTCTCGACATCGGTTACGAGACCATCATCGAAGGCAAGGCCCGCGTCTGCTTCGTCGGTGGCTTCGACGACTTCACCGAGGAAGGCTCCTACGAGTTCGCCAACATGAAGGCGACCAGCAACGGCGTCGACGAGCTCGCCCACGGCCGCACCCCCGCCGAGATGTCCCGCCCCGCAACCACCACCCGAAACGGCTTCATGGAGTCCCAGGGTGCCGGTATGCAGCTCATCATGACCGCCAAGCTGGCCCTCGAGATGGGCGTCCCCATCTACGGTATCCTCGGCATGACCGCCACCGCCACCGACAAGATCGGTCGCTCCATTCCCGCTCCAGGCCAAGGTGTCCTCACCACCGCCCGCGAGACCGCCGGCGCCTTCCCATCCCCGCTCCTCGATATCAAGTACCGTAGACGCCAGATCGAGCTCCGCAAGAAGCAGATCGTGCAATGGCAGGAGTCCGAGCTCGAGTACCTCCACGAGGAGGTCGCGGCCATGAAGGCGCAGGCCACCGGCGAATTCGACGAGGTCGTCTACACAAGCGAGCGCACTGAGCACATCGAGCGCGAAGCTGCCCGCCAAGTCCGCGACGTCCTCGACCAGCTCGGTAACAGCTTCTGGAAGAAGGACCCTACTATCGCACCTATCCGCGGTGCCCTCGCCACTTGGGGTCTCACCATCGATGATCTCGACGTCGCCTCCTTCCACGGAACCTCGACTGTCGCGAACGACAAGAACGAGTCCAAGACTATCTGCCAGCAGCTCGAGCATCTCGGCCGCAAGAAGGGTAATGCCCTCCTCGGTATCTTCCAGAAGTTCCTTACTGGTCACCCCAAGGGCGCTGCTGGTGGCTGGATGATGAACGGTGCTCTTCAAGTCCTGAACACCGGTCTTGTCCCCGGTAACCGCAATGCGGATAACATCGATCAGGTCATGGAGCAATTCGACTTCATCGTCTACCCATCCAAGAGCATCCAAACCGACGGCATCAAGGCTTTCTCCGTGACATCCTTCGGGTTCGGACAGAAGGGCGCGCAGGCTATTGGTATCCATCCTAAATACCTCTTCGCCACCCTCGACGAGGAGACCTTCGCTGCGTACCGCGGCAAGCTCGAGGCGAGACAGAAGAAGGCGTATAGGTACTTCCACAACGGACTTATCAACAACTCCATCTTCGTCGCTAAGACGCACGCACCGTACACGGATGAGCAGATGCCTGATGTCTTCCTCAACCCCAACGCTCGCGTGTCGGTGGATAAGAAGACAGCTGGTTTGACTTACTCCCCCAACTTCGCCGCGGAAGCCGTAGCAGCCTCCCGCGCCGCAAGGGCCGCCGCCAAGCCCACCTCCACCGGGTCGAGCAAAGAAGCAACTAAGGCCGTTGTCGAGAAACTCGCTAAGAGCACAGCTGCCGCTGGCACTAAAGTCGGTGTCGACGTCGAGGATGTATCAGCTATCAACATCGATAACGCGACCTTCGTGGAACGCAATTTCACCGCTGAAGAGGCGCGCTACTGTCGTGCTGCCGCTGATCCGCAGGCTAGTTTCGCGGGGAGGTGGTCAGCGAAGGAGGCGGTGTTTAAGAGTTTGGGGGTCCCCAGCCGCGGAGGGGGGGCGGAGTTGAAGAGTATTGAGGTTTTGGCGGGGGAAGGGGGGGTTTTGGTTGTTCATGTGAGTAATTCCGTGCTTTAAGATGGTTGATGGGGTGCTAATGGCGAAATAGTTACATGGTGATGCAGCTGCGGCAGCTAAGCAGGCGGGTGTTAGGGAGGTGAGTGTGTCGATCTCGCATTCGGCTAGTCAGGCTGTTGCGATTGCGGTGTCGACTTTTTAAGTCTACTGCCGTATCGGGGTCTGTGTGGGGTGTGGCGTGTGGGGGGTGTATATATAAGATATAAGATCTAGACTGTCTGGTGGATTCGGTTTTCCGTGTGTGTGGATAAGATGGATAGAAGGGGGACCGATGGGAGGGTCGGTGTAATCACGAGATTGGGAAACGGGGGAGAGGTATATTATTATAGTAGTGTAGGGATAGAATGGATGGGTTTTTTATGTTTACTTACGTACTTTGGGGGGCTTGAGTGTTGTGTTGTGGTGTGATGTGTCTGTATGTCTGTATTAGACCTGTGCAACCTGGGCAAGGAACACAACAACACACACAGCCAGCAAAAATCGAGTTGCGGGGAAAGATTCTACAATTCCAGACGGGGCGAGGGAGCATTTCACTTCACTTCACAGGATCAAAAATAGGCAAAGTCAAGTCAAGTTCAAAAAAAAAGCGTAAATTGCGGTAATTGATCTTCAATCCCCCCAAACGCGTCCCAAAAGCACTCAATCAATCAAGCACAGCAAAAAGCAACGTAATACTCCTATCCCCCCACCCTAACCATCTCAATCCCATCCCACTCTCTAAGCCGCCGCCGCCGCAGCAGCAGCAGCCTCCTGCGCCGGCTCAACACCCACGCGCTCCTTCGCCAAGATATCCACAAGGAGGGGGCTAATCCTCTCCTCCACCACCGCACCAACGACCTTCTTCCCGTCCTTGTAGCGACGGACGTTATCAAGGTACATATCAAACAAGTAGCTGCTATCCATCGGTCCTCCCTTGGCTTCCGGGTGGAACTGTGTGCTGAAAATCGGGCGGCTGGTGTGGATCATCCCCTCATTGGAGCCGTCGTTCAGGTTGACGAAGTACTCCTTGAAGTAGTCCGGGAGAGTAGAGGTGTCGACGGCGTACCCGTGGTTCTGGGATGTGATGTGGCATTGCCCGGTGGTGCGGTCCAAAGCGGGGATGTTGTGGGCGCGGTTCCCGTATTTGAGCTTGATTGTGCGTCCGCCGGCTGCGAGAGCGAGGAGCTGGTGGCCGAGACAGATGCCGAAGACGGGGACTTGGGAGGTCTCCATAAGGCGCTGGAGGTGGTATACGGTATCAGCGCAGTGAGTTGGGTCACCGGGGCCGTTCGAGATGAAAACACCGTCGAAGTGGTGCGCGACCTTGTGGATTGGGAAATCGAAGGGGAACACCGTGACGGATGCGCCGCGGGAGACGAGGGAGCGGAGGATGTTCTCCTTGACTCCGCAATCGATGACTGCGACGTGCATGTCGCCCTTAGGGGAGGGGACGTGGAAGGGGGCCTTGGTGGAGACGCGCTTGACGAGGTTGATTTGCTCGGGATCCACGAAGGCCTCGTCTTGGTCGGCGTCGTATTCCTCGCCGATGGTGATGCGGGCGAGGGAGGAGCCGCGCTCGCGGAGGTAGGTGACGATGGCGCGGGTGTCAACGCCGGAGATGGCGGGGACGCCTTCGCGGGCGCACCAGGCGGAGAGGGATTCAACGGCTGTCCAGTGGCTGTATTGGAGGGCGTAGTCGGCGACGACGACGCCGACGCACTGGATGTTGGGGGACTCGAAGTACTTGAGGAGTCCGTACTCGTCACGTTGGTTGGAGGGGACGCCGTAGTTCCCGATGAGGGGTTGGGTGAAGACGAGGATCTGGCCGCGGTAGGAGGGGTCCGTCATGGACTCCGGGTAGCCGACGAGGGAGGTCGTGAAGACGGCCTCGCCGGAGATGTTGGACTTGGCTCCGAAGGATTTGCCGTGAAAGACTGGGCCGTCCTGTTGTCTTCGTTAGAAAATATTCCTTTTTGTTGTCTTCTCCCCACACCGCCACTTTCAACATACCCTGATAGTGAACGTAGCCCGATCATGGGCAATCGGAGTGGCCCTTGGCCTGGTCACAGGCATGGTCCTGCCAACGGTCGGCTCGACAGTGGCCAGGAACCTAGCCTGCTGCGAAACCAAGCGGCCATTGAGCGCGATTCCCGCGCCCCTCAGGGCCTGCTTGGAAAAGCGAGCAAGCATGTCGTAGTGGAAGTTTTGTTGTTTGTAAAAGTGGTGTTATATGGTTGATCGACGATTCGTCAATTTACTGAAGCTTTCCAGATGTGATCTATCCAGTGGGTTAGCATGATGTTGCTGCGGGATGTGGCGGTTGGAGGGGGTTTGCTCGTGTGCGCACCTGAAATGTAATCCTATGACCGAGTCATTAGCCAGGGTTCCCACGAAGCCTTTTCCGACGAGAGCAGAAAGAAGAGAGAGCCAGCTAAAGAGTACGGTATAGATGAAGGAGATCCCACATCCCCGACCCTCATTGACGTGGCAGGGAAGCGGTGACTGGCGCCGCCATCCGCCACGACAACGCCGCTCGGTGAAGAAAAAGAGTGACACATACCTGCGAAGTGAAGACTGACGGGCGCGCACTCATAGACGCAACGTGAAGAAACACAGCTTAGCAGCTAATAAATTGGGGATATCATTCAAATATCCCTTATGTAAATATAATTGAGCTTTTGAATTGACAGCGGTGAAGGTTGTTGTTTTGGTGGGGAGGACTGTGTTGGATTGAGGATTGGAAGAGGAAGATGGAGGCGGGACGACGAGATCGGAACTTGGTCTCGCGTAAAAAAATGCTGGTCCCTCAGTCTTTGTATGCACAAGTACAGTAATTATGGATATCGGCAGACTATGATTGGCTGTAATTGGTTGGGGGATAAGCGGTGACGGGTCCGACGGCCGATAAAATCTAATTATTTGATTGGTTGAGGACGCTTAATTGAGAATTAAGCCGTGGTAGTGTGCTAGTCACGTGGTTGTTATTATTTCACCAAAGCCGTCGTATAATATTTTGATAATTCAGCATTATCAAAATAATATATTGTGCTGTAGATTACAGCTAAAGAAGAAACTAGAAGATTTATCATATTAATAAGGTACTTATATCACTTGTGGGTAGGTCATAAATCTCAGTTTTGAGTGCGTGTCTTGCATTGCGATGATTTCTGTCCAGTCCACTTCAGCCCTCATTGAAGCCCGTGATGGCCACATGTCGCCGGTGGTATGTTGGCGCCGTGGTCGCAAAGCCTCACGCTTCATGCAATAAGCTCTCTCTTTTCTCAACTTTCAACAACTTAGGAGGGCAAGAAAAATATGCACACAATGTTCACACCATGTTCAACTGCCCTCTTGCTGCATGTCGTGGGGTCCAAATTATGCTTGGCGTGGGTTACCCCGCCGAATATGCAGCCTTGTCCAGCATGGTTGGTTTCATCTTCCTCCTGAGCTCTTCGGTGGTCAATATCGAAGAATACAGACCATTGAGGCTATAGATCCTAGTTTCTCGTGTAGCTCTCCGCGACTGCTCACAGTCTTTTATGATGGCGTTTGGTTCGCGTTTAATTTCCAAATTTCGCCCCAAAAAGGGGGAAGTAGGTGAAAAAGACGGAGCCAAGACAGGAAATCAGCATATCTCTACCAGCTCGAATACCCAGTCAACAACGCCGCCACCGCCAGCGGTAGTACAGGCTGGCCAGAAACCGACTATAGCATCAGCGCAAGCAGACCCTATAAGTGTAGGCGAAGCTCAGGAGGAGATAACTAAATCTTTGAGAAGCAAGTATCCCTATAGTGGACTCATTCAGGGGGGTTACTAAAGATTCAGAGTCTAATTTCTTGTAGATGGCCCATTTTCTCAGGTGAATAACCCCGGCCAGTCACTGGTAAAGGCACAACGGATGCTCGAGGAATCATTCGGGAATCTACATGCTACCTTGAAAGAGAGTGCTCAATATTACGAGGGTGTCTCCGTGGGAGATGACGCCGTTAAGCAAGCCGTGGCTGTAGCTAGCAATGAGCCCTTGACATCCGCAGACTCATACAGCAGGGTCATCGCAAAAGCCTTGCTAAAGGATGAAGCTCAGCAAGACACAATATCTGGCAGGACAAGAATTTGCATGTCGAAGGTGTTCCCCGTTCTCAGTGTTGTACTCGGGGTGGTCTCGTTCTCTGCAGATGTATGTCCAAACCGTTCTGTGATTAAGAACTATCTAACATCTTCATAGGCAGCTGGCTTGTTACCGCTGAAAATTACTGCTAATGCTCTCAGTCAAGTCGTAACGGTAAGTCCCAGCCTAAGGCCTTTGATTTGAAGTTAGTCGCTGAACGAAATACAGCTAGCCTCCAATGATCATAGCAGTTCAGTGGCTGTCGTCGAAGGTCTCGAGGAATTATCAGATCATCAACAGTTTCTGAATAGCGTGAGTTCCTTAAATTTTGAATTGGACAATGGGACAGATTCCATCTTAGTGAAGGCCACCAATCTACTCGCTGCTATCACGGATTTTTTGCGGATCAGTATCCAGTTCTTACAAAGGAATTTCGTTCAAAGAGTTTGGGACCAAGTCACAACAGACCATGTGAATACAGCCATGAAGTCGTTACAAGATGCTCGCCAAAATTTTGACATGGCAGTACATGGGGCAGCGTCGGCAACTATTCTGAGAAGAGAGAATGAGGCAGTAACCCGGAAAGCGCTACACGATATGTCACCTCTGACGTTTAAGAAAACGCACGATGATGTTGTAATAAACAGGTTGGAAAATTCGGGGCAGTGGTTACTTGAACATCCAAACTTTGACAAATGGCTCCGTGGAGACATCTTAACTCTGTGGTGCCCGGGAAAAGGTAAGCAGTCATCGAAATTATATTTCTTGAACGGAGGTCTGACATATTCATGCCAGGTGGTGCTGGAAAGACATTCTTAACGTAAGTTAGGATTTCTGGCCGAACTTCATCTAGTTGACATACAGCTTACTATGAACTAGATCGGTTGTGATTGATCATGTCGACTCTTATCTTAAGAGCCAAAGAGAAACCCAACCAGACAAACGTGTTGGCCTTGTCTATCTCTACTGCAGATTTCAGAACGAAGCCGAACAAACAGTCCTTAAATTCATCCCAGCTATAATTCAGCAATTGGCTGCGCAAGATTTATCTGCAGTAAGCCAGGTTAAAAAGTTCAACGCTAAGCATGTTACACAACCAGCAACTCTAGACCAATACACTTCATTCTTGTCGGAATTGTTGGATTCGTTCTCGGCCGTATATTTAATGGTCGACGCACTAGATGAGTTTTCGAAGTCTGAATATGAGAAGAAGCTATTCGTGCAGGAGCTACTATCGCTCAGCTCTACAAGGACGACACTTCGGATTTTTATCACATCGAGACCAGATCACGATGTTGCTCAAGAGCTCGGAGGAGAGAACGTAGATATCGAGGCAAGCGAGATGGACATTCATGCGTATATTGAAAGGGCAATCAAAACAAATTCCGCCTGGAAATCATGGGTTGAAAAACGACCAGATTTGCGTACGAAGATGTTGGCAACTATACCTAAAAAAGCACGCAAAATGTGAGTTACTAGATGCGCTACGTTGCTGAAGTGTATTTCTAATATATCACTAGATTCCAGCTCGCGAAGATGCAGATAGATCATTTGGAAACAGAGTATACAGTCGAGGATGTCATCGACGCTTTAGGTTCCCTATCGGAAAATGTGAACGATTATTACAAAATGTCCATCGAAAGGATAGAAAGAATGAGCGAAGCTAGAGATAAGGATATAATCAATATCATACTCAAATGGGTATATTTTGCGAAGAGGCCTCTTCGAGTCGACGAGATATGTCACATCTTAGCCGTCAAACCCAAGAACACGTCAGCATCGAGGCTTCAGAGAATTGTGGAATCCAACGCGGGATCTTGGTTACAGACCTTCATCGATAGATCTGCCGGTCTCCTTACCATACGCGAAGAGAGTCAGATCGTATCCGTGGCGCATCCGACGGTGCAAGAGTACCTGAAAACGCTGGAGGTGACACTACTCTCAACTGCGGAGGAGGAGATATCAGATAGGTGCCTCACTTATCTGTTTCTTGATGTGTTTGCCGACGGATCTTCTTCCGAGTTAGATGACCCAATATTTGACCGGCTATCCATGTTTCCCTTTGTCGAGTACGCCTCTATATTTTGGGGTGATCATTTAAGGGGAAAGCCAGAGGAAAACACTTCTTTACAAGATCTGGCACTAGATTTTCTAAAAAATGAAAAGCTGCTGTCTAGCTCCGTGCAAATGGCGTTGGTATCTCCGGAGATCGCTAGATCAGACGGAAGGTTGGGTATAATTTCAGGGGAACAATTCTTTGGTAGAGAGGCTCCAGCTATTGTAGTTGCGGCAAAGTTTGGACTATTGGTACTAGTTAATAGACTTCTAGAGGATGGCACGAGTATTGAAGAACGGGGGGGCGGTGGCGACACAGCGCTATATCAAGCGTCCCTGATGGGACATGAACCAGTCGTCAATACGTTACTGAATAAAGGTGCGAATATTAACTCCCAGGGTGGAGACTACTCCACTCCGGCTCTTCAGGCAGCTTCACACGGAGGACACCTTACAGTAGTCAAACTGCTGCTCGAGAGGGGGGCGAATGTTAACGCTAAGAATGAATCATACCGGGAGCAGTCGACTGCACTATCCTCAGCTTCAGCTGCAGGGCACGTACAAGTTGTCATAGCGCTGCTCAATGCGGGAGCTGAGGTTAACGCTAGACGTGGCGAATCCACAAATCCGCTCCATGCCGCTGCAGCTGGAGGATACACCGCCATCGTCAAAATATTGCTCGATAAGGGAGTCGACGTAAATGCTCGAAGTAGTGATCGGCATGGCAACGCGCTTTCCGTAGCTTCAGATAGGGGACATATAGGAGTTGTAAAACTGCTACTCCAGAATAAGGCGCCGAAGGTCGAGGTGAATCCCAAGGGTGGGACTGAATATAACGCTCTTCACGCAGCTACGAGAGCAGGGCACGAGGATATTGTCAAGTTACTCATTGAGAACGGGGCAGATGTAAACGCCAAGGGCGTGCTTAATGAGGCGTCACGTCTAGGGTACATGGCTATCGTCAAGCTAATGTTACAAAACGGGGCCGATGTCAATTGTGAGAAACGTTGGGGGCCTCCGCTCCAAGCCGCCACTGGCTCAGGGCACGAGGCGATCGTCGCGCTCCTGCTCGAGAAAGGCGCCAACGTCAACGCCCCGGGGGGCGATGCCGAATCAGGCGGCAACGCGCTGCAAGCCGCATGCTATTACGGCCATGAGGCGGTCGTGCGGCTGCTACTCAAAAATGGAGCGGATGTCAACGCCCCGCGTGAGAAGTACAGGGGCGACACTAGGAATATGTTCGCACTGCAGTTCGCTGCGTCGCAGGGACACGTAGCGGTGGCGCGGTTGCTGCTGGAGGAGGGGGCGGACGTGAATGCGGAGGGCAGGCATTCGCAAACTGCGCTACGGGCGGCGGCGAAAGGGGGCCATGAAGACATGGTCAAGTTGCTGCTAAAGTGGGGAGCGACTGCGAATTTGGAGGACGAGCGTTGGAAAAAGCTAAGGGTGACTCATCGCTGGGTGGAAACTACAGTTATGGAGTCGATTTTGGATTTAATCGAATCGTATCCGCGGGATTAGGGGTTTGAGTGTTGCCTCTTTAAATAACGAAATTTATCATGCCTCACAATAAACAATTCCGGTCGTCTATTTATTTAGTCGTTACGAGGAGGCTTGCATTTACATTATCAGCTCGACATGGCCACCGAGCTTCTATAATCACACTAGCACTATTAAATAGATAGACACGTCAATGTTTCATATCATTCATTCATTTCTATCTTTGGTAAACCCACACCATAAATCCCATAAATCCCTATAAATTTCATCCCATTGTGTCCAAAACCCCTATTCCCTTCCCATATCCTCGCATAATCGAGGTAGATCGTTGTGCAGAATTTTTAACTTCCCCCCTTGGCTTCTTTTGGCCCCTTTCCCACCCTGGCTATCTAAATAAAACCAAAATGGACGTAAACAGCAAAGAAATAAATCCCAAGATCCCCCAGGAATGGCAAACACCCAAGTAATTGATCAAACCCCAGATCATTGAAGTCAAGCCAGACCCGAAACAGCCCCAAGACGCCCAAATACCCATTAATCCGTCTCCATTCCTCCTCTTTCTCCCGCCCCTTTATGTCTCAATAACAACCTTAACCACCAACCCTCCCTCCCTATCCATCGTCCGACACGCCAACTCCATCCCCTTCTGCGCGTCTCCAAGCCCTTTGATCCGATGCGTCACCATGCCATCCAGATCCGGGAACCCGCCCAGCCCTTGGGCCCTCATCCGCGCGCCACCCTCAACCACACGGATGGCCCGCTCGTATGTATTCGCGTACCTAAAGACACCAACCAAATCCACCTCCCGCAGCTGCGCCGCAGACAGCGGGAGCGTTTGGATTGGTGTACCCATGCCGACGATCACAGCCTTTCCGCCCGGGCGCGTCGCGTATAGAGATGTCTGCATGCATGCCTCCACGCCAGTGCACTCGAAGGTGTAGTCCACACCAACATCATCCATGTCATCATCTTCAGGCGCCTTCTGTGTGACGCCGATTAACTCAGCCGCTAGTGCCTTTGCAGCAGCAAGCTGTAGCGTCGTCTCCGCGTACCTCGAGATGGGCGTGCTGAGCGGCGCGGTGGAGGAGGATGCGGGTGTGGAAGTGCCGGATGAGGTAGTAGATGGGGAGAGCGAGGAGGGCGGGACGACGTAGCCGTGGGTTGCGAAGCCGTGGGCGAGAGCGTAGGCGACGCGGGGAGCGGAGAGATCGGCGATTGTCACGGTGTGGCAGCCGGACTGACGGGCCATGGCGGCGGTGAGGAGGCCGACGGTGCCGGCACCGAGGACAAGGGCTGAGGTGCCGGAGGTGACGGAGGCACGGGTTACGGCGTGGATGGCGACGGAGAGGGGTTCGAGTAGGGCGGCGGCGGCGAAGGAGACAGTGTCAGGGAGTCTGGGGGGTGTTAGGAGGGTTCTGGTGGTGAGAGTAAAGCAGGGAACTCACTTATAGCACCATCTCGCTGGGTGATTAATCCTCTCTTGCAACGTACCCTGGAAATGCGGCACGCTCTTTGCCGAACTCCTAAACCTCATCTTCTTGCACAGGTTGTACCGGCCTTCTCTGCAAACTCCGCAGTTACCACAGGGGATTCCAACCTCGAGCGCGACGCGGTCGCCGAGGGTGAAATTCTTCACATGAGAGCCTATGGCGACGACGACACCTGATGATTCATGACCAAGGGAGAGAGGAGAGCAGGCGCAGAGGTCACCGTTGGCAAACTTCTTGTAGTAGCTCACGTCGGAGCCGCAGATACCTGTGGCTTTGATGGCGATCTGGAGCTCGTCATCCTGAGGAGGTGCGATGTGGCGGGTTTCCTGAGTGTGTTAATATGGGTGGTAAGTGACGGGTATGAAGTGAGAAATAAATATAATGTGAGAATAAACTATATATGCGTCGGGTAAAGGAGAGAGGTAAGAGTAGTATAGCCTTATGTGATGAAGATGGACAGGTGAATAAACAAATGTGACAACAAAATAATATATCCCACACACACAGAATAATCAATCACACACCAAAACCTTCAACAACCAACAACAAATACAATAAACAACAGAAAAGATAAAACCCTCACGACCAACCCCAATAAAAATGGAAACAACAGAACAGAACAAGAAAGAAAGTCTTACAAGTCTAATATCCCTTGGCCCGTGCAACACAGAAGCCTGAATCGGCATTGTCACCGCCTTCGTTATCACCCTCTCTTCCACCATCGACACCGAGGACATCAAGCCCTGTGGCTCCTCAGAAGTGGCGCATGGAGCCATGGCGTTCAGCTCGTGTGGCGTGCGGGGCAAGCGAATAAAAACTTAAGCAGGCAGCCCAAAGGGGCGATTTCTGATCTGAGATCTGGTTGCGGGAGCGGGCGGGTATAATTTCTTTTTCCTGGCCTTGTTTTGCGGCGACCTCGTGGGGTAGGCGTGGGGTGTGCGTGGGGATGTGTGTGGGATGTGGGCGAGGTGAGTGTGAGAGTGGGATGGGTGTTTGGATTGGGATGGGGGGACGTGGGGAGGGTGGCCGGCTTTGTACTTTTTTTTTGCTTTTTATCTTCCGGGAAGGCAGGGGGGACGTGGAGGGAGGGAGGGAGGGGAGATGAAACGGGGGGGAGGTTCTGTTGGAATTGGAATTGGAACTGGAGCGGCGGAACGGGTAAATTGGGGGAGGGAGCTGGAGAGGAAGCAGAGCTGGGGCGTTGAGCTAGCCATTGAGGAACACGATTGGGAGTGTGGCCTAGAGGTGGGAAGGAAGTGACGGCATCAGACGCCGGGACTAGGAATGAATAGCAGGGACGATGGAGTGGTCGGGATGAAATGGTGGGGATCGGAGAGAAAATGTGAGTGCAAGCAATGCAACGAAGCGGATGCCGGTAGATAGTGGGACCTGTATACTTCCTGTCTCTCACCTCTATATGCGGCTCGTGCTGACCCAAACCCGCCAGGTGTCTGTTCAATGCCTCGATACGGCGCCACGGGTTGCCATAATGGTATCTGGCTATCCGGCAGGGTCAGGACGATCCCAAGAAAAATCGACGTAGAGAGTGTGGTACCTCTTTCTGTCTATCATGGCGCCTTCCCAGGGGGTCTCAGTTCCCTCCGCATTAGCTCCGCATTGCGCATCATCATCATAACTGTCCTATTAATCCGCCGCAAAATTCCACACCGTCGTTCGTGCGCTCCTTCGTTAAGACGGCTCGGGCATACTTGAATTCGAGCATATGCGGATCTTCGAGCTTTGGAGCTGCTGTTGTCCTGTATGTTCCTGTATGATACGTGGGCATTGCATGCACGCACACACGTCGATGGTGTGATCGGGAACAATCAATCTCCTGCTTCTTCCTCCCATGCATGAAATGAAAAGACTTACTGCACAGTACTCTACCCTATGATGGTGGCGACAGGGGCCTGTTGGTGGGTTGGGGAAGGGACAGGCATCCTCACAAGAAACTATACCTGTACAGCGACTCCACATCTGTACTGACAAGGGGTCGAGGACACGAAGAACATTCTTAAATCCAACCCGCCAGTTGGAAGACGGTGACCGCCCATGTGGTATCTTGGTATCGTCGTGCCCTCGCGCTTGTGTTTCGGGACAAGTGACCGTTCGCTGGATACACCACTTTACGGCTACTCTACGCTACTCAACTGAGGAAGCCGTTGGTGGATATATGGAAAAGAAGAGTACCGTACGGAATATCCGTAGGGTTTCTCCAGAGCTCTCTTTTCCTCCGCTGTGGTTTATTTTTCGAGGTACGAGTATCCTACCACGCTTGGTAACTAACCCAGCGATCCCCACGCGGTGAAATACCAAATTATCCCCAGACTATCAGTCCAATCTTGCGAACCGCCTCGTTCCGCGCTGCCGGCTCCCTTTCATCTCGGCTGTACTGCACAGGGAGGTATGATGGGCAGAGTAGGGTACTCGCCCATAAGGTATGGTGGGTATGCTGCACGCACGCACCTACGCCCTTCACTTCACTGCGCTGCGCTGCGATGCGCTGCACGCACTGTCTGTATGAAAGAAAGTCCATTCGGGGATGCATCTCTCTCCCCGCGGTATCTGCAAATATCTCCGTTCCCTCCCTCCCATCTGCTCGGTACCACGCGCTGCGTGTCCGGTTGATTAACAAGAGACGATGCGGGCCATCAATCTCCTGATACGAATGTTGACTAACCACTGACTCGTCGACGAGGCGTACTCAGGCCAAAGTATCGCCGGATCTCATCGGGGCGCTCAGACACACGTTACAGATCCTTCCATGGAACGAAGTACAGGGGAGCCAGGGTACATACTCTGGCACTGTAGGCATCTACCCTTACACAACGGCCAGCATGCCACGATGCGACAACGAAACTCTCCTGTACGACTTCTCAGAGCTGCATCTTGATAAGATCCAATATGACGCCATTATGTGCTCACGTTCCGTTCATCTCGTCGCTCGTTCATTGAGCTTCCGTTTCATCTTATTTCATCGTCCCCAAAGGAGCATTGTTCTCCAGAGATGGCCGTGAGGCTTGCTTACAGGAGGAGTAACACCGGGAGATCACTCACAGCCGCTCTCAAACCGCACATCCACACACCCACCCCGCGAACGGTTCCGGATGATAAGCTGCCGCCGTCCGTTTACCAGCGTTGCCACCACCAGCCACCACGAGACGGATCGGTGGATCGTCGGGAGGAGGCGTGTCCTGTTCGCTCTATCTCTCCGCCTATCTGCCCTATCTGATACGGATCGGCGCGCGCCGATCTTCTTGTCACTGTCAAACCTGCTGTCAACGAAGATTCGATGTTGCCAATCCCATGAGATATGCGACGAGATATCCCATTGATATTCCGCCCACAACAAACGGCTTTCTGCTAATCTAATCTGATACCAGTCGGACATGGAGATAGATGGAGATAGTGGGGTTGCACGAAAGGCGTGCGCCGTGCCGTAATGGGGAAGGAGTCGCACAGTAGCACCACAGTTGCTGGTACATGCCCTATTTTACTCCTCTGCTGTAGTGTGCTGCAGTGCAACTATACCTACTGCACAGCACTGAATCCAGGGGGGAACATCGCATGGTTACGATCACGTAAAACAGCCGCGAGATCTGATAGCTACTGTCTGATAGCTGATACCATATCAGCTGCCGATTGCGAGCTCGTGCAGACATGGACGGCGGAGAGTGGTCGAGAGGGATGAGCGGTGATAAGATGGATGAAAATATGGGGAAATGAGGGTTGGTGTGGGAGCGACGGCTGTTGTGTCGTGTGCTCCATTTTCTCTCAGAGCCCAGCCCTCTCCCACCCACCTCCCTCACACACACACTCTCATTTTATTCAACTGACACCTTGCGAGATATATCGATGTTGGTATCGATATCAATCTCCCAATCCCACCTGTGTAGCATCAGATCAGGATTTCGCTTCCCAACAATTCCTTTCATATCCTTCCCAACCCTTTCATATCCTTCAACGCCAACACACCAGCACACCAAGCTACAGTGAACACCTACACCATCCATCCATCCCATCCATCAAAACCCCTCTCCTTCTCATTCGGCTCAGCTCCTACCCTTTCCTCGCCAGCTTCCCCAGACCGCCACTTGGTTGATCCCCTCACACGTACAACCTCGGTTTATCAACCAACCATCCCCCCAGTCCCTCAGTCCCGATATTCAGCATTCTGGTAACCGCGGCTTTCCTCCGCATCGTTCAACCCATACGAGCCCCTGTCCACACGCACGCTCAGATCCGTAGGAAAACGGAGGGCAAGGACGATAATGCATGTACAGACGCCGCCACAATGCGCCGCGAAGCTATGATATGCGATGCGGCGTTGAACCATCGCGCGCGCGGCGCAGCATAGGTCGTGGAGTGCTGCCTGGCATCAAAATACTAAGGCGAACATGAACATGGCATTGATATCTCGTCATAGCAACGACGAGATGCTACCCATTGATCGCCCCATCCCTGTACCCCTCTGGTTTGCGAAGTTCTACATCCGCATAAGTTACGCTACGGGGACTCCGGCGCTGGGAATATGAATCCGTCCGTCTCCGGTTCTGCATCGTGATAGTCGTGGACTTATGATACGATACGGCCGTGACACAATCGGGCGTGGAAACCCCAGAAGACCGAGCCTTGCTCACCGCTCTCATATGCGAAGAAGCCTAGCTACCAGAGTCTGACCGCGTATCTCGAGCGGGGCAGCAGATCCGCCGCGATCGGAATATGCCTTGCGGTCTCGAGATACGCTCCGTGGACTCACGATGCCAACTATCTTTCCCATCTGCTTCCGGAGTTGGTTCTCACAATGTGGGAGTTTCTTGGTGGGGTCCGTCGTCCTCCAGGGCTACGCATCTGCTGCATCTCTACTACTGCCCTAACGTAACTAGTTATAACTAGCCCTACTCACCCGCCGCACACTATCAGCACCAAGCATGTCTTATAGTTTCTGTATCCTACTGACGGCGGCACGTGCAGCGAATCCCCATCGTCGACCCTGAAACGTGTCCCTCAAGATATGTCTACGGTGCACGGCGCGGAAGGTGATAATTTCTGGCGGAAAGGATGGAGGATGGAGGATGGAACTTCCAAAGCCGCCGGGGCGGTGATCCGGGTTTTGGCTATTTTCTTCAATGGCCACGTCGTCTGTCCTCTTTTCCGCTCCCATCCATCCCAATTCACCACATCTCGTACCTCCCGCCGCCGCCGGTGCTATTACCGGTCCGTCCCTCGCCCAAGTCCCCCCACCTCGACGACTAACTAGTCGGCCGCGTTTCTTCGAGCTACCCCTCCCCCCCACAAAAAAAACTTTCGAAAATTCAACGAGAAGCGGGCATGTGCGAAGATTTGAATATCCACAGCAGAGGATTGAATCGTGAGTGGTTTCTAGTCCCCTTTACTCGCCCACAGTCACACAAAGTACACAAGGCGTGTTGCCAGAGTGGTTAATGGGTATGACTAGAAATCATATGGTTTCGGCCGCGTAGGTTCAAATCCTGCACACGTCGCTTCAATACTTTATTTTTTTGTTTATAATTTTTTACCTCTTTTTATTTGTTCGAGATAAAGGTATCCGCTAGAGAAAGCAACTCTTCTTTGTTTTTTTTGCCCTACTATTGTATATACTTGGACATATTAGGAAAGCGCGGCTCAATTACCATACCAGGACTGAGGCTGTGTTCACCGGGCTGTGCATGAAAAATGTATAACTCTCCAGCATCGCCATGAATACGCTTGCTTAAGTCGCCATATCTCCCCAAACCCAACTCCTCCTCACCACTCCCTCCCAAACACAACAAGCCATGGCCTCCCTCCCCGCCGCCATCGGCCTAACTCTCTTCACCCTCCTCCGCCTCTCCCCCCTCCCCCTCGCCCTCTCCACCCTTCCCTCCCTCTACACCTTTTTCTCCGCCCCCTCCACCCCCTCCATCCTAAGCACTCCCACTTACTTCCTCGGTGTCTCCTGCGTATGTATGCCCCCCTACACCACCACCCACCCCTTCCGCTGCCGCTCAAAAAAAGAGGGGGGGAAGAAAAGTTAACACCCCGATTAGCTTGTTATAGGTACTTCTAGTGATTTGATCACGCTCATCGCTCTTCTGAGGAGGAAACCGAATTTTGATATTTTGCTCAACCTTTCGCCCCTCGTTCTGTTCAGCGCATCTCGTGTTCTCTTTTCTTACACACCCGCGGCGCTGGAGGGACAACCACCCCCCCAGGCCCCCCGCGGCTGTATCATCTTACTCAACGTCATCGTGTAAGGCCCCCCAATACCCACCGCCGACCTAGAGATAGTGGATCGGCTAACCAGCGGCGGCTGTATGTAGGATATTCCACGCCCTTCTATCTACGTTTACGATTCAGGGGTATGTGGATGGGCGGAGGATGAGGAGGGAGAGTTGGGCGGAGGGGGAGTTTTGAGGGGGGTGGGATGTGAGGAAGGGGGTGGAGGGGGATGAGGAAGGAGGAAGGAGGGGGGTAGGGGGATAGGGGCGGCGACGGGGGGGGTGGGTGAGGGACGGGCTGAGGAGGGGAGGTGTTGAAATGGTGAATACATTCACCTTGGGCAGTTCTGTATAATAAGATAGAGAGAGGGAGGGTAATAGTAATTATATACCCCCTGTATTTCTAGCTAAGATTCTCGGTTTATATTAATATTTTTCTAGCTATAATCAAAGTCAGTAGCCTGTATAATAGAGTTATGATGATAATCAGATCTCTAAGTGGGTATATTAATCAAAAGACTTTATTTATTTGCTATAATAAAATCCTGCTGATGGAAGTTTATTCGTAATTGCTATAAATTTATAAACTTCTGATAAAATCCTGGAAAAGGTTTTTTTATTCACATCTGTGCTAGAATGCTTCGAAGGTTGACAGAGTCGCTATGTATGCGCCGAGATAGGTAAGAGTGATGCGTAACTCAGTCACAAGCATTTGTAGATCAAGCATCTCTGCAAAGTAGTAGGAGCGAGAGAGAGAGAGTAATAGTAATTCCATACCCACCCCCCCGCCGTCTCTCTAACTAAGATTTCTCGATTCATATCAATCATGCATGCGCGCTTGTATAGTACTATGTAATCTAAACCCAACGCAAACCCAATCCCAACACGCCCATTCAACCCATCCAATCCATGCCCGAAAACGCAATGCATCGCGGCGCTCTTATAAACGTGAACATGCTGCCCCCCCCTTCTCTCTCTCCCCCTTCAAATCCAACTCCCCTCTTTCAAATCCAACTTCAACTCCTACCACCTATCCGGCCCAAACCTCCCCCCCTCCTCCACCCCCAACCAACTACAAGCCCTCCAATCACACCCCCTCTTATAAACCTCCGTCCCCCACCACCCCCACCCCTCCGCCCACCCCGGATACAGCACCCCAAAGAAGATAACCACCACCCCAAACGCCAGTCCCGAATCGAGGGCCGCACTAAGCGTCATCGTGTATTTCGCCCACCACTCCGGCGCACTCCTCCTGATCCTATAATTAAAGATATAACACACCACCGCCCACACCGAGAAATTGAGACCAGTGGCGGGTGGGATCCAGGAGAGCGACCCGAAGAGCACGGGAAGGTTGATGTGTCGCACGATGCTGGATTTGAGGTGTCGACTGTACCACCACAAAGGGAGGGGAGCGATGGCGCCGATGAGGAAACACCATACTAAGGGCCGGTAAGTGGCGTTTGGGCCGAAGAATTCGCCGGGCCCGACGACACCCCAAAGTATAGAGCCGTTGAAGTGGACCCGCGCTAGGGGGCAGGAGAATCCATTCACAGCCTCGGTAGTACAAATCCCCTTCACATTAGCAAACATCCAATTCAACACACTAATCTGCGTCAAACTGCTAACCAACGTCGCCGCCATCTGTACCGAAAACAGCAATCGTGGTGGGATCTTCATATAATGCCCTAGCTTTAGGTCGGAGGAGAATTTGATGCCTTGCGCGGAGCAGATGTAGCCGTAGGTCACGAAGACCATGTTTGCAACGGGACGGCCGGGGAAGAGGGCGCCGCAGGCGAGTTGGTTGATGAGGTAGGTGGAGGAGTGTTGGTTGGTTATTGCGGCGACGATGCCGGTGGGGATGAAGAGGAGGGCGCAGAGGGAGAGGGCGAGGAGGAGGCCGTACCAGGGGAGGTGGACTGGGTAGCTTTTGGGGTGTTAGTTGTGTTTTTACATCGAAACATCTTCAAATCAAAAGGAAGAGGGTAAGTGAAGTAAGAAGGAAACGGAAACGTACTACTCCACCACAAAAATCCCAATAGCAGTCATGCTCACAAACGTCGCCAAATACCACCACATCGGCGCATCATTATACCTCCTCATCAACCGATTATGCACATCCTCCTGATTCAACGTATCCTCCACCCCCGGCTCAATACTAACTCTCCTCCCCCTCCTCCCGCGTCTCCCCCTCGGCAACGGCGCCCCGGGTACGGCTTCATACCCAATCTTTGCTTGTCCCCTCACCTCCTCCAAAGAGTTTCTCCACTGCCTCACGATATCGCGACCATGCCAGCAGGCTGTGTGGGTGAGTAGGGACGCGAGAGCGGCGAATTGCAAGCCGTAGCTGAGGATGTAGGTTATAGGCATGAAGACGCGGGAGTAGGATTCGTATGCTGCGCGATCGAAGAGGAAGTCTGGTGTGAGGATGCGAGCGACGTCGTAGACTTTGCCGGTGTTGTCGAAGACGGCGGAGGAGAGGATGGGCATGTATGCTGAGTAGAAGACGTTGTTGTAATAGCAGATAGGCGCTATGATCCACATAACCACCACCAGACCACCGACGACATTCATAGCTGCCCAGAACGGCGTGGTCAAGGGGGATCCGATGTAAGCGATCTGCGCCCAATCGAAGGTTACGGGAAACAGTCCCAGGCCCGAGGAGACACCGAAGAGGTTAGCGACGACGACGTTGTCGGGCCAGAACCAGGTGATGACGCTGAAGTAGCTGAGGGCGGGCATGAGGAGGCCGGGGAGGAAGTAGAATGCGAATGCGGAGAGCCAGACTACGAAGAAGAATTTCCATCGCGAGATGGTCCAGCCGTTCGCGATGCTGTTTTCTTCTTTGTGCAGGGTTGTGAACATGGCTGCTGGCATTAGGGTGCCGGGCCAGATCATGCCGCCGGGGCGGACGAGGAAGCGTCGGGAGAGGCCGGCGAAGGCGTAGCCGAGGATTTGGGTGGAGAGGATGAGGAGGACTTGGTACGTGATTGTGACGGGCTGGTTGTAGAAGTGCGTTTGCTCGACGATCACGTCAGTGGCGAAGGCGAATCCGAAGGAGACGTTGCTGGCGATGTAGACGCAGCTGTGCTCCTTTCCGTTCCAGCGGCCTTGGGCGAGCCAAAGACGTAGCCGGTGCCGCCGAGATTCTTTGCCTTCTAGAGTCGACGACGACGTCGACCGCTGCGAGTCGTCCGCGCTGTCGGTGTCGAGGGTAGTATCGTCGGACGAGGGCGACATGGATCTGTAACCTTCTATATATATGACTTCCGGGTCACCTGGTCGCTTGAGAAACGTGTCCCACATCAGACCCAGCGGGTGGACGAGCAGGAGCGCAATGACGGGCGTAATGGAAACGCTGGGGTATCTAAGAGAAAAAAAGAGATTTGTGGCCGATCCCATTATTGCAAACAGCATCGAGAGCGTCCACATGCGCGGCGTGTTGATCGACAGCGACAGATCGTCCAGCGCTGACACCGAAGCCCTCACTTGCGAGTACCTCGAGTTATCCGGGGGATCCTCGTCGTTGAAGAGATCATCTGGGTCGGTGTCCTCGTCAAGTCCATCTTTCGACGAATGGTCCGATCCCGGCGAGACGGGCAGCTTCCCAACCCCAAACCGACTCTCCATCCCAAAGCCCTCCACGCCCTCCATAGCCGCCGTGCTCGCCACGAGGGAAATACTCGGTCTCCTCGTCGACGTCGGACTCGGCGCAGCTCCACTGCCCTCCGCACCCCCACCAGCATCACTGCCACTTGCCCTCCTCCTCCGCCGCCGCGAGGAGCTCACTGTATGTCTGCTCGCGGCCTTTTTGTTTCTCCGCCGCAAGACCTCCTCCTCGCCCTCGTCCTCATCCGTCGAGTGTCCCACGGGCGCAGCTCCATACGACCCCGTCCCCATCCCCGGACTGGTCCGGAGCAGCAGCGGCGCCTTCGACATCCGCGGGCTCTCGCTCGATGTGGTCTCTAGATCTGTTGTTGTGCGCCGTTCCGCATCGTCTGGCGGGGCTGTAGTGAGTCGTGTGCGCTCGTCTGAGTCGTCGTCGTCGGCGGGGATGTCGTTGTGGTGGTCGTCTTCGTTGTCGTCGGCGTCGGTACTGGGGGAGATGGTGTCGAGAGAGTAGGATAATCCGTCGTCGGGACCATGGACGTTAAGCCGAGCAGCACCATTCCCATTCTTCGCGGTCCGGTGAGGGATGGGGTAGGTGGTGCGAGATGTCATATGCAGCTAGGCTGGTGGTGCAACATGACCAGCCTGATGGGGCCCGCTGGGGATTAAGAGAGTGGGGAATAGCCCCCGAGGCGAGGCGGTGCGAGGCGCTGGAGAGGGGAGCTGAAGTGTGAGACTGGGGGTCTTTTATTTGCTTTTTTGGGGGCCAGTAATGGGGACCCAGTAATGCAGGTTGCGGTTGTGTTATGCCGAAGAGGGTAGTGATGGTCGTTGGTGTTTCTTGTGCTCTGGTGTCACTGGGAAGAGATGCGATGCGATGCGATATGACCGTGTATAAAGTCTGTACTCTCTGTGTCTCTCTGTATGCAGATGCAGATGTATAATGTGGAATGGGGGAGGTGGTAGGGTCTACCTAGTAGCTGCAGGATTGTGCAGCTATAGGATCTGTATATTCTGTATATATGTGTAATGTGTGTGTATGTGTATATGTACGTGGGGGGTAATGCAAGTTGTATGTATGTAAGAGGGGTAGTATAGTGGGAAAGCGGGAATGATGATGATGATGCTTGGTAGTTGATGTGTTGATCAATCTTTCTTATCAGATGATCAGATTTGCAGCTTTCAGTAGGTGGGTGAGTGACGGTGATGGCATAGAACCCTTACAAAAGATCTGTATAGTAACCCTACTTTACTACTTTTACCCTTCATAAAACCTTAGCGTCGGGGATCACGGGATCTCGCAGGGAAGGTGTGGAAAATAGTGGGTGTCTACCAGGTGTCGGCCAATTAAATCTCCGAATGTTCCGCCAGTTCCGCCAGTTCCGCCGTCCCCCGACGATGACTGTCCGCTGTCTCCGCTGTCGTACATGCATTATGAGTCTTGGCATTCCTTGAGGCGTGTAATACTATTTCCGGGTCTTCACCGTCTTATTGCTCTGTTGCTCCCAACAGAATTCCTTGATCATATCTGATTGATCTTGCTAGCTGCCTGTCTTCAGCTTCGAACGAGCATCACCTGATATTTCCAGTCCATACAGCATACAGCATACAGCATATAAATATATCATAATATATATCCAGTCTCACAACGCAAATAATCGCTCATACACTCACTCACTCTTTCACTAATAAAATACCTCACCACCAAACAAATAATCCCCCAACACACCATCTCTCTCCCAGAAACCAGACATAACAATCCCAGGTGCGGCGACACGGTGATCACGTGAGATGTACTGCAAACCGTAAACAGGAGGTTGTGCCACCACACATCGCCGGATCAAGTGCCGAGAGAGGTTGTAGCTGCTGATGTTGGCCATGTCTGACGAGACCTGCGTCTGCATTGCGTCTACAGATGATGTTGTGTTGTGAGGCTGATGCTACTGTAATCTTAATGCGAGATTGATGAGCTGTGGAGTTGGGCGTGGGAGATAAGATAAAATCACGTGATATCAGATATGTATATCACGTGTCTAAACCTAGAGTCACGGGTTACGTAGGGACTGGCTGGTCAGTCTCCATCAATTGTAAGCCACGTGCGAGATTCTCAAAATGCATCGCGGGTTAAGAGACGCCTAGATATAATCGGTAATCGTGACTTCCCATTCCTGGCTATCTCCTTGGCCCCTGACTGGTATCTCATAGTAAAGATTCAATGCATACATCTTCGACCTAACAACCGCATATACTATACTATTTAGTCATTAATATACCACGAGAGGCACTGCCGTTTAGCCCCCCCCATCTCAATCTCCCAAAAACATCATATAACATGAGAAGCACTGCCATTTACTCCCCCCCTTTCAATCTCCCAAAAAAATCATATACACATAAAACATCCAAACGTGAGAAGCGCACCCCCCGTCACTCACCCCCTTCCTTCCCTCCCTCTCCCCCTCCCCCCCCCTTTTTACTTCCCTGCCGCCGGATCAGGGCATCCCCGCCACCAAATTCGCGTACTTACTCTTCGGATAACTCAACAAATTCTGGCTCTTCTCCAGCGCCCCAAAGCTACCCGCAAACGTCCCAATCAGACTCTGATCCCCCGCCTTATCCGCGCTCGTCTCCCAATACATCGCCCCCCCCAACCCCTTACTCTTCACATACGCCGCCTTCGTCTTCGCATCATCGACCGTATCAAAGGTGATCAACTCCTTCGTCGCAGGATCATACGAGTACCTTGCCTTGGCATCGTTGTCGACCTGGACAGTGGCGCCGGCCTTGGGAAGGGCTTTGTAATCCCACACGCCGTTCTCCCAGCTCCCCGAGCCAACGCCGCTGAAATTCTTGCCCATCCCATCCGTGGCTGCGAACGAGCGGCCGTAGAGAGGGACGCCGATGACGAGTTTTGCGGCAGGGACGCCGGCGGCGATGTAGTCCGTGACGGCCTTGTCGATCGAGAAGGGCGTGCTATCCGGGATCGTCTTGCTGGGATAGAGATTCGCATCGTGTCCCGTGACGGTGCTCCAGGAGCCGGCAAAGTCGTAGGTCATGACATGCCAGGCGTCGAGGTAGGCGTCCATATCCTTCATTTTGAGGATGTTATACTTATCCGGCCCGGCGGGCGCGGCGATGGTAAGTTGGAATTTATACCCCTTCGCGTTATCATTGGCGTAGGCGTCGAGCGCCGCCCTGACCGCTTTGAGGAGGAGGACGTAGTTCTGGGCCTCGGTGTCGTTGGCGGGGTACTCCCAGTCGATGTCTAGCCCATCGAAGCCGAGGTCCTTGACGAACTCGACGGCGGTGGAGGCGAAGAGGGCGCGGGTGGTGGGGGTGGCGGCTGCGGCGGCGAAGTTGGAGGAGTAGGTCCACCCGCCGATGCTGAGGAGGACTTTCATGGTGCGGTTCTTCTTCTTGAGGAGGTAGAGCTGCTTGGCGCAGCCGTAGAGGTTGGTGCCGGTTTCGTTCCAGGAGTCGGCGGGGTAGTGCTTTTCCAGGTCTGAGTAGGTGTCTGAGAGGAAGCTTGGAGGGGGGTTAGTTGGGGTTGTGATGCAAGGGGTGGGAGGGGGGACGAACACAGTGCCATCAGCCCTGAGGTTGGCGAAGGCGTAGAGGACGTGGGTTAGCTGCGCCGCCTGGATCTGGTCTGGTTGGAAGTTGCGTCCATAGATGGCCCTGTGATGTGTTAGTTGAGGAAAAGGGGTATTGTGGCGTAGACAAAGACTCACCAGTTGACAAAGTATCCCGCATTCTTATACGCAACAGCCTCAGCCGGCACCGTATCAGTATCACCAGCCTTCACCACCGTCGTCGCATCCGTCTTCCCACCGGCCGCCGTCGGCGGCGTCGGCGTCTTCTTCCCCCTCCACCCCGTAACCGCAGCCCAAGCCGCCTTAAATGGACCACCAATCGTCATCATCGTTACCACCAGTGAATCAGAATCCAAGAAGAAGAAGAAGAAAATATAGATAAGAGAAAACCAATATGATAAACCTGTGAAAATCCCATCAAAGTCTTTGTGTTTGTAAGTAGTTTATAGAAACAGCAAACTCCCCGTTCAAGAGAGCACAAACACCTCTCTCTTATATGCCATAAATCCCCCGTTCACACAACCCTCCACACCTCATCAGCCTTCCTTCCTGCACATCAACACCCCGTGTCCCATGATTACCTCCATGACGTCCCCCCCACCCCGCACACTCGCGTCGCACCTGCATTGTCATCCACTCTTCCCCCTCCTTCCCCCCTGCCTCCACTCCCACCCCCCACTACCACCACTCCCTCCCCCTGCACCACCACCCCAAACCGCCCCCCTCACGCACCTCCCCTCCCAAGCCTGCCCAGAGCTGCCACCATCGATCGAAATGCGCACGAGCATCCCCCCCGATCGAGCTGATCGCCCACCTCGCGCCGCCCGATCGGGTGACATACTCCCAGAGGTGGACACTTGATAGGTCGGCCCGGCCGCAGGGGTGCGTGGTGCGTGTGGCGTGCGCGCGCGCTGTAGAGCGGACGCGGGATACGACGCTGTGGATTGCGGTGTAGGGCTGTTAAGGCAAGGGGGGGAGAGGGGGTGGGGAAGGGGGCGTGGCTGGATGGATGGGCTACTCTATCTATCCCAGCGCCAGGACTAGGTTCGGGCGAAACCTTATTAGCACGCCAGGTGGTTGTTGTTTCGCACACATGTTGTGTGTTTTTCGGGGGATAATGAAATGTTAATGTTGTGGTGTGTGAAACGAGGGTTTGGTGTGTGTGGGTGAGAACTGTCATGGAAAAAGGGGGGGGGAGGGGGGATTCCGAGACCTGAAGATTTTTTGGTGGAGGGGGTTATGTGTATGGAGGTTACTGTTACCTTGAGTCGTGTGTGCGGGAAGTTGGGTGTCACGGTGAGGATTGAGGGGAGTCAGATGGACAGGATACATGCGACGTGCTTCGGCGATGTCTCAGTCTGCCCCAACCTCGTAGATTTCTGACGTCACGGCCATCGCGACAGTAATCTCGCCTATCTATTTGAATGAAAGACACAATATTCTTGGGCGCAATGTTTTATGGGCTACGGAAAGTACACGAGAAGAAGGAAATTGAGGCGTTTTCCAGAAGTCGTTGGCGTGGTTGTGGTGGAAGGGGTCATAAATGCGGCGTAGATGACGAGTTTCTCCTCAAACATTGGGATTCTGCCGCGGAATGGGGGGTTTGAGACAACCACCTGTCCCATTGTCTATTGTGCGCGGTGATTTACAAGCCAATGAATATATCATCGTGCTCAGCATCATTTCTCTTGGGGCGAGGGCACATGCGTTCTCGGTAGGATTTGTTCCCGGTCGGATTTTCTCATCTCGCCGAAAGAACGGGCTTATGAGATGTCATACACGCCAAAGAAAGACAATGATCGCTGACTTCGCCATCCATAATAACACAAATAGAATCCTCTAGCTGACACCCCAAATCCCCAGCGGATCGCTCGCCCCGGGTGTTTTCGCCCTCTCGCTCTGGAGTCTCCTCACTCTCTTAACCAGAGTCCCAACCCCCAACGGCCCGATAATAGTACATAACACAATAGCCCAAGTGACCACCAGATATATCTCCGAGCTACCATTGCTTGGTCTCGAAGATGAGGCAAAGAGGCCGGTCGTCTCAGCTATAGAGGCAATGAGGAAGCCGATCTCTCCACGAGCTGTCATGGCTGTGCCGAGCATTGCTGCTGGGTAGAGGGAACGTGGGTTCCTGGGCTTGGTAAGAGTCTCTGTGGAGCGTACGGAGCTTGGTTCAGTCCTCTGATTTTTGGCCGTGGTGTTTTCCTCCGTGGGAGGCCGTACTGAAGCGTCGCCTTGAGGTTGCAATTCGTGAGTATCAGGAGCACCTGCAGTACTACCCACCTCTTTTTTGGCTTTTCCACCCCCAAATATAGAAGAGCGCACGCCCATGGGAATCACCTTCATTAAAGAAATATCCAGGCGTACCAGCCATAAGCCCGTGACGAGTTTAGCGAAGAGCATAAGGATTGTATAGACAATACCTCGCCAGACGACTGAACCGCTGAACATATCTGTAACTGGAATAGCGAAACCAATCGAAGCCGTTGGTTCTGTTTAGCTTTGAATGATAAAGAAAGTATGGGAAAGTGACCTACGAAGAAGAACGGTTGTAGAATCCGTTGAACCGCTATCGCATAGTATCTGTGGTATACAGAAATGCCACTGCTTGCGATTGACTCACTCTGCTCTTTGGGGGTGGTCTCCCTAGCAGTTGCCTCACCTTCCATACTAGGGCCTACCTCATCCCTCGAAGACGGATTTGGCGACCCTGTACTACCAGCGGAGGTTCCGTGCTCAACCGGCGAACTTGGGGAATCGTGTGAACAGCCCACTTTGGCCGAATCCAGATGCGGAACTTCACTATCCCACCAACTAATCGACGCTCCAGCCAGGTAAGCAGCAAAGAGATTGGAAGTACCAGCATAAGTAGCGCCAGTAGCGAGCGCTGCCAGCACCAGTGTGTGAATAATAAATGCGGTATGCGTCGCCTGGCATAGCTTGTTTAAAGCACCATTCGGACTGGATTTTCTTGCTCCGTTAAGCCATGTCGTTAGAGGTTGGGCAACCAATCGACAAGCCAGAGGAACAACAATCGCCAAACCAAAAGACACGGCAAGAGGGCGAACAACCGTAACGGCGCCGAATGACTCTGAGTTCTCTCCAATATTGGAGATCACCTGAACCATGACCAGGCCAACGACATCATCCATCATTGCCGCACTGCTCAGGACCGTGCCAAGCCGAGTGGTTGATAACCCACTGGCATTGAGAATAGTGAACGTTGTTCCTAGGCTGGTTGAGCAGAGCGCAGCCCCAGCCGCGAAAGCTTGTATGGGCGTTGTGTCAACGACTGATTGCAGCACAAAGGAAAGAGCTATGGGAAAGCCAATCCCAGTTATTGCTACTGCAACAGAGAGAGAAAAGTTTGCCTTGATGGAACGGAAATTCGTATCCAGGCCGCCTGCAAGTGTTAATTGGAGCTGACTTTCACATACAGCTGGGGATTTTCACCTTGATAGACTAAGAGGATCAATCCCAGGTACCCCAGCTGGACGATCACATTCTCAACTTCCTGACCAAGCCATTTCGCACCAGGAGTCCCCCATGCTACGCCAATAAATACCTGGCCAAGCAGACCGCAAAAGATCAACTTGTCGAAGAGAGTATTGACGACATTGAGGATGAGAATAAACGATGATTGGATGAGGATAGTCACAATACCCGGCTCGTGATATGGGAGGAAAGATGTGACTTCTGCAGTCATTGTTTCCCCATGAGCCAAGGACCAAGATGCCCAGATTCCCAGAATAGCCAGAGTAGGAAGTCACGATATATCCAGTTAGTCACCTGACGGTGAAGCATTTCGAGATCATGCACGTGGTCTGGAATCGTGCACGTGCCGTTAATGGTCATCCACAATAAATCACGTGGCTTCACGTGGCTTCACGTGGCTTGTATGTCAAATCTGACACTGGTCCAGACCCAGATAAGCAATCCCCGCGTTACTGTAAGCGGATATTGACGACATTAGCCTGCGGTGCCAATCTCAGTCTGGACCCAAATCTCACGACCACCTCACCTCACAAGACAAGAATCTCTCCTGTCTACTCTACTCACGCGTCAAGAACAAAAAAGTCACATCTCTCTGTCACCAATGCAGACCACAGACATGGCCTAAAACACCACTGTTCACCAGCAATCCCACTCTGAACTCCAGATCCACCCCAAGGGTCCAGAAACAACCCGCGACCACCACCGCATCCACCTCAACCACCCACCACCACAACCTCACAATCCACACACCCTCACAATGTCCTTCCCCGCCTTCGGCGCCTTCCTCCTCGCCCTCCTGGCAATAATTCTCATCTCCGCCATCGCCTGGATCATCTTCATCCACCTCCGCGCGCGCCGTCTTGGCCTCCCCACCCCAACACTAACCTCCTACAACCCCTTCGCCTCGCGCTCCTCCTACACCCCGCAAGCGCGCACCGGCGGTCTAATTGGGTGGATCTCCGATAAATTCCGGAACATCCGCGCGCGCCGCTCGCGCACCGCAGGGGGCGCATACGAGGAGCCTCTTGGTGCTTACGGCGGCGGCGGCGGCGCTGGGGGAGGCGGAGCGAGAAGCGGGTTTGGGGCCTTAGATCCGGATGAGGCGTGGGATGCGAGGGTGGGGAATGAGGCGGATTATTATAGGGAGGAGCAGGAGGTGGGGTTGCATGCTGAGACGGGGTATGGTGGTGCTGGGGGAGAGGAGAGGGGAAGGACGAGGGGGAGGAGGGGAGACGAGGGGCCGTATGGAGGGGAGCAGGGGGAGTTGGATAGGAGGTATGAGGAGGAGATGGCGGGGCAGCAGACGGGGGTGACGAAGAAGAGTGAGAGTCGGAATCCGTTTGATGATAGTGCGGCGGTGGGGACGAGTTTGAGAGGCGTTAGTCCGAGGCCGGATAAGAGCGGGGAGAATGAAGGGTTGGGGGGGGATCCGGACAGTCCGACGGGGAAGAGGAGTTCGTTTAGGGAGGTGATGTAGGATTTTTACGGTGGATTGGGGGGGCTTCATTGCTTGGCGTTGGTTTGGTGTGGAACTATGGGCAAAACGGGGTATGGCTGGATGGGAAAGGCTATGGTTTTATTCTGATTGATGGGGAGCAGTGGTCTTTAGGTGATGATAAATAGCGGAGTCAAGGTGCTGGTAATGGACTTCTGGCTTGGCTATGGCTTTATGATGTCTCTTTTCTAGCATCTACTCATTGCCGCGGAGTGGGACAGTAGTGTCTTCTACTTCCCAATCAAACATTATCACATTACACATAGGCACATCACAATCCACAAACATCAATCAAAGTATTCAATCCAAAATAATATTCCCCCCATCCATCTCCACCCCTCTACCTCGCACTCCTCAAAAACCCCACCACCCCCCCACAATACCCCACCAACTCCGCCACCCTCCTCCCCTCCCTCCCCTGCTCCTCCCTCCACTCCGCCAACACCCCCCTCACCTCCTCATCCCCCAACGCCTCAGCATGCACCTTCAAGAAAACCCCCATCCAAGCCTGCACAAGCTCATAATCCCTCCTCTGCCCCAGCCGCGCCGTCAACGCCCTCACAAACGCAACTAACTCCTCCGGCCTCGCCCCCGGCGCCGGCGCAAGCGCTCGGATCGCCAAGTCCGCCGCAGATGGGGATAGAGTAGAGAGGTGCTCTACGAAGGGTGTGAAATCCCCACTATCCGCACCGCGACGCAAAGTCACGGCGAAGACATCTTGCTCCGCACCACTCACCTGCTCTAGACGCGTAATCCTGCTCTCTGGCTCGGTAGGCGTATCCACCGCCCCAGCAACGAGTGATGACGAAGGACGTCCGCCTTCGAGACTAGGGAGGAAGAAAGGTGCTTTCTCGGGCGCTTTGGGGGCTTCGGTGGGCTTGTTGCGGGCGCGGATTAGGTCGAGGTGGAGGAGGGTTTGCCAGCGCGATTTAGGAACCATGCTCAGCGTCAACATATCAGCTGATAGCTGGTCGAGCATCGCAGCCGCGGGCGCAGCGTCTCCATCCTCGGATTCTTCTGCGAGCGCGGCGTCAATCAGACCAGCGCCTCCTTCGCCCGAAGCGGTAGGTGCAGCGACGTCGACGATTTCATTCTCGGAGATGTGGCGCGTAGGTGCGTGAGTGAAGAGGGTCTTGTTATTCCATATATTCACGCCCAACTCGCCCTCACACGCCGTAGCGAGGAACTCGCCCGTCCCTGAGAAAGCGAGGGCAGTGCAAGCGCTGCGGAGACGGATAGCGTCGATGAGGTGACCTGTCGGGAGGTCCCACACGCGGAGAACGGCGTCGCGCGAGGCGGCGAGGATCCAGCGCCCGTCGGGGGAGAAAGTGACGTCTGTGATGGCGGCCTGGGAGCCCCAGAGCTCACGGATGGTCTTCTTGGTTTCGGTGTCCACGATGCGGATGCAGCCGTCGTCGCAGGTGGCGGCGACGAGGTCGGAGGCCGCGTGGTAGTGGAGCGCGGTGATGCGGGTCATGGGCGCCCAGTCGATTTCGTCGACTTGGTGGCCAGTGTTGAAGTCCCAGAACTTGAGCTTGCCGTCCAGACTACTGGAGATGACGTTCTTGTTGAGGGAGTCGACGATTATGCCGGTTACGGTGGCGGTGTGGCGTCCTAGGCCCATGGGGAAGCGCTTTCCGGTTGGGATTGCGATTGTTCCGTCTTTCTCGCCCATCTGTTGCAGTTTCCACTTCTTCGCTTGTGCCTGGGTCAGCTTAGCTGGGAAGCGCTGGCGATGCTGTCCGGATTGGAGATTGAATTTGTCAATTCCTCCCGCTTCGGAGCCGATCATGGCGAAGGTGCCGCAAGGGCTGATAGCAACACTGCTAACATTTGCGCCATCGCCGGTCTCAAATGCCCATCTTCCAGCTTTCTTCCTGCCCCAGAACCAAGTACGCGCATACTTGTCATCGTGGTGACCAGTCACCACACTCTCCCAACCCGTAGTACCACTCTGTGTCGCGTCTCCGGGGAACTTCGCGCGCTGGTGGCTCTTCTGCCATATACCGCCTGAACCAGCATGTGCGCCCATTCCACCATCGCGGTTGAGCGACGACGCAATGCATGTGATTTCTGGTGCCTTCAGGTCTTCAAGCGTGGTGCTCGGCTCATTAGCCAGGGTGCTGCTGGCAAGGATCCCAAGCTTCTTAGCCTTCTTTCTGATATTACCCTGACTGAGCTCCGTGCTCTGTCCATCGCGGCGCAAACTCCAGCCCCACAAGCTGCGGTCTTTGCCAGCACTGAGCAGCCACTTTCCTTTGGCGTCAGCTCCGTCGGCTTCAGATGGGAGGAATTGGAGGCGCGTGACTGGAGCGGCGTGTCCGCTGCGAGAGTGTAGGATGCGGGGAATGGCGGAGTATGGTGTTTCGTCGAAGATCCAGGATTTCAGGGAGTTGTCGAGACCGCTGGTGATAACGACGCTTTGGCCGGCAAGGAATTCAACCTTGTTGATTCCTCCTCCAACTAAAGAATCGGCATCTGCGACGGGAGGGTTGTGGGCCCCGCGAAGGACTCCCATCACCTTACCACCGTTGTTCAGGTCCCAGAATGTGACATCTCCAGTGTCTGGGCCAGCAGTCGCCATAACTCCAGCTTCTCGTCCCTCTTCGCCAGCGCCAAGCCCGTCGGTTCGGAATGAGATAGAAGTAACCAAGCTCTTCGATTCCAGTAAAATTATAGTCTTGTCTGTTCGGACATCGTGGATGACGAGGGGACCATTCGAGTAGGCAACTGCCATAAGGGACAGTGCTGGAGTAGGCTGCATTGCGGTAATCGAGCCGCAGTTCGGCAGTGGAGGGAGGATTGTGTAGATGTGCTTTCCGCTGCTGACGTTGAAAATATCAATGCTGCCGTCTTTCCGCGCCGCAAAGATTTTGTTCAGGTATGTCGGCATGTTGGAGATGCTGGTGAGCTCGTTCCCGCCCTTTCCAGATCCGGGGGTTGTGTGAATCGAGGTGTAATGTTCGAGGGTTGCTGACTTCCAGACCTCGATCCTCGTCGCGCAGCAGGCAACAATCCAGGTCCCGAAGATGAGGACCTGCTTGATGGGCTGGGTCAAGTCTTGTGGGATCGCGAACTCGTCAACCTTCTTGCCTCTCTTGAAACTCCACAGCCCCGGCTGGGTGCCGTTTGCGCCGCCCCAGGCCGCAAAGACCTTGTCCTTCCATGCCAGCGTCGCAGTAATATTTTCGGGAGTCTGCGGTCTCGTGAGGAAAACAAGGTTCAGTCCGCGCTTCAAGTCGTAGGTTTGCAGACAGCGTCCGACGGATGTGGTGATTTGGAAGGACGTCTTTCCGAGTGGGATCGAAGTAAAGGGCACCGCGGTAGATGATACTAGGCCGACAGTCTATAAAAAATATTAGAACATCAAATTTTCCCTCACAATCGCAGATCAACATACTCTAAAAGGTGTGAAGATGCGCGACTGTCGAGCCTGCTCTCCCCCGGCCGCGACATTGCTCTGCAGCTTCTGCCTCTTCACAATTGGCCCCTCGGCGTTATTTGAGGCGACAGTTGAAGGCATGGCTGTCAGATTCAGAGATATATAGTCAATATATATCCAAAACTGCCTCCTCTACCTCGTTTTGCCTTTTTTTTACAGTCGTCGTCGAGTTAAGCAGCGACCTGCAGGTATATTTCTTTTTCCCAATCGTAAAAGCTAGGCGAAACTTTTCCCCATATACTTTGGTACGTACCCCGATTATCCTCTGTCAATTGTCCAGGCCCTGGCTACGCGAGATTCTATTGGCTGGTTGTTGGCTCGTGGCTGCTGAGGAATGCCAAGCCCTTGCGTTATCGGTGAACGTGGTACCTGTCACTCTGCCCTCGCTCTTTTTCACCGAGGTTCTGGCAAGATTTCATGTCTTTTGGGTATTTGGTGATAGCCTCATTCTTACTTATTCCATCTATAACTGTTCACGACTATATTTCGTCGCATTTACTCGTCGTTTGGCCCATTTCCATCCACCTCTTGGCGGTGTCTCGAGATTCTGGCGGGGGAGGCGAGTGACTGTGCGAGGACGTCATATTGATAAGAGACTTGGATCGTCTCTGGGCACATGCTCTTTTTTTTTCATCTATTTAACTCTCCTGCTGGCCGCAATTGAGAGGATTTCTCTATCTTCGGCTCTTTGCTCTATACAAATTATCTAAATTCCCAATTGACCCCAGCATTTATTCCAGGATTTACAAACAGAAACAGAGACCCCGACCCTTCATGATTTATTAGGTGGCGAAGGACCCAATCCACACTGGAGGATGGAAGAAGAGGGGCAGACTAATCCGCCCTCTAGCACAGTGGCGGCGGAAGCAAAGTTTGGCTCAGCACGGGAGCCATCGCACCAACTAGGACCCCAGGAAGCAGCAAAGATGTCATCTCACCGGCTATCGACTGCCTCCGGTGAAAACCCGTCCGCTGTCAATTTAAAAAGCAGCATCTCCGAACCAGTTGAGCGGGAAGCATTCGTTGAGCCTGCCAGCTTCTCATTACCTCGTGGCCCAACATACGGCACCGAATCCTCGCGAGCATCTTCGACAATTAGCCACAGAGGCTCAGTTTCGGACATGTCCGAGGCTTGGACAGAAGGAACGAACACGTCCATCAACGATGGGGCCGTGGAAGAGTCAGAGACACCCAGAATGCTCAGTGGGAGCACGTCCGACTTAACAAAGCATTCACCACTACCCGAACCAGCAATGTCAAAAGCCGGGTCAACTACGTCGGAATCGAAGCGAATGTCGAGCTCGTCGCTATACTCGTTACAATCCGCGAGGGCAGGCGGTGTAGCGCCCAGCTCCAATTCCTCTTCCGGGGATGCCATCCCGAGGTTGAACCCTGGGAACATTCCAGGGACCAGAAGCCTCGGTGTTTCACCCGATGCCGCAACCCCAATTGTCTCGGTGATAAGTCCGTCTGTCACGCCGCCTACTGCACAAGGCGCAGCGAACCCCCAACAGGCCGCCCCCAAGGATGGTGTTCCACCAGGCGATGCTCCTAAGCGCTCCAGACAAGAAGGCACTTCAAGAGCGAGCATCCCAAGGTCCAGAAGTCGTGTCAAGCGCCGCTTCAGTGTAAGCACCGGCGCCAGCAGCCACAGCCCGAGCAGCGAGCGAGGAATACACCAGGTTAAAGAGAAGGAGGGGCCAAAACCAGCACCATATGGTATCATCGGGGTGTGTGCATTGGATATCAAGGCACGGAGTAAGCCAAGCAGGAATATTCTTAACAAGCTAATCGCAAAGGGGGAGTTTTCAGTTGTCGTTTTTGGAGACAAGGTCATCTTGGATGAAGACATTGAGAACTGGCCAGTCTGCGACTATCTGATATCCTTCTACTCCGAAGGCTTCCCGCTTGACAAAGCGATTGCCTATGTCAAGGCCAGAAAGCCTTTCTGCGTCAACGATGTCCCGATGCAGCAGATCCTGTGGGATCGCCGTATATGTCTACGTATTCTCGACAAGATCAATGTTCCGAGTCCGAGTCGTGTGGAAGTCAATCGAGATGGAGGACCAAGAGTCATGAGCCAAGACCTAGCTCGGCACCTCAAGGAGACCTCTGGTGTTATTGTGCAGGGACCAGAAGATGGCGATAAGTTATTTGCGCCTCCTCCCCGAAAGGTGGAGCTCTTAGATGACGGCGATACACTAAGCGTAGACGGAGTACTTTTACGGAAGCCTTTCGTCGAAAAACCAGTCAGCGGAGAAGATCACAACATTTGCATCTACTATCCCAAAAGCCAAGGTGGTGGTGCCCGCAAGCTCTTCCGCAAGATTGGCAACAAAAGCTCGGAGCACATAGATGGTCTTACGATCCCGCGCGCTATCCTTGAAGAAGGCTCTAGTTACGTATATGAGAAATTCATGAGGGTGGACAATGCAGAGGATGTCAAGGCGTACACTGTCGGGACCGGCTTCTGTCACGCTGAGACGAGGAAATCTCCCGTCGTTGATGGTCTCGTGAGGCGCAACACTCATGGCAAGGAAATCCGCTATGTCACCAGCTTGACAAAGGATGAAGCTGCAATGGCAGCTCGTATTTCTACCAGCTTCGGACAGAGAGTCTGTGGGTTCGACCTTTTACGCGCTGAGGGGAAGAGCTATGTCATCGATGTGAATGGTTGGAGTTTCGTGAAAGACAATGACGCATACTATGACCAATGCTCTAGTATCTTGAGAAACATGTTTATTCAGGAGAGAGAAAGACGACAAGCTAAAGCAGCAGCAGCCGAGCAGGCAAAGATTTCGGAAAGCGTCGCCCAATCAGCCGAAGCGTCAGAATCAGAAATGCCCCCGCCAACTCGCAAGGAGAGCTCGTTGAAAGAAAATCACCGATCTACACTACAAACTATCCTCGGCAGATCCCCAAGTATTTCGAAACTTGCACACCTACACCATAACCACGGAAAGTCATCGGAGCAGAGGTCGACCTCACCTGATAGGGCTGTCCTGACGATGCCACTAAGCACAGCCTCGTCGATGGAGAAGCCTGTATCCAGTATGGTGTCTTCCCTACCACATGTTTCGTCCCGCACGTCGATTTCAGGGCCCGCATCGGCTGCTGGATCTGTACGAACCTCGCAGATCCTCGAACCAAACCCAGAGGAAGAAGAAGATAAGGAGCTTCCTCCGCCGGCTCCAAAGCATGCCTGGAAGCTTAAGGGGATGGTTTCTGTCATTCGCCATGCCGATCGTACGCCGAAACAAAAATACAAGTATACATTTCACACAAAGCCATTCATAGAGCTATTGAAGGGCCATCAGGAAGAGGTCCTCTTAACTGGTGAGGCTGCGCTCGATAGCGTTCTTGATGCTGTCGAGGTGGCTCTACGCGAGGGGATCGAGGACCGTACGAAGCTGAAGGCCCTACGAAACGTGCTTGTGAAGAAGGGCGGATGGGTTGGGACGAAGGTTCAGATCAAGCCAATGTTCAGGAAACGCAAGGTGGAAGATTCGCCGAAGCCGACCTTTGCTACGATCGCAGATATTCCCGTTGACGTCTCCAAGGTTATTCCATCGGTGTCTACCACACCTGGAGCGACGGAAGACTCCCAGGATCCAGAGGACAGACCATTAAAGCGGGCAGATTCCCTCACGGGCGTCACGCTATCACGTATCACAGCCGCAGAAGAAAGACTCGTCCTCGACAAACTTCAACTGATCGTGAAGTGGGGCGGTGAGCCTACGCATTCTGCGAGATACCAGGCGCAGGAGCTAGGTGAGAATATGCGCAACGATCTCTACTTGATGAATAAGGAAGTTCTCGACGAGGTCCACGTCTTCAGCAGCTCCGAGAGACGCGTTACCACGAGTGCGCAGATCTTTTCGGCTTCATTCTTGGATAAAAAGGACCTTGCTAGCGATTTCATTACTATCCGGAAAGATCTTCTTGACGACTCGAATGCTGCAAAGGATGAGATGGACAAGGTGAAGAAGAAACTTAAGGTCCTTCTCAGAGAGGGACAAGGGCCGCCACCACAGTTCGCGTGGCCTGCTAATCTTCCCGAGCCATCCATTGTCCAGCGCCAGGTTATCCAGTTGATGAAATTCCACCGCAAGGTTATGCGACACAATTACCAGAAGCTCTACGGCGGCGCCGTAACATCTCTAAACAACATCGTCAACCCCGGCGACAAAGCTGCTAGTGAGTCCCCACAAGTGGGCGCGATGGGACAGGCCACGGCAATCAACAACATCCAAGCACGCTGGTGCTGCGGCGAAGACGCGGAGCTCTTCCGCGAGCGCTGGGAGAAGCTGTTCATCGAATTCTGCGACGCCGAGAAGGTCGACCCCAGCAAGATCTCGGAGCTCTACGACACGATGAAGTTCGATGCGCTGCACAACCGCCAGTTCCTCGAGTGGGTGTTCACGCCGAGCAAGTCGATGCTTGAGGAAGAGGACTCGGTTGTTGTGGCTGAGGATGCGGCTTCGGCGAAGGTGTCAGAGGATAAGTCTGATAAGTCGGAGAGAAGCGATTCGACGAATACGACGGAGAAGTCTGAGTCGAGCAAGTCGGTTTCGCGACGACTGTTTAGGCGCCGCTCTGGGAATATGAAGAATGTCGTTGAGGAGACTCCAGAAAGTGTATGTTTACCTTTTCTTAACTGCCTGTTGACCTGCCACTAACATCACATAGTATTTCCACCTCTTCACAGGAAGCACCAAGACAAAGGCAAAGACAGATGCGAGATTTGAGAAGCTTCGAGAGCTGTACAACCTAGCCAAAGTGCTTTTCGACTTCATCTGCCCCCAAGAATACGGCATCACCGACAGTGAAAAGCTCGAAATCGGCCTCCTAACCTCCCTCCCGCTCCTCAAAGAAATCGTCGCCGACCTGGAAGAAATGCAAGCCTCTGACGACGCAAAATCATTCATCTACTTCACCAAGGAATCTCACATCTACACCCTCCTCAACTGCATCCTCGAGGGCGGGATCCAGACCAAGATCGCGCGCTCCGCTATTCCGGAGCTCGATTACTTGTCTCAAATCTGCTTCGAGCTCTATGAGTCGGAGACTACACCCTCGCCGGCCCCGAAGACGCAGTCTGCGCCTGAGCTTGCGCCGCCTGCTGACATGGCCGCTTTGGCTGAAATAGCGGCAAACCTGCCGTCAGCGCCAGAGCCAATACCGTCCCCAGCACCACCACCGGAGCAGACGTTTGCGTATTCGATCCGCATCACCATCTCCCCGGGGTGTCACACCTACGATCCGCTCGATGTGCAGCTCGATTCGAAGCATTGTATCGGATGTGCGCCGAGAAGATCGCTGACGCAGCATATGGATTGGAAGGAGGTGATTGAGACGCTGAGGGCGAAGTTTCATCAAGTTAGGTTGCCGAAGAGCTTTTTGGCTATTAATTTGAGTGAGAGTCATACGTTTCATCGGAGGGAGGAGGAGAAGAGTGAGGCGGAGGGGGAGAACGGGGGAGGAGAGAATGGCTCGTTGTGTGTTGGTGAGGGGGAAGGGGGGAGGGGAAGGTCTGGGTCTGAGGGGAAGGGGGAGGTGGTGAAGGGGGATGAGACGAAGGACGAGAAGAAGGGCGAGAAGGAAGAGGGGCCTAAGGGGGAGGAAGTCCCTGGGGGGCCGGAGAAGGTGAATGTCGTGTTTTAGACGCGTGAGGATTTTGCATAGGATGATGGCATAGCATAGATGTGGAGTATATTCGTAGATAGCATGGAAGGAAGGCGTTTTTTGTTAGGAAATGAATATGAGATATGTACAGAATCTCGTTTCTACACGCCACCAAAATCCCCCAAACAACTGCCCCTATCTAACATCCGTTCCCAGTGGCGTATTGCGGTAGTCCCCGTCACATACTTAATAATTATGGTGGTCTCCCTAACATAGTAGAAACATCGCGAAGTGAAGAACTAGATCTTTAATCTTTAGGAGAATTACCTCCATACCCGATCAAACGCTGCTTCGGAGCATTCAGCTCATCCCCGTCTTCTGAAAAAAGAGCGTCAAATTCCAACATCTCAGCAGCGTCTCGTTTCCGGCACTTGTTGAAACTTTGTGACTGAGCTGGAAGAAAGGCTCTAGAATCCTTGTCTACAATTATAGGGAAATGTGCCTCCTGTTGCTCAGAAGCCTCGTACCAACTTTTGTGTCCCTGGTTTATCATCATCCTAACATTTCGATCTGCATCATTAGCCTTTGATAGCGTAATATCGATGGAATTGTCGAGATCTGTCCATGAGTTTGGAAATGAAACTAGGTGTTGGCGGGTCTTTGCATCATTCGATACTTTGGTAAGTTCGAGATGGTTTTGCGTTCGGTCTTGGGACAGATTAACTCTGTAGGCCGATGAGTTCCGTATCAAGGACTGTCCTTGGTGAATTCGAGATTGATCAGGGCTATGTAACAAGGATGTATCTGTCGAGGACATTTCCGTAGTCGATGATGATATTAGGTCTTCTTGCTGTAGGCGAATGCTGAGGTTGTAGATAGGATTCGTTTGAAGTGAGTAGACTTCCGGAAGTTGTCTACCAGAGCATTTGACGACGACATTTGTACCACATGATGAGAAATGTAGGTACTCAATTCCAGTCTGACTTGGCTCTATCTTAGACAGAGTTTCTAGGTTGCCGCCAGGTGTCGAGATGTTAAAATCCTGTCCGTTGTGGCTTTCTGCAGTAAATGCCCAGAGCATCATAGATCGGTCACCTCCAAAGCCTCTCGTAAAAAACAGTGCTAGCGGAAGCGTAGGATGAAAGCTGCACGAGTTAATGTTCATACCTGCATTATTGCCTCCAACTTGTGCAATGACACCGCAGATTTTTTCTGTTTGGTTGACCGTGATAGCCGTGACGGAATATACGGTAGGTTCTCCGGCAGTTGTGCTCACAAGGCTCCTAGCATCCAGTCTGAGGATATACCGGCTATTATTGCTGATAATAAAGGAGTGAGATTGAGCTAGGCGGAGAGATTCGCGCAGAGGGCGGGACCTTGGCTGCTTTTGTGCTTTCCCATTTTGGCTATCTGTAGCGCTCAAGTTTGAGTCTGCCTCTGGAGCTGGGAGGCTCATTTCATGGACAGGTTCGCTTAGAGTCAAGTCAAGCAAGTATACAGTATTTAGTATAATGAGAAGATTGACCTGGCTACCAATTGCTGCTGGGAATGGCATCGACCACTTGTTGAAGACAGTCGGCGTGGTTCGGTTGGTTCTTCCTTCGAGCACTTTTCGTAGCGTAATCGATCGGCCAACATGATCTTTGACTTCAATCGCACTTAGAGGGATCCTAATGTCGTTGACTTTATCTTTTGCTTCGGAGTGTACGTCCCATACTTCGAATCGCGCTATCCATCCTTCGCAGGTTAGGCCTTCGACTTTACTCTCCGTAGCTTTCGGCCAGGCTTCTTCAAATGACCTGTAGATAATTAACGGAAGTTAAATTTTTAAAGCCTTAGAACATACTTTGGAGGCCAGACGCTCAACACTCCCACCATCTTGCCGTCGTCTCGCTCTTTTGAGAGAGAGATGAGTGGCTTCGAAGTGAGTATCTGGCTATCGAATTGCGACGGCGCCATGGATCGCACTGTGACTGCAGATGTTTTCATGAAAGAAGAGCTCTCCTGAAATGCTGTAATGTCGTTCCAAATGTAATGTGGGTTTTCCTCTAAAGTTGGACCCCATGCTGAATTTAGTGCCAGAATATCCCTATGCAAATATGTGATCTTGCCTAATAACTCCCGCAAGTTCTTTGGAAGGCATGTTGTAGGGAGCGATTCTATTAGGTCACAACAGTCGCCTAAGTCATTGATATGTCTTAAGAGATCTGTATGATTACAAACCATATATTGCAGCTCTACCCAGGTATTTGCAAAAAGCTTATTGGCAAGAAATATTGACAAAGTCTTGACGAGGTTAACAAAACCCCTTGTAACGGATGGTGCACTATGCTGAAAGCGAGCCTGGATTGCATCCATATTGCATTCGAGAAACTCCTTAAGATGGTGCGTCCAATACAAACATGCATACTTCACAAGAGGAAAGCCAAACCGGATTCTGTGCATCGAGACTCCTTGCCGCATATCCCCAGAAAGTGGTTGTGCAGGAATGCGGTTAACCAAGTAGGAAAGGCATGCATTTGCAAGCAAGCAATGTGCCTCGCCTGGTTCTAGTAACAACTGTAAGACAACGGGGTCATTACAAAGCAATTCCTCGCTCCATGTCCTGAAGAATTCGACAACACTTTGATGAACGAGTCGATATCCAAATTCATGCTTCTCGGCAAGGCAAGTAGAAATAATCACAATAGCGTGATCGAAATCCTCCGTTTGCTTTGGTGACGGGATAACATGATCCGTGAGACCTGGGGGTGGAGAAGGGGTCGTCAGACTATAAATAGCCTCCCAAAGCTCGCCAGCTTCAATTGGGCGAGCATAAAATGATAACCAGTATAGAATTCGGCGAGCCATATCTATCTCGGGCTTCGTTTTTTTCCCTATGTGCTGGAGAATTCGAATATACATGTCGTTGAGAGTTTCGTGTTGGGTGGTCTCCCATATTGAAGCTAATCGAGTTTCCGGTGGGTCTAAAGCTGGTGACTCCAAGTAGTCCATCATAAGCCTAGCCCAAAGAAACATTCCATTTGCACTGTCGAGTAAATGTGTCAAAATCTTCTCCTCAGGGTAACTAGGAGGAAGCTTCTCATGGAGACCTTCAAGTCGATGGGACAGGTATATTCGAATGTCAGCCTCTACCGAATGGCGTAACAAGGTGATTTGTTCTATCCGAGGTGCTGCCATTAAAGCCCGAACATTCGGCCTACTGAAGAATATCATCTTAGCCGGGGTTCCAGAGAAACATGTAGCAAGTGACTTAATAAGGTCTTCGGGGTCATCCGACTCATCCAATCCATCGAACAGAAGAGTAAACCGAGGAATATGCCGTGCTAAAAGTTTAAGCAATGCTAGGAGATCCTTTATACTAGCGCAACTTGTTGCCGACTTGGCTGCGGCAAAGGTAAAGCAATCTAGCACTGCAGCATTCTCTTGTAACTGCCGAAATATTTGTGAGAGGATTTCTCGGTATGCATTGGACAGTCGTCGTGTAGGGGGGGATCTGAACGAGAAGAAAAAGTATGCCAAGGCTTGATTTTGGTCTCTATCGTGGCGGCCTGACGTTCCGAGCCAGTCTAAAACAGAAGCTGCGAGGACAGACTTTCCGGTGCCTGGGTTTCCTAGATCTAATGAGAATGGGCCATAGAAACACATAATAAGGAAGCTCACCTCGAACCCAGAGTGCGTTAGAGAGGGGATGGCACTGGTCAGAATGACTAGGATTACTCTGATGCCAGGCAACAAATTGATTGTCGTCGAATATCCATGTGCCCGTATTAGAATCTCGCAAGCGTTGCGCATCCGATAAAGGCTCTTGAATTTCACCAGAAGATGGCAATTGTAGCCAATCTTTTACAGAATCGCGAATGTTTTCTGTGGTGCGTTGTAAGTTAACACGTCTCATAAATGGACGAGAGATATTTGTTTACTTAGTTCAACAGCGGACACCTTCTCATGAATGATAGAAAGTAGCGACTTGTACTCATTTTCTTCTTGGCGTTGCTCTTCAACGTCATGTAGCATCTCATCTTGTGACTTCTTTATCTGGAAAAGAGTTTTTGTTCTCATTAAATTTTCTTCGTCCTCTAAGACATCACCGTGGAAATCTAGTCTCTTCACAAAGTTAGTATACCGTACGCTAAACGGCTTCCATAGCAATTGCGATATGACAACTGGCGTTCGCTTTAGCTCTAGGTATTTTAATTAGTAACTGTACAAAATTATGTGTGGCTAAAATGGAAAACCCTCACTTCCGCTTTTTTGGGTAAAAACACATGCAACTGATGTGAAGAACTCGAAGAGGTCTCGGTAAAAAGCAACTAGAGATGAACGAAATCTAGTAGACAACTCTCCAGGTGCTAGTGTAAGAATTTCTTGATAGCGTGGTATTGTTCGACCAATTTCGTCCAAGATTTCCGTCAGTTTGTCGAAAAAGGAGGTGAAGTTGTGAGCTAGCTTCTCTGCTATTAGCGATTCTTGCAGTACTTATTAACTCGTGTGCGGTTTCATTAAGCTTACCTGTAATATCAACCTCACTGCCCCCCAGGCTATAGAACTCAATTCCGGGTGTGACTGCGTAAATATAGTTATGATCTCAAAGTACGGAGCAAGCCTGTCGCTGAACTTCTGAATGCATATGATGGGTCTTGCCCAGCTCCCTTTCTCGTCTTTGAAACGAGAGAACTTCTTCACCTCCTCTAAGAGTTCCTCTGGCGATTTACAAGACTTGAATTGAGACCTGTCATTTCCGGATAACGCACTAAAAAATAGTTCGTGAGACTTGAGGAATTCTTCATCCGGGCCGCTCATCGGTGATGTTGGATTAGACGCCATAATCGATTAGACTATTGCGCTAATCAGGGCTTGTGATATGGTCGCATTATATTTGGCTCATATCTGGCCTGGTGCTCCTATCTAAGGTAGATAGTATGGGGTTGGTTGGGTTTTATATACGTACGAGGCTGAGGTAGGCCTTCTCGTCGCCTCATTGAGACAAGGAGGCTGAGGCCTGCCACGTCTCAGCGCTGCTCCGCCTTGCCGACTTGCAACTTATAACACCTGCCAATCATGACAAAGTCACACTGAGGCAGCGAAATATCTATAGTAAATGTGGTTCACACCGCAAGTACCCATGTCGTGATAAGCCTCAATAGGGTATTGACTACAGTTGTGACGACTTTGCAATATTTACTATGACCGTCCATGATTGATCCTGCTGTTCGATCACTCCTCACAGCAACACCCTTAGTACCTCAACTATCACCTTGGAACTCTACCACCACCATCCCCACGACAGGAAGCAAGCAACAACCAAAAGCCTGTCGAACAACTACTTGCAACCACAACACTCACCATGACAGAAAAACAATAAATAAACGGTTTGATGGTACATATAAAAGTGTGATTCATATTAGGCTAGGTAGGATCAAGATCCGGGTATTAGACAAAGACGCCAGCACGTTCCGCAAGATACTACAATGTTTCGCAAAACCACCCTCCTCTCTCGGACCTGCGCCTCTCCCCGTCCCGAGCCCCCCTCTGGTTTCTGCATCTCTTCTCTCCTCTGTTTGTTTGTTTTCCCGTTTTTATATCAGGGTATCTTCGGTGGACTGACGATGGTAGTTAAAAAGAAAATTCCGTGTGTTGGTATGTGTGTGTTTTGGGGTTGTTTGAATGAGCGACGGCGGTGGTGGATGGGGGTATCTAGTACTGTTGCCCACCCGGAACCTTCATCTCGTGGTTGGCAGTCGGCTGCTCCGTAACGCCACCCTGTTGGAGGAGGCGGTACTCGACTTCCTTCTCCTGCTGGATACTATTTCGATTGTCAGCACTCACTCTTTTATCGAAGAACTCTCATTCAATTGGGGAACTTACAGATCGCAGCATCCGCAGAAGCAACCCCTCAGGCAGTTAACGGGGAAATCACCAGTAAGACCGAAGCGATCCATGATCGTGCGGCGCTGGAGCACGATACCCACCGCGGTAGCGGCGCAGCATCCGCTCGCCCACCACCCGAGGCAGGAGGCGTTGACGGGGCTGTAGTCCTTGAGGTTTGCATCGTGGTGGAGGCGATGGTGGGTCTTGCCGAAGGTGACGCAGGGGCAGCAGCAGGTGATCAGGCCTGGATTCTCAAATTAGTACGCCGACTTGGCTGGAATGGGGAGAGAGTCGTTTGCGTGAGAAGGGGGGAACATACAGAGATCAATAGGCTGGAAGAACTCGAGGAAGCGGTTGTGCCATGGCTGATGCGACGCAGGGACGGGGCCGGTGATGGTCTCGGGCTTGTTCAGTGCGGCGGTGATGCGGTTAGTCCAGTGCGCGACATCGTCGTTTCCAGCTGGGGGACCGGCAACGGGGGCAGGCTGGGATGCATATGGCTGCTGCACAACCTGCTGTTGCGGGGCAGGTGCGTATTGAGGCTGGGCAACTTGCTGTTGCTGGGTGTTCTCGTAAGTGGCCATTGTGACAGTTGTTTCTTGGGAGGGGAAGAACGAATGTGTGTTGTTTGGTGGATGGTTGATTGGTATATGGAGAAAGTGAGAACGATGAGAAAACGAGAGGGACGGGAGAGGTCTTATAACGCTGATCCCATCAGCCCACCACAAAGAAAAAAAAACTACTTGCCCGCCCCTATCCTATCCCATCCTCGACTCATCAGTTCCGTTTGCCGTCTAGACCCGCGCCACGTCTCCAGCCGGCGCAAACGGGGTTCGAGCATGACAGACATGCCATGACAGGACGTCTTAGCGAAGTGTGCGCCGTGGGCGAGAGAAAGCCTCACGCCCACTGGGTCTGGAAGCCCAAGGCTGAGACGGACGTCGCTGCGGCCATCACATCTCCACCGCGTCTGCATGGGGACTAAGCTCGCTCGGCATCTGGCAGCTGAGGCAGCGTTCGGCTGGGGAGGGCTGGGATTGGTCAGTAGTGTGAAGTTTGTTTGTCCAGGAATTGGGATGTGACGATGTTCATTTCCACGCTTGAGGTGGCTTTTGCGCATATCTGAGGCCAAGGGCCAATGGGATGGTGAGGTTTGAGACTATTGGGGCTATTTGGGGCGAGGGCGGCGCCACTTGGAGCTATGAAGCTTTGGGGACATGGGAGGATGTGGGACCGTGGGACCTGTCTGCCTGCTTACTGTTGCTAGGGGAGGTACTTGCGGTATAACTGGTCTTGATATGCCCATGCCGAGTAAACCCCAAGAATCGTCAACGAGGAAAAGAGATATGTACCCCATAATGCATGCTGTAATGTAATGTGCATGCATCACGGTCATGGTTCAAGTGAGAAAAGAGAGATAAAAGAATTTTGTTAGTCGCAGAGTTTCAGGGTTCAAAGTGATTCCGCTGTTTCCACTCCAGCGCAGTACCTCCAAAGCTATAGTGGAGAACCTATCCCGCGAGTTTCGGCTGTCAGAAAGTGACAACGCCAGGGGTCCAGAAACTCCAAACAACGCCTGTGCTCATTTGAAAGTGGGCTTCTGGCTCCTTACGGCCTCCTCACAAAAAAAATTCTCACGAACCTCTCCTTCACTGCCTCAAACCCACGTGAATGGCACACCAGCCGTTGTGAGATAGAGAGAGAACACGTGATACCGAGACAACTTTTCTCTCACCCACACCCCTTTTTCATGTTCTTGCTCAGTCAGACGGACGGGATGGAGCGGGAAGTTTTGATCAATAGCTCAAGCCTCAAGGCGCACAAGGGGATGCAAATATAGAAACATGCACACACCCACGCATTATCCTCGGTCGGCCACTGCATAAAAACTTATCAGGTGCGCTGATTTATGCCAAGATACTTCTGACCATGACTTATTTCTGTTGGAAACATCAGCAATCGAGATCACCACCATTCCGTTCTTCAACGTAATCAACCAACCATCACCTCAAAAGCCTTACCAGACCCTCTCACCGTGCACAAGGCAGCACTGCTCTAGCCACTCATCCTCCCCCACCAGCCACTCATCTCCATCCATCCAATCTCTCCAAGTTCCGTATCATCTCCACCACCCGCTCAGCCCTATGTCGATCGTTTGTGCGATTCATCCGTCTTACATTCTCACATCCCCTACCTACCACCCCACCAGCACCCAGCAGAACCCAACACCACCCAAAACACACCACACCAGCCAAACCCACAAAACTCGCAGCAAACACCCCCCGTCTGACAACCTCTTTTTTCCATCATCTCCCATTCCGGGCATAAAGGTGAACTCAAGTAATACCGCGGCACGACAGGTCAGCTTGAGCCGCAAAGCTTATTAAACACCCATCTCTATTTCCTGCGCTGTGCTGCTAATCTCGCTTTCCCAGACTCATAAAGTGGATGATCCTCGGCACTGCGCCGCAGCCCGCCAGCCAGTCAAGACGACGACGGAGATTTCTCCTTTCCCTTCGCGCGTGTTGGCGTCGAGAGGGTTCTGCGAGATTCCCGGATATCCACTCGCTCGCGCCCTTAGGAGTATACGGTCTTCCCATCTCCACCCCAGCGCCACGATACTATTCCCACGCGCGCGCCCTCAACGTCCATCCGGCCCCATCCGACATCCGACTCGTAAAACGCACGGTCCAGCCCTAGAACTTCTCTTCCCTGTCACAGGGTTGAGCAAAGTAAGGTAAGATAAGGCTGGTTTTCTCCCGAGAAAGGGGGAGGCGTGCTTGGCGCTGCAAGAGGTGGAATTCTAATTTCGGTGTCTAAATGGAGGATGAGGAGGTGACGCGGTATCAGGTGACTGACTGACTGACTCGATGGGTGCGAGATAAGTTCCTGATTGTCTGGCGTTGGGTTTGGTCTGGTTCGGCGATGCGTTTGTTTCATTTCTTCGGCTTCGTGTCACAGTTGTCCAACCGGGGGGTTAAAGCCCCAAGGACTACTGCATTGATCGCGGAAAGATGTGTGGAATACCCGATTCCGCGCGGTATGGTGAAAAGGTCCCTAAGATGCAGGGCTAGGGAGATATTTCATTGCTCTCGTTGTGTCTAATAATATCACAAGGTTAGGGAGGCAAGTATGGATGTCATGTGACTTGGATTTTCTCACTTCCAACGACACTTCTTAGAATTATTACCTGTAGGTTAGGTTATACGGGAATTTAAATAAGGCGAAGGGGTACTGTGGGATTTCAACTCTGTTCTGTTTAAAAAAACTCGTCCTCCTCTTTTATTATTGATTAATTGTAGATTTATTTTGTTGGAAATTTCTTAATCTGAATTTTTGTAGCAAAAATATAGCCATATTAAATGTCGAAATTCTCTGATTTTGGTTACAGAAGTTTCAATTCACATATATACATTATAAATCTAATTCTCACCATGACGAGCTTTTCCAGCTTGCTTGCACTATAACACGCCCTTGTTTGCAAGGATAACTTGGAAACTGACGTAACTGAGTCGATCCTTCCTCAGGAACCACCTTGAAGTATAATCTATAAAATCTCACCCCTAATTCCTAGAAACTGCTAAAATAGATGGAATTTTCCTTTTACTTGATCAATACAGAATAGGCTGAACGATATGGATTTACCGTCAACATTTGAGTTCCAAGGGTGGAATATCCGATATGACCTCGAAACTTCTAGCAACACGACAGCAGGATCAACCCGCGCCCCGCCCAAACCTGTAGTCTTCGTCCACGGCACACCTTGGTCCTCGGTTGTTTTTAAACCTATTGTCGAAGCACTTCTAGCAAAAGGCTCATATAAGATTCTCATCTACGACCTGCCCGGCTACGGACAATCGCAGGAGTACAATCCCGATAGCAACTCAACTACACCCAAAGCCTCCTTCCCCGGCGACACATCCGTGAAATTCCAAGCCACAGCCCTCTCCGCACTACTCAACCACGTACAGCTCGATGGAAAGGACACCAACCCCGCGCCCGCGGTGGTAGCGCACGACATCGCCGGCACGATCGTCCTGCGCGCGCACCTCCTACATGACTGCAACTTCGCATCTATGCTGCTAGCGGAGAGCAATTGCGTGTTACCCTGGGGCGATGGGTTCTACAAGCTCGCGCGCTCAGAGCCGCAGACGTTCGTGAAACTCCCGGCTAAGATCCATGAAGCTGTTGTGCGTGCGGTTATCAAGAGCGCGTGTCATGATGTTAAGGTTCTGGAGGCGGGGTGGGAGGATGCGCTTATGGGGCTGTGGATTGATGAGGATGGTGGGGAGGTGGGAGAGCGTCAGAGGAGTTTTGTGAGGCAGATTGCGCAGGCGGATGATGGGGATGTGGCGGAGATGCTGGAGGGGGGGGCGTATGGAAGGGTGAGGTGTGATGTGAAGATTGTGTGGGGGGAGGAGGACCAGTGGATCCCGAGGGCGAGGATAGAGGAGACGATTCAGAGGCTGGGGGGGAAGGTGAAGGAGACTGCGTTTATTCCTGATGCAGGTCATTTGGTTATGCTGGATAAGCCGGAAAGGTGGGCGATTGAGGTGTTTGACTGGCTGATGAGATGAATTGAGGCATCTGATGTTGAAATTAAAGGGCTGCGATGTATAATATTGATAAAGAATAATTGTTTTTTCTATTTTCTATACCCAGCCAGGCGATTTTCCCGTTTTTAATATATATATCTAAGTCTATGACTTCTGTGGTGTTCTAAAGATAAACATGCGTTCGCAGAGGGTATATATAACCCGTTGCGCCCCAGGAACTCTCGTGATAAGTCATAATGGTCGTCGCTCGTCGCTCCAAAAATTGATAACCTCTCCAAAACCAGCCGGGTACCATGAACGGACACCATATCAAATACTCCAAGAACCTCGCAAAGACTCCCGCAATCCGTGATAATCCCACCATTAAAACCCGTAATTCACACAGACATCACGCTCCCCGGCGTCCCATCACCACCGCCCTTCATATCGTCCCCACCATCCGTCGTCCCCCCCCAATCCGGCGTTGCAAGCCCATCCATGACCTCAGCAAACCCAGGAATAATAACCGCCGACCGTCCATTCATCCAGAATCGGTCCTCCCTCGAATTACTCAACGCCAGCAAGCCCGCCGAAAACAACAGCAGCAGAAGCAGTACCATATCACCCGTCTGGTGCATATTCCCACTAAACGCCGCAACAAGATAGACAATCAACTTCGCCGCCGCCTCTATGTACCCCTCCACAGCAGTCTTCCCACGCATCCAGATACCCCCCGTCAAAGCCTCTAGGTCGTCAGCCATGCCATGAAGACAAATCTCCCTCTCCCCATCAATCTTGACTTTCCAGCTCTCGGGCTCCGCATCCGCCGGCGTAGGGGGCGGCGATCCTGGTGGCGCAGACGTCGGCGCAGACGCCTGCCCAGATGCCTGCTCAGATGCCTGCATAGAAGCCTGCGCGGATGGCGGTGCGCCCCCGGACGTGCGGGAGCGGATAATCCAGATATTCAGCGCACGAGCAAGCATCAGCGCACTCAGGATCCCTACACCCCACCAGTCGCGCGTCAAGACCATGAGTGCCATTGCGCCAACGGTGAATAAAAGGGCGGTGATATACAGGAGTGGAGCCATCAGACTGGGCCGCGGGGTCTGACGAACGCGCTTCAACGAAACCGTGCTAACGGTCCTGCGCAGGGATTGCGTGCGCGGCGACCCGACGCGAAGTGTGACAGGACGGGAACCCGCGCCGAGTCGCGCGAGGTAGCGGATCGTAGCTGCGTTTGTGAGGCTGGTAGGGCGGTGGGCGGGGGTGGTGAGGAGGGGTTGAGTGAGCGGGTTTGGGAGGTCAGAGAGGGTGTCTGCGCGCTGCTGGTTGTGCAGGCCGGGGGCGAGGACAAGCATGTCGAGCCATGTTGAGGTGCCGGTTATGGCGGTGCGGTTGGCGATTGTGCTGAGGTCGGCGAGGGCGAGTAGGCCGGAGGCGGAGAGGCGGACGCCTGGGACGGGGGTGGTGGGCCACGGGAGAAATCCTTTCTGTCGGGTGTTAGAATGGCTCGATTGGGGATTTTTGAGGGGAACGTACTATATATTCCATGACCGAATTAATTTGTTTACGGAGGCATTGATGGCTGGGTTGTGATGGGGGCGGTCGGGCTTGTTTATGACTTCCCAGGCACCAACCTCCACCGCCTGGCCGCTAAGGAGAGGGCAATTATGAAGTCTCAAAGCTGTCCGACGTGACATACATTAAGTCAATAATATCTGTCTTTATCTGGCAATTTCGAGCTTTCAATTGAGTTTGGTGAAAGAAATGTTACCATGTCGCTGGCGTTGGGCACGCATGACCCGACAAGGTACAAGTTGCATGACATTTCACGTGACACACGCAGGTACCCCCCTTTCTGAGACTTCTGAAACACATCCATTGAGAGAGCATGAATTGAGGAATGCTTGAGACAATTGACGATGAAAGATGTCAGGCGTTGGATATTGGTGGATATATTTCGATATATTTGGGTTCACTCAGTCTATTAGACTTCTCTAATTTCATCATCATCGTCTTCGCTCTCCTGATCTGCCCACCCGCCGCCCTTCGTCGCTGGCACCGTTCTTTTGCTGGTGCGCTCTAATTGCTTCATCCCATCGCTCACCTCCTGTCCCTCCTCGTCCCGCATTAGCACTTGCACCAGCCTCTCACAAGCCTCCCTCACCCCCTCATCCTCAACAGCAAGATGTGTCTCTCTGATCACAGGATAGACTTTGATACTCCTCATTGTGTCTCTCCCCTCCCTGCTGTTAGTCAACAGCATTAGTGTTTCCACGTGCGCCTTAATGATCTCGGGATCACTATCTCTCGCCTTGTCAGGTGGGAGTAGCTGCAAATCATCCAGCATGCCCTCCTGGTCCTCGTCGCTGTACTCTTCTCCGCCGATGATCGGTAGTAGCAGGTAAGGCAAGATATTGATCTGGTCCTCAGCAAGAAACAAGTCGTGTTTGTCCGTCTCAAACGCCACGTTCTTAATCGTGCTCGCGACACCCTTCCTCCTCACATCACTCTTGTGTTCTGTGAAGACCGTGAGCTTGGTCAATGGGATGACGCCATCGTATTCTTGCTTGGTCAGGAAGTACTTCCGGCCCTCAGTGTGTTTTGCGATGTCAGCGAAGAGGTATGCGAGGTAGTCGAAGTTGGCATCTTTATTGTATGTCCCATCTGCGCCTTTGACGAATAAATCGAACAGCTGGTCGATGATGCGGTCGCTGGAACGTAGACCTTCTGGAGATACGCAGCCTAGCTGCAGAAGGATCTTTATATTATCTTCTTTTCCGAGGTTGGCGAGAAGCATAGCTATTAAGTTTGCATTTGGCTCGGTTGGGTTCTGTCCAGGAACGAAAGTCAGCGCAAGATTGCAAAAGTGGGACTTTAAAGGGCCAACATACCGTGAGGCGACTTAAGAGGGAATCTAGAAGAGTGTTGTCTTTTGAGAGATCCTCGAGGATCTCATGGTCATCAGAGAGGTTGATAAGGATGTCGAGAGCATTCTTGGCTATTTGCTGTACCTCTTGTTAGGCACTGCCATCTGAAGACGACTTGGGGCCACATACCGGATAATCTCTAACCAAAAGTTTAAGATGTTTAACTGGTAATAGACCGTCCGTCTTGAATATCGCCGGCTGGCTCAAAGAGTATGGCACCAGATTCTCGACAGCTACCATGCGGTTCATCAGCACTCGTCGCACAAAAGTGTGGGGGTTGGGCATACCTAGTTGTCGCACAGGGGTACTGCCATGATTTATAAATCCTACAAGATCCTCAAGTTCAGAGGGCATTTTGGCAGTATTGAGATGCGCCTAGATGGTATATATCGTTTGGAAATGAATTTTAGTTAACATGCCCCTCTAGAGTCTTGGAGGGGCACATTTTTATACTGCCGCTGTTCGCCGCCTCTCGACACTGACGTCGGCAAGGCTGAGGATTAGCCTTGTCATACCGTGGGAGTCAGACGGCGGCGGTGGGAGTTTCATAGGAGATACACGTTTTCGTACGATGTATGAAAGTATTATTGAAGAATTTTCATTACATCTCCGCATACACTAAGCATAGTTCAAAGATGACAACAAGAAACGCGGGGTTGAGCTACTATATTACTCTTCTAGTGGCTCAGATAGCGAGATCGACTTTGAGGCTCTGAGAGACTCAGAGAGCAGGAGATCGGGCTAGCACACGATATATGCGACTTTGTCCTTGCTTTGCTTTGCACTAAGAACTTTAGAATAAAAACTACTCGGGCAGATTGTGTCACCCTCGTTCTCAACTAAGCAGTTCAGAATAGGAACTGTACCCAGCCATATAGTACCACCCCGTTTCTCAACCAAGCAGCCTCGAATAGAAACTGTGCCGAGCCACACAGCGCCACCCTCTTTCTCAACTGGACAATTTAGAGTAAACTGTTCCTAGACCTATGCAGATTGGGTCCCCCTGTTGCGTCTCCACTCCTCCAAACGGCGCGCCATGGTCGACATCGCAAAATCAGCTTTTGTGTGAATAATAGAGACACCCAGACCCCAAACTGGGTTAAACTCTCCTTCTTCAGTGAAGCGAGATCCGTCATCCCTCAGAAAAATTCTGTTCAGGAGCGGCTTCCTCCAAGTGTCGTACTGTGGCTTCTTCATGTCGATATCGAGTTCCCACACTCTCGTCGCCATTGCGGCCGTGTAAACACACTGGGCCAAAAAATAGTCCACGATAGAGTGACCTTGGGTTTGGACTAGAGACTCCAAGAATGGCTTCGAGGGCGCGACTAGTGAAACCGTGTCAAGATTTTGAAATTTCACGAGTTGGCGGAGTATATCGACGGAGTCTTCGTTGTAGAGTGAGCTACCACAGAGCTCAAGGTGAACAATGGTTTCGAACTCTGCAGGTTTTATATGGTTATACTTGAGAGCATCATAGTCAATCTGAACAGCGTCCGTCTTTGCGTTTATGCAAACAGCGGCAGGATTTCCTGACGTGCCAAACTGCATACTGAATCCTATTTCCGTGGATAGAAGAAATCTGCGAGACTCCTGGCACACATGGAGTAAAATAGGCGGGACAGATCCTGGGAGAACTCTGCCAGTGGCCCCATCGTAGCGTGTCTCGATAACGCGTGGTGCTGGGATATGGTAACGCCAAATTTCGTGGCGGAGCTCGTAGGGGAGGTTTTGGAATAGTGAAAACATCGCTGGGTAGAACTTCTCTCGAGAGGAAAAGAGCGAGTAGGTGTTGTTTGCTTAAGAGGTTAGTTAGTCAGTCTATGTACGGATGGAATATGCTTACTGATTGTAGCTAAGAGAAATATGGAGCAGCGTCAGCTTTGCGATGGTAGAGGCGATCTGGTCAAGGGATCTCGTGGAAGGTGATTTGCTGGAGGTAATCTGGTGAAGGCGGTCTGGTGAAGGCGATCTGGTGAAGACGGTCTGGTGAACAGGATATTCTGGACAAGTTGTGGCGAAGAGGATGTGATGAATAGGATGTGATGAATAGAATGCGGCGAATAGGATGTAGTGACGGGAATCTGGAAAGGGATATCCGGCAAGAGAACCTAGAGAAGTGTATTTGGTGATGAGTGTCTAGCACAGGGTATTTGATGAAGCGTATCCAACAGGATTTTGTGTTTTCTGTTTTTGGAAGAGTTCATGTGCTTTGTGTTCTGCCCGTAATGTATACCTACGGCCTCTTTGTTTACTTTTTATAGAAACTTAGCGTTAGCTGGCACGAGATGTATAAGTGGCTGATATTTTCTACGTGGTGCTCGTTATTCATGTCGAGCCTAGCAAGTCGAACATATTATTTGGCCGTTTTGTGACCTCCACCGACGCACTTGACTCCTGCGCCCGCTTCCGTTTGTTCTTCTTGTCTTTTTTTGTAGACTTGGCATTGCCATTGTCCATTGTATCCTGCCCTCTTATGTTCAGCAGCGCTTTGACAGCTGAAAGAGCCTTGCAATCCGCAGAGGATTTGAAGGATTCCAGGTCTGCGTGGACGTCTGGAAATGCTTGCAATTCTGGCAATGACTTGAGCAATTCAGATAGACGCTTCGAAGCTGCAGATAGGTTCTCTTCATATTGCGAGACCAGAGCAGCCTCCAATATTTGTTTGAGCATTCGAAACGAGTAGAAAGAGCCTTGAAGTTGAGCGGAAAAGTGTATTGTATCCCACGACAATCTTTTTGGCCCTCCCGACTCAATTATCAAGCTCCCCAGCGACTGTTTCCCAGCCGAAGAAGAGAAAACCAAATCTTGATGAAGGCCAATGGCCCTCCACAGACCAAAGTCCGAGAGACCAGGCATTTTCTTACCAATACTTTCCGCTAGCTCAACCAATCCGGCGGATGCTTCGTCTATCTCATCATAAGTGGGAAGCTGCCACTCCCTACCTCGAGAACCCTTTTGTTGACGTCGATGTTCCACGACGGCCACGACATGGTTCTCCTTTGGCTCTGTTAAATTCATGACACCATAAGCTAATTGCCGAACAGCTGTGCTCATCTCCCAAGCGCTCGTTTTGGAAGGACAATCCAGCAAAAATGGGAGAAACATATCCACACTGTTCCCATTTTCAGCTGGCTGAACTGAAGCAGGAAAAGGACGCTCAGCTGCCTCAGCAGCCCGAGGAAATTGAAGAACATATTCTGATATCCTGGGATCGAGTGTACTGAGAACGGCTTGAAGCGATTTTGGAGCACTGCTTTCTGTGCATTCTGTTGTATGGACTTCCTTGGGCAAGGCCTCATACTCCTTTACGAAGTCTGTGTACATGCCTGGATAACCCGTCACCGCTTTAATGTCCTTCGATTTCTGCTTCAGCTTTGGTAAACTTGCATGTGGGTCCATAACCATCTCAAAAGCAAAAGATTTTAGGCCATATGACCGGTTTAAGTCAAGCCTTTCCACAATTAAAGCCGGTGTATACTGGCAGCACCTAATCGTCTTGATGTTGCACTGTTCGGAAACTTCAAGGTCTTTGAAGAATGATACGGAACCCAGGGCCCCAAGATCATGGACCAGGAGATCCGAGTCTCCTGTGAGCACAGTCCCACCATGCTCTTTCACGTACCTTGCGCAGTACAAATCCGCCTCCCCTGGAGAGACAGAGGTGATGCTCTGGAAGCGCTCCGAAGCCAGAAGCTTCTCAAGAATGGCCGGGACAAGAAATGGAATAGCAGGAACATGTCCAGCGACAGCTGCAGACGATTTATGATCAAACATACTTGATCTTCTGCCTTTCGGCTTCTGTTGACCGCTCCCGCTTGGAATCACCTGCGGCCATGCCTCGTGATACAAAGCCAGCTGCTTTGTGTAATTCATGAGCCGCGATGATCTCGTCTTTTTTTTGGAGGCAGGCAAAAATCCATCAAAGTATATTTTCTTCCTGCATGGGAATCAGCTTTCTTTCTTCTCTTTCTTAGCTGGGGATGGTGGTCTGTACACTTCAACGCCAAAGCCTTCTAGCTCTTCTAGCCAGCGGATAGCTGCATCGCCAATCTTCTTGTACGACGGAAACGCTTCAAACGGATTGCGAGCTTCCGGCTCTTCTGCTAAACAGGTGTGGAATATGTGATATGCGAACCCAGGGCCATCAATTATTACATTTTGGCCGTTGAAATTTGTGTTTTCTGAGTAGGGACGTAGATGGGTGATCAAGTGAGGAATCCCCATCTTTAATAAATAAATGGCAGCTGACAATTAATTATATGAACCATCAGTTCTTATCTACAGAGAGACCATGGCGGATATTAATGTGATTATCTGTTCATGGCCATCCTGGGATTTTGTTGTGGTGGCTGTGAGCGGGATGTATCGGCGTTGACATGAGTGGGGAAGCGGAACTCTCTTTTCTTTTGTTCCCGCTAGCTAAAATATTATTTTGAGCTCCCCCATCCCTCGTTTATCCTTCAACAACCACCGAAGATGCGCAAAACCCTCATTTTCGCAGGGAGCTCTGTCCCTGAGCTCACAAATCAGATATGCACAAATCTAGGAATGGCACCGGCCGGTGTCGAGCTGTCGCAATTTGCGAACGTACGTACCAATGCAGCTATCTAGCTCTGTATCTGCACGTGGGGCTAACTCTCTACCCCAGGGCGAGACGAGCGTCAAGATCCTCACCAGCATTCGAGAGAAGGATGTCTTCGTCGTCCAGTCTGGCAGTTCAAAGATCAATGATAGCATCATGGAGCTCTTGATTCTTATCTCGGCGTGCAAAGGCGGTTCTGCTAACAAAATCACTGGTGCGTTGCTCCCCGTCTCCCATTCTGTACCACGCCATGCAAATTGCTTTTACTGATTCTCTTTGAAGCTGTCCTACCATACTTCCCATATAGCCGACAATCTAAGAAGAAGTCACACCGAGGCGCGATTACTGCTCGCATGCTTGCCAATCTTCTCAATGTTGCTGGTGTCAACCACATCATCACGATCGATCTACATGCATCTCAAATGCAGGGCTTCTTCAAATGCCCTGTTGACAATCTTCACGCGGAGCCGTTAATAGCAAGGTGGATAAGGCATAATGTCCCGGGATGGAAGGAAGCAGTATGCGTATCGAAGAACGCGGGCGGAACAAAGAGGGTCACGTCATTGGCGGATGCGTTGAAGTTGAACTTCGGAATGGTCACCACAGACCGAAGGCGAGGCGGTAACATGAGTTCAAGCATGATATTCAGCTCCCTTGACCAAAACCCACCGCCTAACGACAATGATACCCGGAATGACGAAGTTGACGGCGAACCGGACCTATCTATCCCTCTCAGCGCCGTCACACTCGACTCGGAGCCAACATCTGGCCCAACTTCCAACCCCACCCCTTCTCACTCCCGTCACGAAAGCTCATCATCAACTCGCGCCTCAAATATAACATCAGCTAGTCGTGTGCCCTTAAGTGGACCAACCTCTGCTGCGCGCTCCCCTCTTACTCGATCCGTCACCACCCCCATCCCTTTCTCACACACCGAAGACGACGAATACACCGACGAGCGCGCCCGGGAAGTTATCCATGGCCGTCTTGTACACGGTCACATCGTGCCGGACGACTACCCCTCTCCCACCACCTCCGCCATGTCGAACTCCATGATTTTCGACCGCCCGGAAGATGACCCCCTCGAAATCTCGCGCGTCTCGAGCTTTTTCAACCCTGAACCCTACGCACTCGGTGGCTCGCACGACGCCGCGGAAAGCAGCGACGAGGAGGGCGACGATCCCGTCAACCACGATCTGGAGAAGATGATCACCCTCGTCGGAGACGTCAGGGGTCGCTCAGTATTCATTGTGGACGACATGATCGATAAGTGGGGAAGCTGGGTCGCCGCAGCCGAAGCGGTTGTCAAGCGTGGCGGGGCGAAGAAGGTATACATCATCGCGACGCACGGTCTATTCGGCGGCGACTCTCTCGAGGAGCTCGAGAAGTGCGACTGCATCGACGTAATCTTGGTGACGAACTCGTTCCCCATCCCCGAGGAGCGCGCGCGCGCAAGCAAGAAGCTCGTCGTGCTCGAGCTAGCCGGGCTTCTCAGCGAAGCCATCCGGAGGAACCATTACGGCGAGAGCATCTCGGCGCTGTTTCAACATATTAGCGATTAGGTTTGTGGACTGGACGGGGCGGGGTTATGGGTGGGTGGGTAGGACGGTTATGACGGGGCGGTGGCGGATATGATTTTTTTGCTTACACTAACGAAGCGAAGCGCTGGGTTATGGACGGACGACAGGAGGGCACAGGCGTTTACTGGCAAGGGCTGCTGTTTTCCCAGCTAGAATTGACCAACGATCTTTATGAACCCCATTTGTTGGGCATTGAAACGTGCTGCGTTGAGTATTTGGTGAATTCACTCGACAACTTTTTTTTCTCTATCATCTTACCTTTTCTTTTGTCGCCGCCACTTGGCATGGCATGTGTGGGTGCCTGAAATATGGCAATGATGGATATACCCAGCGATGCAGACTTCAGTGTTTGCAGGGACCTTCTCTCTATAGGAGATGGTTCTTAACGGAGCGTTGGCAGATGAGATCCTTTGGACTGAGAGTAGATGGCAGCTTGCCTCAGCATATTACTTGCTTGCTGGTTTGATGTAAGAATGCTGCATATATGTATGCAGCTCTCTCGGACATTTTAAATCAAATCTTTGGGTTTGAAGATTTGGTGTGGGATAGGTTCAACCTATGAGCATGTATCACCGAATATAAGATCTAAGCGATTAACGTTTAACGTCATTTTTATTTGCATCATTACTGACTGTATGTAACTGTGCATTATTTGGCTCTCCATGCCACGAAACCAGGGCCCTTGGAGAAATCATCGCATGTCATATCTCGAGATTTCCACCCACCCTTATATACTCAAACAACCAACCAACCCACCATGGACGCCAGAGAAACTCCAATATCCCCCCACCCGACCCCGTACTTACCCAATCCCCTAATAGCGTCTACCCATTCCCACCGAACCCCCACGCCAATGCTGATCCTCTCGGCCCCCGTATCCTCCTCCCCCGTTTCTCGGGCCACGGCCAAAATCATCCTTCGGGCGATCATACTGCGGCCTGTCGAATCTGTCGCCGCGATCATATCCACCGGCATACGAGTCTCCTCCGCGACGCGGTGGGCGATCATTCCGGAATCCTCCCCCGTACCCCTCGTCTCTGCCGCCGTAACCACCCCTGTAGCCCCTATCGCCACGACCGAAGTCTCTCGGGCCACCAAAATCCCTTCCACCTCGTGGACCACCACCTCTACCGCCGCCGCCTCTGCCGAGTAACCCTCTAGGCAGGCCCCTCCTTCTCACGCCGGGTGGAGGCCTGACGCCTGGGAAGATTTCTGGTCCTCTATCGACTAGCAGGTCGCCTTCGAACGAGTATCTGTGTTGCTCGCTCTTCGCCCGGAAATCGTCCTCTGCGTCTCTTGCGTACAGGCTGTGGATATTATCCAATCTACGCTCTGCAAGAGCCTTCGTCACGGGAACAAAAGCGACGGGTGGAGTGGCTTTGGTGTAGGTCACATCCGGATCAAATGGAGCCACAGGTGGGATGTCAGCGTTGGGCCGATCGTATGGGTTGAAATCACGGTCAGCATCCCTGTTGTACCGGTCTGATGGGCCGTCAAGGGGTACTCCATTGTCTCTTCGTCCCATGTCTGCTTTGGGGCCAGAAGGTGCACCCGGGACTGGACCTGGGCCAGCGCGACCAAAAGCAGGAGGCGCATTGGCGTTTGCGGACGAGGATTGCCTGCGGATCTGAGCTGGGACGGCGCCGGTTTCTTGGAGAGTGGCTGTGACGTTCCTGTCATCGTCTACGCCGTACATGATTTCCCATTTCTTGCCGGATCGCGCAGCGGTGGAAGTGACTTCAGCCTCAATCCATTCGGCTACCTTCTCATACGGGATGAAATCTGCCCAAAGTGGCTGACGGGTGCGCTCATCTGGCCAGATGCGATCGTGCAGTTCGGAGCGAACACGAGAAGCTGCTGAGGTGTTGGAAAATGAGACAAATGCGTGCGTGCAGATCGAATCGAGGAAGAAGTCAAGTATGACATCAGGGTCCTGAGACTGGCCTGGCGCAGTGGCAAGTTCGGCAATGTAGTCTTTGAGTTGCGTACGGTTTAACGGTCGCTGGAAGTTGCGGATATAGAGAGCTGAGGTGGCTGGGTGAATGGATGGCGCAACACTGCGCTCTTGCTCTGCATCGGGCATATCATGGTCTCTGCCTGCTTGGTGGTCTTCCGAGCGTCGATGGGCCGGGCCTGAAGGCGATTTGTAGCTGCGCTCTCTGTGCCTCCCACGAGTGTCTTCCGTGTGTTTTCCCGCGTGCTCGATCACGACCTCCTCCTTGCCAACGTCCACAATTGTAGGGCCCTCTTCCACACCCCCGGCTGTTGCAACCTCCTCCGATTCGGCATTGATTACCGCAGTATCGACATTGTTGTGCTTCTCGACCCATTGTTCATCTCCTTCTGTAGTAGTCACGTCATCGTGTCGTCCATCCACGTCGGTAAAGGGAAGTTCTGTGTCTTTACGCTGGCGCTTTCGTGATGTCTCTGAGCTGCCAGGAGGAGGAGATAATGAGCGCCTCTTGCGCGATTCGATATCTGGAGTTGCTTGAGCCTCAGCAACAGCTGGTTCAGCCAACGAGCTATCCTGTGTTGGCGCCTCTTGAGAGGTGGGGGTGGCTTCTGGTTGCGCCGGAGCGCCTTGTTTCGAATCCACTTCGATTTGCGCATCTTTGTTTACATCCTCTTGTGTAGATGGTTCATGCGACGGTTTCGGTGCGCTGTCGATCTCAGCTTCGGGATGTGGTGCCTCCTTCTCCGCCTCTGGACTGTTGTCGACAGTATTTGTCTGAATGCTTTCATTGCCGTCGCCTTCCTTTGATTCAGCTTGAACGCCTTCAGCACTGGGTTCATTGTTTGCTTCATCCAGCCTGGCGACAAGGGCAGCTTTCAATCCATGTTGCGACAGTCCTCTTGACTTGAGTTCAGCCTTGAGCTCCGGCACCTTCAATTTGTTCCAATCCGTCATTATGTGTGACTGGCTGGAAGCATTGGTTGACTTCCGGTGAAGTTGTGGTATGTGTTTGGACACAAGGTTGCGCAGAAGAATAAAGTTGTGAAATATGTAGATGAAACAGTGTTGTTGGTTTCGCAAGGTAGCCTAGCCTTGCAGTTGTATGGAATTTATTTCGCGCCACGCGACTGGGCAGCTTGCCTCTGACGCGGGTTGTGATTTCGCATTTGGCCTAGCGCAACGCCGCAACGCCGCAACACCGATCTACATGTCACGTGGCATGACGTAGCTTTTAAGCTCTCCTTGGAGGTCGATGCGATGCGATGCGCAGTCCCTCAGCTACCAACTTAAGCTAATAGTGTCTCTCTCTCTTTGTCTACATTTCTCAGTAACTAATATGTCAGTAAACAGCCCCTAGTAACTGAAAGCCTTGATTTTAATTACAGTTGCTGTAATTACTACTGCCATCCACAGTCCCTCTTTACACTTTTGAGCGGCACGAGTATTTATGTATTTATGTATCATTTGGGGGACAAGATCTATGTACAACATTCCTCTCTGTACAACACAAAGAAACAAGCCAAGGCCATTGAAGCAGCAGAGATGGTATTTATTGCAACTAAAAAGTGCTGGTAGCCAAGCGGCTTGCCGCATTTCTAGCATCGACACGGTCATCGTCCTCCTCTTCCTTCACTCCAGGTAAGCCCCCTGAACTGTCACCGCTCAATGCCCGACCTCTCCCAGCGCTGGCCTCTGCTGTTTCTTCATCGACGCCAGGTACTATGGTACCAGAGACATTGCGACTGGCGTCCGGTCTCCTTGGCACTCCGCTCCAAGCGTCACCCTTCGGTCCCTGGCTGGCAGCTAAACTGGCGCGTCGTGCTGCTGGGTGTGATTCTCTCCCCAACCTACTGAGTCCACCAGATGCATCAATGGCGCGTATATCGGGGCGAATAGTCTCAAGTGTAGCAAGAGTTCTGCGCTCTGCCTCGATCTCCCGAAGGACATACTCACGTAGAGACACGCGCATATCGATGGTGGTACGGTTAAACCAGCGACGAGTCTCTTGAACTAAATTCGTAGTCACACGCTGCGTCTTCGAGCGTAAGTGAAGCTCATTGGAACGAGCTTTATCCATGGCAGCAATAGCTTCGTCCACCTTTTCGCGCTTCACTGACGATGAGACTTTCAGGCGGTCGGCGGCGTCAACCTTGGCCTTGGAAAGGATCTCGGCTTGTAGGAGCTCGCGCATCAGAATGTGACGGTTGGTAAGGGTTTCCTTGACGATAAAGGCGTCTTCCGAATGGTACGCGAGAGGATCTCCGATTGTGGTAGCTTCGGCAGTTCCTTGAGCAGCATGGTAGTCGCCCGTTGTTTGAATGGTTTTCCCCAGCTTGCGGTATGCATTTGCTAATCCACCGTGTAATTCCTGAATACTCATAGTTCCAAGCTTGACCCCAAAGTCAGATTCGGCCAATCCAAGTCCTGCACTCTGTTAATAAATGTTATAAATTAAGACATAATGACTTACCTTTGCGAGCCTTGACAAGTTTATCCACCTTGTGCCCGGCGTCCATTGTGCCCAAGTAGAACTGCTTGATAGCAGGACGCGCATCTTCCAGTTCTGGGGTATCGTCGGGAGGTGGAGCAAATTGCTTGATGACCTTCCGCCTAACACCAGTCGCAGGTTGTTTCCGCTTTACCATGGGGCTGTATCCATAATCGCTCTCCACGAAAAGTACCATCTCGTCATCGCGCATTAATACATCATTTCCGCAAACATAATTAAGCCAACGTTGTAACGATGCCTTCACGCGCGCCTCGTCCTCATCAGTGCCTGCACCAGCGGAGGTCAATGCCGGCGGCACAGCTGGGACGATTGCTTCGGGGTTCGAGGAAATTAGATGGTCTGCGAGTTTGATAAATTCCGAGTGGGTGCGGCGCACATCACGAAACTGTGTAGTTCGGAAAGCCGGAAGATTGGTCTGTCGTAGTTAGCATAGGGCGCCTGGAACAGATCGCCAAACGGCACACGTACATGAACGTCAAATCGCAGTATAGGATCTTTCCGGCCAACTCGTTCCAAGCCAGTTATCTTTGCCTGCAATTTGTAATGAGGACCTTGTCTAACAGCAGGCCGAGAAGTTTCTTGCTGCCTCTGTGCATCTTGGCCCGGATGAGCCTGCCGCTGCTGTTCTGGGTGGCCTGCCGGTTGCTGTTCACCAGGTTGTTGTGCTGGATGTTCCGCGTTTGGCTCAGTAGTATCATGTCCTTGGCTGTACGCATGAGCATTCTCAGCTTCATCCGAAATACCAGTCACTTCGGTAATACCCGAGTCACTGGTGTAGTTGTCGCCATGTTCTCGATTTTGGCCGTACACAGGCGAACCGGGCGCTTCTGGCGTAGGGTTGAAACTAGTCCTATTGTGCTGTGGCGATGGAGCTGGAGACGAGCCCCACGGCGATGCCTCAGCTGGGTTATCCCCATCGTGTAAGGAAGATGAGTAGTCCATATTTGTTGCGTTTACCCCGAAATAGCGGGAAGAGCGGCTGGGGCCTGGAGCTTACGTCGTCAGCGATTGTAGGATAAAGTGAGTGTCATTGGTAAGTAACATACCGCGGTCAGCGTGTGCGCAACGATATTCCTAAAGGCAGAACCGCCAACTATATTTGCTGAGCAGAGTGATGGTTCCAATGGTCGCCGAGCTTTGAGGGGAATGGTCGCCTTACTTCAACGACCAAGGTAGCGACAGTGGAACTCGTAAGCGCGGGGAGCCGGGCTAAGCGACGACGTAATGACAACCCTCAGTTTTAGGCTCATAAATTCCATGGCATTGGACGTTTTTCGATGTAGATTAAGTAATGCATCTTTATTTTTCAAGGGCGGCCCATGTACCATGGCGGTCCTCTTTGCTGAGGTCCAATCACATAAGCGTTTGCCGTTTGCGTGTCTTTTCAAGCAGCTCTAGTAATTGCAATTCAGGGCACAATGCCGAAATCAAAAGAACTCGAAATATTGGCATTATTGCCCATATCGATGCCGTAAGTTTTATAAAATCCAAAATTTACTTATCTGTTCTAATATAAATAGGGGAAAACAACCACAACTGAGCGTATGCTCTATTACAGTGGTGTCACTCGTCGAATAGGAGGTTAGTCTTTTCGACGAAAGTTTCAAGCTTCATTCGCGCCCAACCTTCTTCCATTTACGCCATATTATGCTGAAGCGTTTAATAAATACTTCTCTTTATAGAATATGGAGAAGAAAGTATGTACTAACCGCTTCATAGATGTTGACGATGGATCTACGGTCACGGATTTTTTACCCGCTGAGCGGGCTCGAGGGATTACTATCCAATCTGCAGCAGTAACATTACATTGGCCTCCGATTCAGCATGGCTCACCGGAAGATTCTATCGAGTCTGTCCAAAAATCACGTGTTTCACATACAATCAACTTGATCGACACGCCTGGCCACGCGGACTTCACGTTCGAAGTCCTACGTTCACTAAGAATCCTCGACGGAGCTATATGCGTTCTTGATGGCGTTGCTGGCGTAGAAGCTCAGACCGAGAAGGTGTGGGCCCAGGCAAACCTTTACAGCATTCCAAGGATCGCTTTCGTCAACAAGCTCGACCGTGATGGAGCTGCTTTCGGGCGAACAGTGAAAGAGATTGGCTCGCGGCTACGAGGATGGCCTGCTGTTTGCCAAATCCCCTGGTGGGAAGGGGGCAACGGGAGATTCCAAGGAGTTGGCGATGCCGTCGATCTCTGCGCTTTGAAATGGCCTGAGGGAGGCGATGGAAAGGCTATTCAGAAGAGCAGTCTAGAAAGCCTTAAAGAAACGGACCCGGAGTTTGCGGCCGAGCTAGCAAAGGCACGACTGGCACTAGTTGAGGTTCTTTGCGAGTTTGACGAACATCTGCTCACTACATGGCTCGAGTGTGACGACGATCCAATGGCTATTGCGCCGCAAGCCATCAGAGATAGTCTGCGTCGGTGCATCATTGATGGTTCTGGCCGGCTCATTCCTGTTTTTGCTGGTGCTAGCTTTCGCAATATCGGCGTTCAACCACTTCTAGACGCAGTTGATGATTTACTTCCCGATCCAAATGAGCGACCACCGGCAGAAATCACTGCTGGCGCTTTGAAAGGGACACTACCGGATTTGTTAGAGGGGAAACTCCATATCCAGCACTCAAAGTCATCCAAGCAACCCAAACGCCTCCATGGACCAGGATCAGCCAATATAGGAGGAAACATTGAATCATGCGCACTTGCTTTTAAAGTAGTCAACGATCCTAAGCGTGGCGTTTTGGTCTATGTACGTGTCTATTCCGGAACGCTGAACAAAAACTCGGCCTTGTGGAACACCTCTCTCCATGTCACTGAGAGGGCTGGCAGACTACTTCAGATGTATGCCTCAGACGCGAAAGAAATCCAATCGATTCCAGCAGGCCAAATCGGTGTTATTGTTGGTCTTAAACATGCGCGCACTGGCGATACACTGATTACTTACACTGGCTCGAATGCCAAGTCTGGCCCACCTGCACCGCTGGATAACCTACATCTACGACCTATAGATGTGCCGCCCCCAGTATTCTTCGCAGCTATCGAACCACATAGCTTGAGCGAAGAGAAGAATGTCGAGCAGATCCTTGCGCTACTACTGAGGGAGGACCCTTCGCTGCATGTCAGTGTCGACGATGAATCCGGACAAATGCTTCTCAGCGGTATGGGCGAACTGCACCTTGAAATTGCCCGAGACAGACTCGTCAACGACTTCAAGGCCAAGGCGACTATGGGCGCGATTGAAATCGGCTATCGCGAATGCGTCCAATCCTCTTCAAGCACTCACCACGCACTCATTGATCGTGAGATTGCGGGCAAGAAAGGGATGGCTGGATGTTCTGCCTTTGTTGAACCTGTCGATTCGACGGATGATTTCCCGCTAGACACTATTGAGAGGGATGGTAACTTCATCACTGTGAATGTTGAGATGGTCGACCCTGAGGACCGTCACACTGCCTATTCTCTTCCTCAAGAGCTCCCTCTTTCCGAACTCCGCACTGCGCTCATAAATGGGGCTTCTGCTGCATTAGCACGCGGTCCTCGAAGGCGCTTTCCCTTGACCTCTACTCACGCCAACTTGACTTTCTTGGTGTCGCGTGACCTATTTGGCAAAGATACACACCCAGCTGCTTTGAGCTCAGCTGCTCACCAAGCTGTGCAAACCGCACTGAAAGAGACCTTTGACAACAATGCTATCAGCCTAATGGAGCCAGTCATGGATGTTGTAATTTCATGCGATGAGGGCAACATGGGCAATATCGTGCATGACATCTCATCTGCCCGCGGCGGCCACGTTGTCTCTCTTGGTGACGAAGAATCTACTGAAGCAACTGGAGACGATCAGAAGCAAGTTGACGTATCTAGGATCTATGCACCTCCAGACCCATTCGCTGGCTCGGCACAGTTTGGAAGCAACGACCTATCTGGAGCAAATGTTGGGCAGCAGAGACATATCAGGGCCAGGGTGCCGTTGAAGGAGATGGTGGGATATTTGAAGCACCTAAGGAGTTTAACAGGTGGACGAGGAACATTTATCATGGCTTTTGAAAAGTTTGAGAGGGTCTCGGGACAGAGAGAACGAGACGTGTAAATTTACCTGGTTTGTCTGGTTTATGGACTGGATGATACGAGGTGTGTGCATTATTGTATGTTATATCTGTATAATTATTTTGTGGCCTGTCATATACAATAATATTCTTGGGCTGAATGATTTAATAAATTCATTTCTTAAGACAACAACGTTCTAGATTATAATCTGCTTAAAATAAACAAATACAGCAGCTATTCTTATTAATCAGTGTTGCCCGAGTACTACTCGTTGCGAGTACTACTCGAGTAATTA